ATGAAATTTCAGGAGTGAATGAGTTAAGGGGAGGTTACACTAGGTACGAAAAAATTACAGTGGAGTCTCCAGTGGGAAATCTGCAGAACGGCAGGGGTCCCTAAGTATAGAAATATCAGTAGGCGAAATATAAATAATCTACAGAAGTATGTACAGCTTTATGAAAGTACACTGTAAATGTTAATATTACAACTGTTACATGACCAATACATGATATGTTAACAAGCTACAACAGTATCACTACAGCCAGACATAATAACTAAATACAACAAAATTATCACAGAATCAAATGTTTGAAAGTCAAATAAAACCTAACATTTGAAGCATGCTCCGATTACATAAAAAAAAAAGAGTAAATATTAATAACCAAAAAGTAAACACGCTGGGGTAAACCATACACATATACAAACAAATCACCTTTTATGGAACATGTTTTTAAAGCTTTTCAAACGAATTACATAAAAAATTATAACAAAACACTTGCCAAATTTAACATGATGCATTCTTTAAAATATGCATTGAAATGTTATCTATGATAACATTGATGATCTAATTTTATTTTGAATATTAGTTAATTGACAGTTTCTACTAACCAATTGTTCAACAAACCAACTAGATCCAAGTAACATTGAGTGTCTGTTCACCTTTGATACTCGAACATTTTATAAAACAAATGTATCTGAAAAAGTACCGGCATGAACTTGAAAACGAAATGTAGAGCAAAAAAAGCTAGAAACCAACCTGTCAGCAATGGCTTCACGGAGTGCATTTTTGTAGTAAATAGCAGACAGATAGATGGCATATTCACATTAACATCATCCAATCAGAATGCAGCAGCTTCTTTAAATATGCATGGAATTGGGTTCAACTCCCAGGAACATCATGGCAGAATATGTTGGACCTTTAAGTAGGGTCTTCAGATAATTGTGCAGATATTCCCTATTTTAGGGCAGCCTCTTGTAAAAGCATTGATTGTCTACATCAAATTTAAATACCATATGTTGGGAACTAGAACATTTTTTTTATTATTGAAAAACTATTACATTTAAAACCCAAGTTTGCATCTATTTCTATCAATTACATAGACTCTATATCTATGAGACAAATGTATATAATGGTATAGATCTAGAGTTAATTTACATAGTATCACAAAACGAGGTACACTATATCACAAAATGGACCACATTTTACCTGTGATATCAAACCCAAATATGCTGACAGATTTTTATTGACAAATCTGGTTGTGTTTCTCTCCAAACTTCGGCACAAAGTCTGCCTTGCATATTATATATAGGATCTTACACCAGTTTCCATTTGATATCAAATGAAAACAAGTGTAAGAACCTTTTTATCACATAATCAAGATTTGTGGCATTTGTTCATGTAAAATGACAATTTTCATGCAACTTTGAAATGTAAAAGCCACCATTTTGACTTCAGTGCGAAAGTCTTTGACGTCATGTATTTGTCCTAGGCATGGTCATAATTGAAACAAATGAAACTCACAACCAATCACCGGGCTGATAAGTCCTATTACATGGGTTAATACGAAATAAATATGATATGGGTATATTCACTGGATAACACAGTACATAATGTGATAAATATCGAATCCTGGTAAAAAGTCAGTAATATAATACTTCCTTTCCAATGGGAGTTTATTATGGTAATACAATACCCATGGATACAATATACCAATATGTTTAAGCTATTTAAAGGCCTATGCTAACATTCACTTAATATAAACACATTTTATCATCAAGGTATCATGTAAACATGAGAATATGTATCAGAATATATCACGGAATAGTATCACTGCAAAATATTTCATATAGATTTTCCAATCTCTGCCCAGAATTGTCATACCTTACGCTAACTTACATCTCTGTCAATAGCTAAATGCCAAAAATCTTGGCATAGGCTTGCGTTATACAGCTTTGTATCTACTTAAGCAACATAAACAAAACCATGTGGTTAAGCACATGTTAGAGTTGCGATGAGCAAATGAGATCATATTAACAAGATCGCAACAGAACATCAACCAGATTTGGTTTTAAAAGACAAACAAGCTGAAATATTGAAACATATCCATAAGTGAAAAGGTGATGTTCTTGTGAACTTATATATACTCGTACACATAAGTTACGGGAAAGGTTCATATATTTCATTTACTACCAAAGTTGTTTGATGAGTCAGAAAAGCTTATTGTAGGTGTTGTTTCGCCTTTGAATATAATTCAGAAAGATCAATTAGGATTCAGTTATCATGTTTTTTTGAAATAGATAAAACAATCAATACTTGTGGAGTAAGTCATTGCTGTACTTCGATTGCTGTCATATTGTACGGTTTGACAACACATGATCTGAGGCTAAATATAATGTGGACTACTTTTAAGCCATTGACAGAAAAGTAAGCGAGTGTAAGGGAAGACAACTCTGGATAGAGATTGTTGATTTTCATGTTAACTTAAATATAACACAGGGTATGCCAATGTAATGTCATGAAAAGACCTTTTTACAATCACATCCAAGCCTTAAAATATAATGATAGCAATAAACAAAATCGCATTCACGATTGAAAGCCTTAAAATCATGTACAGCCTCACTTTAAAAAACTAGAACGAAGTGAATCTCGGCTACCCCACACCAACACAAAGTTAGCAGGAAAATCTCAGCTACCCCACACCAACACGAAGTTAGCAGGAACATTTCAGCTACCCCACACCAACACGAAGTTAACAGGAATATAAATATTAGCACAAAACTGCAGCTGAAAAGAGTAAATAAAAAATAAACACAAGGCAGGATACAAGCTCTAGGAGGGGCACCTTAATACCAAATGTTAGTGCAAAGTTATACTGGATACATCAGACGAGAGACTCTGTTGGTATGAAAGCACTTTATAGATAAACTGTACCCTTGTGCTAGGATTCCAACATCATGGTATCAAAATGGAGAGACAACCAATAACAGCACAGCATTATATATGGTCATATATTGGTGAATGGGTGATCCATGTTACTGGTGGCAATAACGATGCTGTGCTAATTTTAGGACAGGATTGTATTTTTTTTAATATTTTAACTGCAGGGGAAAAAAAATTGTGACTCCCATATTTTTTTCTTGTGATTCAATAGATAATAGTAGACTCCACCATTCATGCATATAATATTAAGTATTTGCCTCTCTATTTTGGGTGGTGATATTTTTTGAAAAAAAATCCATTTACCAAATGTGACTCACACGTACAATGAGGTACCATGATAGTAATATTACCGACTATTCAACAGGTACCTTCTGCTTACATTAAACAAATGATCGGCGGCGTTAAGTAAAAGCATGTTTCCTCTACTACTAGTGAGGACTATCACTTCTAAAATAGTTTCTTGGTAGTAACGTTGACTCATAGACAAAATGTCACCATAGGCTCACTAACATGGAAATCTTATGGGTATCTTATGATAACCAGATAATCTACATGTGCTCCATACAATATCCATACACTCGGTAGATCTTTGCAGATTTCCACCGGGTTTTTATGTTAAACAAAGCATGAGATTCGGTACAGTGGTAATGTGTAGCCTAATTATCACTACTGTAAATAAATAAATTGTTGATAAGTGACCAAAGTTTCTCAGTCTTTCTTGAGGATCCTTTTCACCGAGGACGTCTTAATTTTCTTATTTAATTTTCACAGAATTCATAAAAATGTTGTTACAAAAAGCAGGTGACAAATCTGAATCAGTCTCAAATGATAAGTTCTTTTTGCATTTTCGTTTAAAATAATATAGCATTTTTCTGCAATATATTTGAAATCAGTTAATTCATTTCAGTTCATATTTAAATATCATTGTTCAAATGTTTGTCCTCCAAGGTAAAGACATTGACAAGTCAGTTCACAAGTCAGAGACTGTTAATAATCCAGTCATTAAATACGCTATCTCACACTTACCTAATCAACAAAACAAATAGACTATTGCGAGATTATAATGCCCCTTTAATGTAATGTATGATCTTAAATATTTGTTACATCGTAAGTATCTCTAATTTTATACTAACACACTATAATACATAGTTTGAAGATATGTTTCTCTGACAACTGATATAATTATATTTGTACTCCTATTTACATGGAAGCCTATAATTAAGTCTAAATCTTACATAACAATGATAGAGACCAGTAAGGATTGTCCAAAGTAAATATGATTTATATATAAATTAATTTTTGCTAAAAGGAAAGTAACATTATTAAGATTTCATGTTTATAATTGATTTAATCAAGTTTCAACACTGATATGAAATGATTTCAGTGACATAAATTATGAAAATCCCTTAGAAATGTTCTGTATTTGAGTAGAATAGATATAAATCCGATGTGTACAGTAGATATAAATCCGATGTGTACAGTAGATATAAACCTGGTGTGTACAGTAGATATAAATCTGATGTGTACAGTAGATATACATCTGATGTGTACAGTAGATATAAATCTGATGTGTACAGTAGATATAAATCTGATGTGTACAGTAGATATCAATCCGATGTGTACAGTAGATATAAATCTGATGTGTACAGTAGATATAAATCTGATGTGTACAGTAGATATCAATCCGTTGTGTACAGTAGATATAAATCTGATGTGTACAGAGATATAAACCTGGTGTGTACAGTAGATATATATCTGATGTGTACAGTAGATATAAATCCAATGTGTACAGTAGATATAATTCTGATGTGTACAGTAGATATAAATGTAATTTGTGTCATAGTGATAAAGTGAAGTGTGGAGTAAATATAAATATTGTTAAATTAAACTACAAGTAAATATCAAGAAATGAGAATTAATATTACATAGCACAAAATCAAAGCACTATGTTTATCAGCACTAAGCCAAGATTTCCAATAAATCAAAGAATGGAATACTAATCAGTCATATCTTACTTGCTATATGAAATATGATTGAAAGTGATTAACTCAAATACAAGAGCTTTTTTAATTCAATTATTAATGTAGAAAGATTTATTTTTCATCAACATGTTTCAGCAGAAAACTTCAAAGAATCCCTACAACCGCATTCAAGTATGAAAATAAGTCTGTTTTCCCCAGTGATTTCTTCCTTCACATACCCAGTACATGTACATGTATTGTTAGTCAGACCATGAAAGTTGTACCAATAAATAACTAATGTAGTACTACAGTCTTATGGTCTTTGGACAAAACATTCGTCCAAAATACATGTTACATCTGGTATGGTTCCCAGAATTTAACAACTGGTAAAATAAGAACATTGTCCTAAAACTGAGTAATTTCACTTTTGTCATAATTATTTTGTGTGGCCATATTTTTTCCCCATTAATTCATCATAAAACTTCAAAAAGAAATGAATTGAATAATTTGTGAAAAACTATTACCTGGTAACAAATTAAGTGCAACATTCCATTACAATAACATTCTTAAATCAAAACCTTAAATTCAGTTTTATACAGATATCACCAAATGACATTTTTATAAACATTAGCTGCAGAAAACCAAATTTAATATAACTTTAAAAAAATGTAGATTATTCATTCCAGATTATTTTCAACTATTTTTCATCATCTTCCAAGTCATACTGGTCCAAAAATTCAAATTCCTCCCCGATGTCAATGTCACTAGAATCATCTGCCACTTGTTGGTGGTCTGGTCCTGTCGGTTTGTCGTTGTTCGGTGATACATGGAAGTCGACCTCGTCACCGGATCGCTGTTTGTAGGAAACACTTGATGGAACATTCGAGCTATCTCCCCTGGAAGTGGAGGCTGTATTCGGTTTCAAGTTAGACATGCCAGAAAGAGCTGACCCAATAACAGATGACAGAGTTTTGGACATGAAGGCACCAGTTGCGCCGGACAACATATCACCTCCTGAGTTCGATTCAGAGTCCAACAGGCTTTCTGCCATAAGAGATGGAAAATTCAAGTCAGTTTCCTCTTCCTCAGAGTCCGATGTGTCACCAAAATGTTCAGGTACAAAGTTCATATCCTCTAGTTTCTGTCGTCTGTGCTTTGAACGTTTCTTTGGAATATGTAGCTCGAGAAGTTCATCATCTGTGTTATCTAAAACATCTTCAAATGATGGCATCTCTGGGATCCCTTCCTCAAAATTAACATCAAAATCAACCTGTCGCTCTGAAAAACAAACCATATAAAAATCAAAATGCCAATCTAAATCAGATATTGATCAACATTTAAATTATTTTTATAAGATTTATTAAGTTGGTAATAATGGGGTTTTTCTCCATTTTAACTTTTTCACCCCTGAAGACACATTTGAACTCTTCCAATTAAAAGGCTGGAATAGTTTATTATGAAATTTCGGGGGGTGAATTAGTTTATAAAGTAGACCCAATTCTAAAGGCTGAATGGTGAACCTTACAAAATTCATGATGTCAAATCTAAAATAGTATCATCTCAATACTTCAATTATTTCGTAATCTGCATTATATATTAACCATACTGAAGAAGATTTTTTTCTACATTTTCTCTACATTTATCTCATAAACAAGGCCCCATTCCGAGGACATAATGTTGGTAATGGAATTCAAAATGTTTGTAGGTGACCTCGGTACAGACCTATAATATCATGATTACTATATCTTTTCTCGATGAAAACTATAGTATTAATTTCAACCCTTCCATAGGAAAGTGGCAGGGATTATGAAATCCACATTGGTAATAAAGTATCACTGGATATTCCCATCTATAAAGAATATTTGAGTCCTTCTTGATTTGGACTTTTGGTTCAGCAAAACATTTTGAAATTTCAGCTCATTATGAAACTTCTGGACCCTGCCTACAGCCAGATAAGGGGATGAGTAACAGGTGAGTGAAAAAAACACTTTACCTCACCTCTTTTTCTCCTAACTGGAGGAATAGTTACTAAAATGACGGGAGCAACAACTTTGATGAAGTATCACTGATTTTTTTCCATCCACAAGTCTTTTTGCATTGATTGTAGCATTTTTTGTTCAGCGGAAAAAAAAGAAGTTTTATCTTCATTAATTAAAGTTTGTCTTTGTCAATGCGCTTAGCTGAGATCTTCTCTGGAGATTCTAGACACTTGTTATATAACCTTAACCCATTTATATAGGAGCATGACAGCTGTATATGATTTTTTTGAAACAATTTTCACATGAAAATTGAGTGAATAACCATTATTTTCCTATCCAGTGTAATATTGTATAGGATTATATGCATATTTCAAATCAACCCTTGTATTGTTGAATTTCTTTCAACACTTAGTGTCTTTTGGTAGCTTTGTTTTGAAATACTGACAATTACTTTTCTTACTGCCAGTTAAACTACCATTTCCCTTCATTCCCATGGGTACTTACAAATGTACATGCAGCACGACACAAGGCAGTGCCATAGTTTGTGTTACAAAAAAACCCACTAGAAAATGTTTGCCCCCATCACCATGTGAAATTAGTTTCAGTGTTTGATGTTTGACTGGACGGGACAGGACAGGACGGACATGGGCAACATTACACCCCCCCCCCCCCCCCCCCCCCCCAATTTTAAGGCGAGGCATAAACAGGCCTTTAAAACAATAGGATACTGGTATAATTGGAAATCTTTATTATCTTAAAGGATAAATAAGTCATGGTTCATTCCAAGAATTTCAGTTCTTGGTTAACAAAACAATCACCAGAAAAGGTATTTGCAAAACTGTTTATTTTCTGTAATTTAAATTTGTGTCAAGATAGTTATATCACAGTTAGAAAACTTGAAAGATGGTCACAGTTTGTAATTAACTTACCCTGGTCATCCTCATCCTCCAAGTCGATGGAAGGTTCCTTTGACAGCAGGGGTGTGGACAGCGAAGGGTCCAGACTCTCATCCTCACTATCTGTGATGGCGCGGGCCAGCGCTGCTGTAGTCACAGGGTCAAGGGATGGTGTGAAATCTGTCTCACTGTCTGTATCAGATATTTCCACCTGGCCAGCAGCACTAACAACTGACGTAGATGACCGGGGAACTTGAAAAAAAAATCATGAAAAAGTTGCATGTTTATCCTTCATGTGATCCTTCACTGACCTAAGGATCAGAAAACTGAACATCAAAATATTATTATATGTGTAATATCTCCCTCATGACCTTTTGTCATTGACTTATATTAAGTTGATGACAAATAAACCTAAATACAGGTGACAAGTCTAATTTTCAGATTAAGATTACCATTTTTGACAGACGTAATACAGACGTGAGTCAGATAAATACGTAATTTAAAAACTGTCCAATCTGACCCAGACTAATTTGTCATCTATTTGTATGTACATTTACATTCACAAGGAGAGTCATTCATAATCCAATAATTTGATAAGTTATTTAGACATACATAAACAAGTCACACACATGCAGCTTTTGTTCCAAAATTATGATGATTTGATAGAAATTTACAAGCCTGCCAACCCTCTCACAACCAACATAATAATTTCGTAAATGCACACTTCCATCTCCAAAACACTTCTGTTACTGCAGGAAAGCCAAGTATATCACGAAGCTTTAATTTTGATCCAGTTGATCCGGATTCCCCTGTCATAATATGTGGGGTAATTGGACAAAGGGAACGTTAACTAACTCTTGCATTTTTCTGGACAGTTGCAATTGGTACTCTACATTCTTGTCTACCATATAGAAGAATTTGATGGCCTATCATCCCATCAGCTGGGGAATGAGGTAGTCATGCAAAAATTGACTTTTTCCAGACTTTGTGAGGAGAGCAATGATTGTAGGTCTAAATCCTTGTTAGGATCTTTTCTGAGAGAGAAAAATATGTACAAAATACTTTCTTGACCATTCCACTTGAAAATATTGGATTGGATGAATATATGAAGTCAAGAAGCATCTGTCATCAACATTACATCATCAGTTCACATGTGATAACCATCTGTCATCAACATTACATCATCAGTTTACAAGTGATAACCATCTGTCATCAACATTACATCATCAGTCCACAAGTGATAACCATTTGTCATCAACATTACATCATCAGTTCACAAGTGATAACCATCTGTCATCAACATTACATCATCAGTTCACAAGTGATAACAATCTGTCATCAACATTACATCATCAGTTCACAGTGATAACCATCTGTCATCAACATTACATCATCAGTTCACAAGCGATAACAATCTGTCATCAACATTACATCATAAGTTCACAGTGATAACCATCTGTCATCAACATAACATCATCAGTTCACAAGTGATAACCATCTGTCATCAACATTACATCATCAGTTCACAAGTGATAACCATCTGTCATGATCACATGAATATGGAACCAAAGCAAAAACACTTCACAAGATTGTTTAAGTTCTCTACTCAGAACGAAGATATTATAAAGTCAGCTAAAAAGCTTGTGTGTCCTATAATCAGATCAGTGTATATGTATATAACTGTTTATAAATAGGAAGAGGTTCATTAAGAATACATTAGGTATTTACAATAAATATTATGAATACATTAGGTATTACAATTAGTAAACACGTTCACACAGTTTAAATGACTCATAGTCAGGTATAATTTTCCTGCTAGATACTGTCACCAGAATTGTTCCACCTGTTATCTTAAATCCAATGAGAGATTTCACGTTAGGGAGATCTCCCACACCGACCCCTCCTTCTAAAGGTTGGCAGGCCTGATTTTCTTAATACGCTAAACAGATCCAAAATAAATGAGAAGAACTATTTAACAATTACATAAACTCACCTTTAAAAGACCATTTATTCTTCAGCTTGATAGAATATTCCATTTTCATAAATATTGGTTCAAACTTGAGGTAGACTCTCTTGAGAAGATTATGGTAAAGAACACTGGGACCCAGCAACGTACTGATAACTGTAAAAAATGTAATTTAACATAATCAGGACAGGAAGAGACGGAATGGTATAGACATAGGTATAAGGTCCCCTTCGAATTCCATCATAATGTTACCCAACACATTTCAACTTTTCCTAACAAACACATACAAATTAAATTGCTGCAAATTTTATCAGGAAATGAATTAAGCCACAAAATTAAGTTAAACATTTGTAAGGTTATTTATATGTAAGAGATGTGTCTTCCAGAAGTACAAGAGCTACCACAACAGATAGACTGTATGTCCCTTTAGCAAAAACAAATATTTTTAAACGCTCTTTTAGCTACTGTTTTATGGAATGCACTTAGTGACGTTATTAAACAGTCATGCAGTGTAGATTTTTTAAAAAGAAATACATAGAAATGTTTTACAGTAGGTAATAACTGTGATACATTATGATATCTATGATATTTATCAATGTATATGTATGCATCTTTCATTAAGATTGTAATATTATCATTCTACCATTATAATTGTCTTATTTAGTATGTACATATATGCATAACAGGGTCGTATTGTAAACTAGACTATGTCTAAATATGTAACCCTGTAAAAATAAAAATTATTATTATTATTAGGTCTTTAAAATTTGAATAGCCACAGATTTTTATTTTCAACTTCATGGTAATTTCACCTAAATTGTTGGCTGCCAGATACAACAATCTGAGTCAATTACCGGTAAGTCAATGCTTGTTAATACTTTCATAAACAGTCCCACAATAGTCTAATACAATCACAAAGGAATTTTTTAATATAAAAGCGCAGGCCATGTTTACACCGAGTGAAAAGTGCACAGAAGATGGTACAGCTGACAAGACTATTATTGGACAGTAAGCTTATGTTATATAAACAGCACTAAAAGCTGTGAAAATTCGTTTTAATAGTGAAACTGTTACTACTGTTGAAGATACTTACAGAGAGATTAAATTGATGTTAGGTTGTTCTTTGTGTAATGGACAACAAACCAGCATGTTAAATTCAGCTTCAACAAAGTCATGAACTGATCTGGAGTATGATACAATATGTTTACTGGGAGTATGGATGGCAGAGACCGACATAATATTTACATTACTTCAACTATTTGAATCCTTTATGTATAAGTGGCACTGACTTACCTATAATATAGGCTAACATTAGTCCTGGTATATAATGTCCAATCATAGCCAGGATAAAGAAAAATGTACAGCTCATAACACAAAACTGCAACAGAAAAACATTACAATGTAGTACTGAAAATAATACTTTTGCAGTACTGGTATAATTGTTATCACATGTTTTTATACATGACTGCTTGAGGTATACTGTGGTCTCATATACTGAACAAAATACATGACTGAAGTGATAGTTGAGTCAATAAGCAACTTCACCAACATACTAATGTTTCTCTTGTTAATTTTTTTTCTGACAGAATTAAAATTTTTGAAACTTTTACAAAGATCTAAAGTAGAAAGAAAGCATTTTTGATAATCAAATATATTCTAGTCATACTGATGATCCAATACATAGCCTAGACCTACATACATACATACAGGTGACTAACTCATCAGAAGCTCTAACTTAAGCTTAAGATCATGGGGGTTGGTACTTACCAAAAAAGGATAAACTCTTCTAAAAGTCAACCAATAATGTAGAATGTTAGAACAGGAGCACCATACATGGGCTATGTATTGACACAGTTCTGGCACACTGAGTAGTCGGGGATGTACTGGTGTCCAGCTACCAAACAAAGAAATTAGCAATGTCAACCTACATGTATGACAACAATATCTTTTTAGAGTCCCCGAAAAACAAACCGTTAACCTCACTAAATATCCCAGGTTCTCAAATACACAGCTGTCAAACCCCCCTCATAAGGGAGGACACTCCCTCATTTGGACCAAAATTTACCAATCTCCCTCGAAACTCCCTCATTCAAATCCAAACTCACACAAACTCAAAATCTACATCCTTTTGTCAAATGATCTCCTAGTTACTGCATGATGTGTATAATGACCATAACAGGTGTGTCTGAATCAAATGATTGCTTTTTGGAGTTATTTTGATACATAAAGATGGAAAGATAAATTGAGCAAAGCAGTTTCAGGCGCGTTTCATGCCCTAATTTTCTCACTCATTGGAAATGTGGATCTTCCTCATTGGAGGTTTCAGAAGCTGACACCTATGTAAATAGGAGGCATTTTGAAGTGTTAATGCATTTCTATTCATAGTCATGAATAGAGTATAAATGAATAGTCATGAATAGAGTATTACCCTATTGCTATGCAGAGTAACATTTATCTTAACATTGTCTTACTATTTTATATAATAACACTGTTCTGTTGTTACATATAGCACTACATGGCTTTTTATACCAGTATAGGGGATATACGTAATGTACTGTTATATACAAGTGTCATAGACTTTGAGTGTAAAAGTAAAAGAACACATTATCATTTTCATATGACTTAAAAATGAGCAATAGTATCTTTGGACAACAATTAATTAGAGACTAGTCAAAACATGTATAATAGATACCTGTACCTACTTGAGATTTCATGTAAGTCTTTTTTCAAAATAATGCTTACAAATATAATGTCTGCTTTAATATTTAGTAGTCTATATGCTTACCTGTCAGGGTCCTCTGGTACAGCTGGTGGCACTACAAAACATATATACATCAAGTAAATCATTGGTACGGAATAAATATTTATCAAGAAATTGATATTTTTTCTTCAGATTAACTGATCAATGTATTAATCATGTAACATTCCAGAACAATTATATAGGTCATTAGGAAATATTTATTGTACCTGGAATTTGTATTTCCCTGAACATCTTGATATAGCAGCAGGTAATACCGTAATGTTAATACTTCATCCTTTATTTTTCTACTTATTTTATATCAAAATATATATTGTGAAATTATGCATGATGTGCCATAATTTTTTTCTAGTTTGAAAGGTAAAGTCAACAGAAAGGTTTCACTTATATATGACTCAAATTTAAAGCTATGGTACATATATGCATTGCATAACACTTGATAATTTGATTGTATAATTTCATTAAAATGCTGACCTTTGACAAACATTATATACGTTTGTATATATGTCACCAGACTAGACAGCAGGTTAAGCCCAAGAAAATGATATACAGTAAATTTTAATAGCATTTTTACTAGATTTTGTTTATGTAAATTGTGAACATCACTTAGTGCTGAACAAATCTTACATATTGCATCACTGTGATACTTCAAACCTAACTGTGATACTTCAAACCTACAAACCTAACTGTGATACTTCAAACCTAACTGTGATACTTCAAACCTAACGGTGATACTTCAAATCTACAAACCTAACTGTGATACTTCAAACCTAACTGTGATACTTCAAACCTAACTGCATATTTCCGTAAACTGTACCACCACATGCTATGTACAACACCCGACTATTTTTCCACACAAACACAGATTTTAAGTCAAGCAGAGAGATTCACTATGACATGTTGATCATTTAAATGTACATCACAAATTTATCTGATTTGGTTGTCTAGAAAGACAAATTTTATAATTGTTATATACAGGAAAAATGAAGACCATTATAGCTGATAAATATATATAAATATCATTTTAGATACTGATTACTGAGCATCTGTTGCATATATTAAATAGTATTATATAGTTTGTCCACAGTAAGGCGACTCAGGTATAGAAGGTATATATGTTATAATGTATATTAAGATAATAACCTTCTAAATGATTAAAAGACAAATCTATATAGTAAATTAGTGCTGAACTTGTTAATTGCAGATGAATTATGTGATACAAAAATAGAATACTTATCTACTTTTATCAAGTTTTATGCAAAATGGCACATGTATTGATGACTAATTACTGAATTATGATTAAAAATAGAACTTATCAAGTTCTAAATCATGCAAAGTATCACATGTATTGATGACAAATTACTGAATTATATTTCTCCCCAGCTAGGTCTATTTCTAATTACTGAATTATATTTCTAACCTGAGAAAGTGAGCTAGGTCTACTTCTGAGCAAGGCAACATTTTTATTTCTGGCTTTTTATGGACAAATCTACATTGCACTATATACCGGTAGTTGTCGTATTAAGGGACAATTTTGAGGGGAGGGTAATGACCATGATAGAAATGGTCTGTCAGATAAAGTCATTTTACACCATAAAAAGTATTAATGCATTTTGTATTTAATTTTCCATTACAATAAGATTTTCAAACAAGGCAAAGTATTGCAAGGCAATCCATAGTCCCCCATCAGTAATAATTTCAGGAAGCATATAGATCACAGTGAGGTCATAGTGACTGACCTACTCCTTGCACTCCGCCATCCGAAGATGTACTTGTACACCAAATCTGGTTACTACAAGTGAAATAGTATAGAAGAAAGGCACCGGACAAACTTTTATAAAAGTTAAGGTCAAAGGTCGTCCTTGTACACCAAATCTGGCTACTCCAGGTGAAAAAGTATAGCTGATAAGCCCTGAAGAAATATTTTCAAAAGTTAAGGTCACAGGCCAAGTCATAGGTTGCAGTGACCTAATTCTTGCACTCTTCCATCCCAAGATTTCCTTGTACACCAAATCTGGCTACTACAGGTGAAATAGTATAGAGGACATGTCACGGACAAACTTTCTCAGATGAAAGAATGGAGTACAAAAGCTCTAGTCCCCCCCTCCCCCCGAACCGATGGGGTACTGATGAAAAAGGTGCTGCTACAGACACCCCAAATGCCTCAGGACATATACACTTACCATTGAACAGATAGTAGTATAAAGATCCCCTTCTTTCAGATTCATGCTTGATTAAGTATATGGAGTTAATAGTTAAATATAAATTATACATGTACCCGTTATGTGAAGTGGTTTGCCTTAATCATTTCAGCACCAATGAAAAAACTGAAAGTGAAATATCTTGCATAGTGCAAACATACGAACACATGAAGAATTTAGACAATGCCTGTATATATATTTATTACTTTTAAATACTAGTAACCTCCCCTTAATATCCTACATAGGACTAACTGTAGAACAGATGTGCCTGCAGTACAATTCCATTGATCAGGTAGCTTAAGCTGTTAGATTGATAGTTTTGTAACTCCGGGGTTTGAATCCCAGTCTAGCCCTGAATCTGTACAGCTCATAACCCGTACACTGTTGTTGATTGTCTTTTATATGGTTCATATTTTTTTGTGTGTAAAATTCCTGCAAGGCTAAATATTAGTTTTTTTTTTTTTTTTACAAATGATTTATCAAAGCAATAGTCATGCTGGAAAAATAGTTTCCAATGCACAGTTACAGTTTTTGTCAGTTACACAGGGATCCTAAAGTTATGGATATTTTAAAATGTTAGTGACAGGGATCCTTATATATATATATATGTTATGGATATTTTAAAATGTTAGTCACAGGGATCCTTAAGTTATGGATATTTTAAAATGTTAGTCACAGGGATCCTTAAGTTATAAAAGTTTGTCGGACCATTACATTGAAAGATTGGAAAGTACATATGTTCACCCCATTTTTAATTTACTTACCCCTGATTTCTGGCCATATCTTGTGTTTCCATGTCTGTACCAGATATATAATGTAGGTGACAGTACTGACCACAAAATAAAACCGACATCCCACTGCTGCCAAAAACCTGAAAATAACCAGATATTTCAGTAAAGCTGAGGAATCAATATAAATAAAATATTCCAGGGTTAATTTGTTAGCAGCTACAGATATATCTAGTATCAGTTAGTTCACAAGCAAGGATTAAATTGTCTGTAGTCAGAAATTTTCGTCAAGGGATTTCATTAACTTCGTCAGGATGAGAGCATGAAGAATTTCTGGACAGGTACATGTAAACACAGGTCAACGGAAATTTCTGAAACTACAGGTGCAGTAAAAAAAACAGTACATGTGTGGGTATAATTTTGTTACCGATAAATTTTTGGCCAGATTTTTAATTTCCACGTCAGAACCAAGTACACAATGAAGAGGATGGTACTGGCGATGGAGTAAAACTGGCATCCTTTCACTGCGAAAAACCTGAAATCAATGAAATGTGGTTTTAATATCACAGGGGACAGCAATATGTACGGCAGCTTTCCTACAGCATAAAGTAATTTTGAATTATACAGAGTTGTGATACATTCTATATCAAATCCAGAATTCTCCTAATACAGAATACATGTATTCATATAGCCCGAGTTTCCTTTGGCCAAGACACCAGACTTAGACATTTTGACATATAGATTTCTGGTGTGGGGCCAGAGCACACTGCTATATGAAAACATTGAATTCTCCCGACACCGTTTGTTATCAGGGAGTGACTAATCAACAAAAAGACGCAGTCCGGAAATCTAAACAAGAATAATATATTCTGTTTTCGGTCCGGTTTGTTTATTATTCACCCCATGACCTACAAAAATGGCATTTGTGTTGTATCATAGTAGTTTTTTGTTGTCAGCATCTCATAATTACTCTCCAATACCAAACGGTGCCACGTTTTCATATAGCAGTGTGCTCTGGCCCCCCACCAGACATCTATATGTCAAAATGTCTACGTCTGGTGTTAGGGCCAGAAGAAAGGTGGGCTAGTATTAATATTGAACGTTCTCTTTACAACACACATATTACAATATACACACTCTCTAATCTAAATTATCTTTATAATTATTTATAACTATTGGCTTTAGACATATATTTGATATCTTTTGAATTTTAATTTGATTGCAGATAATTCACTTTTGTTGTTGTTTCTTTTGAACCACATGAAGTTACAGGAAAATATATTGGTTGATAAAGATTGATGGAAAACAGTTTATTTATCTTGATGGAAGCGGTGTCAATTTAATGTTGTTATAGTATTTCTACATATGACTTAGATGCCATCATTAGATATATATGCATGCATAATACCATCCTCGATTTCCAGGGGTTACGCTCACTTTCGCTCTCTACACCCCTGGAATATGTTCTCTTCCTACTGTTACAAATTTGGCGCCCAACGAAATATACCCATGGAAGGTGGTATAGAGTCTCATGTATCTTCGGGGTCGAAGAATTAGAAAACAAGAGGCCCAATGGGCCTGAATCGCTCACCTGGTATTAATCTCACACAAATAATCTTAAAAGTGGACTAAAATACAGCTACAGGCAGAATATCAGTGTTTGACTCATAAGAACCTATTAAAAGATCTAAACATGTGACGCCTGTGACCTTGAATGTCGAACAAGGACATAAGATTGAACAGAGTTATAGTCATCCAACCCAGCATGCTTCTGGCAAAATATCATTACCCTGGACCTTTTGGTTAAACAGAACAAGTCATTTAAAGATTTAAACATATATTGACCACTGTGACCTTGAATATGGACGAAGGTCATTCATTTGAAAAAAACTTGGTAGTCCTTAATACCAGCATGTTAATGGCCAAATATCATCACCCTTAGCCTTTTGCTTATTGAGAAGTCGTTTAAAGGTTTTAAACATATTTGACTCCTGTGACCTTTAATATATGTCAAGGTCATTCGTTTGAACAAACTTGGTAGTCATTTATCCTAGCATACTACTGGCTAAATATTATCATCCAAGGCCTTTTGGTTATTGAGAAGTTATTTAAAGGTTTTTAACATATTTGAACCATGTGATCTTGAAAATAGATGAAGGTCATTCGTTTGAACAAACTTGGTAGCCCTTCATCCAAGCATGTTACTGGCCAAATATCATTATCCTTTGCCGCTTGGGTATTCAGATGTAGTTGTTTAAAGGTTTAAAATATATTTGACCCCTGTGACCTTCAAAATGGGTGAAGGTCATTTGTTTGAACAAACTTGGTAGCCCTAGGCCTTCATTCCAGCATGTTACTGGCCAAATATCATCACCCTAGGCCTCTTGGTTATTCAGAAGAAGAAATTTTAAAGATATTTGAACCCTGTGACCTTGAAAATGGATGAAGGTCATTCATTTAAACAAACTTTGTAGCCCTTGATTCCAGCATGCTACTGGCCAAATATCATCATCATAGGCCTTTTTGTTACTGAAAAGAAGTTGTTTAAAGTACGCCGCACCATGGCATAAGCTCACCTGCCCGAAGGAGGGAGGCATATGTGTAGCGGAACTGGACTGGGTTGATCGTCGATGACCAGATAGCTCCATTGGTAGATCATATATATCCTGTTACAAAAACCCGATCAGGATTTGAACACTTGAAAGTTGACTTGCACACGATCACAATTTGGTTGCTATACCTGATCTGCATATAGTTTATCCCTTGACTTAGTTATCAAAAACAAAACAAAGGGAAGGTAACTGAACCTGTAGTGGACATTTTCTAGTTTTTTATTACAAAGGGGTCATGCTTTATATCGAGGAGGCATTCAATATTCTTTTAATTTGAGCCAAAAAAAACTAAATCAATGAAATAATGGTTTTAAATAAAACTTCTGTACTTTTTTTTTTATCTCTTAGCCAATAACTGCACACTGACAGCTGTTACTACTGATGACGTAACACTCATGTTTACATTCATGTAAGCAAGCTGAGCTGTCAAAGGCATTTAAACCAATCAGGGAGCAGTTTTTCTTCCCCTACCCAACTCCCATGCTTCGCACAATAAACATCCATATACGACGCTTTGGGGTTGATGCGCTTTTGTATGAAACTGAATTCGAGGAAAGCGACCAACAAATACTTCTTATATGCAAATGTCCTCACAATTACGCATGAGTGTGCACCGTGCACACGGTGTGTACAGTAACCTACCAAAATAGTCCATGAACACAAATAAATAGCACTGCGCTTTTCCTCGGATATTCCCACACAAGCAGACTCTGAATGCGCATCACCAAAGGTTCGATCGGGCTAAGAATTCTTTTGAACATGTTTTCTGTTCTTTGGACATGTTCGTCATCGCTTCGTGACTCCGAATTCTCCATGGTGGTCACTTATCCTTCGACGCAATCTGAAACTATCAAAGTCAGTGCCCCAATATTTTTGTTTTGGATATGACGTCAGACCATGTGACATTTAAGGCATTTAGGGCATGACCTAATTATTAATATGTCATTTTTATCACATATTTAGGTAATGTCCGTTTACAAAAATTCAGTTAGTACACAAATTGGAGGAATCTTCAAAATAAACTAAAAATATAAAAATTCTCGATTGACAGAGAACAGGAAGTGCAACACAATGTCCAATACAAAAGTCGGATTTGTGAGGTATTCCGGTAAATTTCCTTGCAACGTTATCAGATTAAATTCCCTAGAATATATTTGAGATACATACCCAAGCAGACGTGTACGATTTTCACCCATTGTTTTGAAATAAAATAACCATAAACAGATTTTATTGTAAAACGATTTTGATGGCCGGTGGACAATTTTACCACAAACTGGCTGCTGCTTTGTCGAAAAATAAATATGTAATTGATCAATTTTATCTACTTTGTTGGATCCATTTAAGTTTAAATACAAAGTTGATAAATTTCCTTGATTTATGAAATAAACAAGTTGCGTCCTTGTAAGGAGTGTCAAAAAAATCACAGTTCTTCTATTCTAATTTTAGTCAACACCGGAAGTTCCTCTATACACTGCCGCCATTTTTCGAGTGTCAACAAGTTTTCTACGTGATTCCAAAAAGAATGTGACGGGGTGACAGGAAAATAGCAGATTATCACGATGCCACGCGAAATCATAACCTTGCAACTGGGACAATGTGGCAACCAAAGTACAGCATACTTTAATCGTCACTTCTTATTGCTTACGTTTTGACTGTTAATTTTTATGATCTGCTTCTTTATTAATTCCTGTAGGAACTCGATCTAATTCAGAGATTTTTTATACATCTCTGATTTAGATAGAGTTCCTACAGAAATTACTTATTTATAAATCAAAGTTTCTGTTTCAGAAACCGGTCAACAGAAACCTGTGTCTGGGCATTTCGTCCTAAATCCCCAGGTCCAGTACACTCTGCCGATTGAGCTATATAGCTGTAAAGACCTTTAATAGCTCTATTGCCCTATCTGAAATAGGTCTTTTGAGCTATTTTCAAGTGATTTTCTTTTTTAAGGAAAACGAAAATCACTTGAAAATAGCTCAAAAGACCTATTTCAGATAGGGCAATAGAGCTATTAAAGGTCTTTACAGCTATATAGCTCAATCGGCAGAGTGTACTGGACCTGATCCCGTTCGCCCTACCTTGATCTGTGCACTCTTTTTACCAATCTATTTTCCTTGATAGCAAAATCAGAAAGAAAACTAGTTATTTGAAATTTATTGTCATGTCTTATTTTTCCGTTGGTTAAGTTAAGGTTTCGATATAATGTAATTTAAAAATATGGGAATATTATTTGTGAGTAGCATAGCCACCTGTAATAGGAAAGACAATAGTGTGCTTTTCATCGGGGATCGAAACCACGAGCACTATGTTCCTAGTCGGACGCTCTACCACTGAGCTAAGGCCAAATAAAAAAAAAGTGTTTTTCCTGTTTCGGCTCCAAAACAAATAGGGTAGACCTAGCTTTTTTTTCTTTCTCTGATCTCCTGATTACCTCTGTGAAATGTTAAACATATGTTATTGTTTTAGTTACGTATGGATGGAACCAAAAAGATCTATATAAATTTTTATTCATTTAAAATAAACACACAAATAAGAAAATTCCTGCATTCCTAGTTTTTGTGTTGAGCAGGCCCCCAAACGACACATTGACATAGTTTATGGTATAACCAACATAATTAACAGTAGTGCTGCCACCAGTGTTTCATTTCTAAATTATCCCTAGCTACTGCTGGACATGTTAGTAAATGTTCTCAACTCACTCTCTCCTAATTATATAAGCTTAACTACCACTTTCTGTCCCTTAGCAAAATCCTGCTACAATAGAAATGTTGATATATTAAAATTGTTGATGCTGCTTTAAAATATGTTAGAATTTGACCACTATATGACTAGGTTAAACTGGCCATAAATTCTGCTATATTTGACATCAGCTTGAGGCACAATCACTGACATCACAGTCTGGATTCCTGACACCTATAGACTACAGACGGTCACACTAATCTACAGATCCCAACCTATATCATAGGCACAATTATCTACGGGTACTTAGCTACCATCTTCAAATAAAACTCTGACACTGACCACAAGTCAAGGCTTATAAAATGCATAGTAAATTATATGTACACTTTGAACAATTAAATGGCTAATAACTGCATAACAGTGACTGTGAAAAACCAATAAAATGTAAAAGGGTCGGCATGAAAAAGTAGGGTTGGTCAAGAAACACATGTATATTTTCCTTTCGGCCTAAAGGGGAAATTCCCTCTAGCTCGAAGCTAAAAGGCAACCTTAATCCTATGTACAATTAAAATTCTGACCCCTTTTAAAATGTGTTCGCCCTTGAACACCACAGCCCAGATTCTAACTCCCTGTCACCACAGGGAGGGCCGCAGACACCATTTGTAACAGGGAAGACAATAGTGAGCTTCCATCGGGGTTCAAACACGCGATCCCTAGGTTCCTAGTCGAGCAGAATTGCAAGTCTAATTTTGATTAGATTAATATTGTGTTTTAACAAATAGCCAACACATTTTCATGAGAAAATTATCATGTTTTAACTTTTTTACATTTTCACAAAATAACTAACATGTTTCAATGTTTAGGTTGCTAGGTGGTCTGGAGGGTCTGCCCTATGGGTTTCCAGAAACTAGAAAGGGCTATATATATATGCCATAACCTAATTCTAGAAAAGGAATTACTGGTAGCTAGTCTTGTGGGCTGAAATTCAGGGCTACTGCCTGAAAGTAGTTAGTGTCAGCCCCTGCTTATTTACATTACTCACATTGAAAATATCATGCAAACTCTAATAGTTGTATGAATTATTATGTTTTTAGTTGGCATGGAGTTCTGGAAGCAGCTTTGTTCAGAGCATGGCATAAGCCCAGGTACTATAAACCTTTTGTTACTGCATTACTGTAATTTTACTGTAATCTCCATTTATCAAGACCATTCAATGTCTTATAACTACAGCATCATTTAGAATGGCTTTCTTGAAAAACATGAGAAAAAAAAAGTTTCACTTTACAACTTATTCAATTTTACTATACAACTTACTTGTATAATGGTGTATGATAGCCGTAGCCTGTTGTCTCATCCTTTTGATAATACATGAATTGTTTTACAACTTTTAATATATGTTCATCTGTATTATTGTTATTCTATACGTATTATCAATACCATATTTTGAATTGTATGATTAGCAGATAAAATGTATACATATTGTCAGACTTAAACCAATGCTGGTAATACTGTATAACACTTTTTGTATTACAGATGGTATACTGGAAGAATATGCAACAGAAGGAACTGACAGAAAAGATGTTTTCTTTTACCAGGTAAGATTTAACTGCAGGTACAGTACTTTTTTTCTATTACCAATTCAAGAAAGTATTTGCTTAATGCACAGATCGTACGGTACATGTACGTTTCTGTCTTTAACATAATGTACATGTACCTGCACAAAGGATGTTTACAAAGAAAATAATCCAGCAATAAGACTATTACATGTTTCCCAATATTAATCTTTTAACAAATCCTTATTTATTTTTTCAGATGACAATGCAATATCTAGAATATAAAAAGCTGTTTATTCCACTTAAATTTTGAAAATGATTCCCTATTTTGATAACTGTAATTTTCCCATTTTGAAAGCAACATACCCGATTCCCAAAGTAGTGAAAAATGCCCTGGTTAGTGATAGATTTGTTCACATAATAAAGTATTGATTCAGAAGGAAAAATGTAGTATTTCCTTGGAAAATCCAGCAATAATGCTTTACATAAGAATTCATTTAATTTCAAGTGACAAGTCTTGTTAGCTCACTTGCCCGAAGGCAATATAATATTTAATGAAAATAGTTTGCTATGACTGCTTAAATATTCAGGTGAGCGATACAGGCCCTCTGGGCCTTTTGTTTTTTATTACTCCTGAAAATGTATTCGTACAGACATTCTGAGGCGTTAAATTGAAAAAAACTCTGCTGTTGATTATAATGAAGTTGAACATGAACATACATTATTATTGGACAGGCTGATGATGAACACTACATTCCCAGAGCAGTCCTACTTGACCTTGAACCCAGGGTCATCAACACAATCATGAACTCGCCATATGCCAACTTGTACAACCCGGAGAATGTGTACTTGTCTAAAAACGGAGGTGGAGCTGGCAATAACTGGGCCAGTGGCTACGCGCAGGCAGAGAAGTTGTATGAAGAAATATTTGACATCATTGACAGGGAAGCTGACGGCAGTGACAGTTTAGAGGTGTGTATTATGTTTATATATTTTTTGTAGTTAAGAATTTAAAACCTTGAAGGATCAGGATACCTATAGGTCCCTTAAAACAATCCATTCTCAATTGAAGAAGTGTGTGATTTTTCCAAATTTGCCCCTTTAAAATTCCTGATTGGAAAATGACCAAAAAGAAGTACATGTACATGTAATAAATTCTAGCACCAAAGTATAATTTTTCTTCATCTCAAACCAAAGTTGATTTTCATGTAATCTTCTTGTAGGAAAAATAGAAATAGGTTTGCTCATAATAGCTTGCTGGAGCTGGAATAGTAGATCATTGACTTTGTAAAATCTTTTCACAAGGATTACTGCTTGGATAACCAGACAACTGGACTATCCCCCAACTGACTCATCGGCCTTGTCTGTGTATCAGGTGGTTATATTGACAGTGAAGCAAGTACTACAGGTTGTAAGCATGCATTAGATTTTGGTGTCTGCTATTTTCAGGGTTTTGTGGTATGTCATTCAATAGCTGGTGGTACAGGATCAGGGATGGGATCTTACCTACTGGAGAAACTTAATGACAGGTATATTCACTTCACAACTTATTACAAATTATGTTGTCAAGTTTATGAACAGTTTTAGTTTCCTAGAAATAGAAAGATTTAGGGTAGAATCTGATCAACTTTTACAGAGAATTCAGTATGTGCTCTCTGACTCTCACCTTTATCAGACATTGGTTTGTCTGATGAAGGTGATGAAAACTATTGGACAAGTCACCAATATGTCTCACAGAAACGTTTGACTGTTTGGGCTATATGAACCTGAATGCAATCTATACATTGCTAACCTGAAGAAATGTTAAAAAAATATATATCTCATAAGATTGGTAAGAATTATTGATTTTCATGGTATATGGCCTGGAATAATAGTGATGTCTTTTAAAGGTAAAATTAACCTTTCTACTTGAGAATGATGAGCGTCATAGGACAAAGTATTAGCAATATATTATAGGTGAAACACTACCTACATAAAGATTTATGATAGGTGTTTTGTGAATGTTTTGTAGATAATGAAAGCAGTTTTTACATAAAAGATATTTGTGATATAAATGAAGAATTTTCTATCATAAAAGCATTCATATTTTGTAGATTTCCTAAGAAGCTGATACAGACGTATTCTGTGTTCCCTAACATGGATGAGATATCTGACGTGGTGGTACAACCATACAATTCTATCTTGACTTTAAAGCGTCTCACACAAAATGCTGACTGTGTGGTGAGTTTTTCAGATTGTTGTTCACCATAAAAACAAACAAAAGTTGATAATGGATTGATAAACCCTTGGCCCCTGTTAAAAAAGTGTCTAACTTGAGAAGTACTTCCTAACAGAATCAACCAGTTTGAGTTTCCATAGAACAAAATTTACAAATAGTTATCGTGTTTCTTCTTTATGGGTGAAAATTTCACATTCATACTTTAAAACTGGTCATATTCATTCAGAAACTATTGTATGGACACAAACTCTCAACGTCTGCTGGCGGCTTCAGTCAGTTTGATCAGTGATGTATTTAGGTAGAAAATACTATCACAAAAAATTTAATAACACTACACTTAGAAAGTACGTATGTTTGTGGGAAATGACCCTGCAATTGTAAACCAGAGGTCTTATATCTCACCTTGACTCAGAATGTAAGATATAGATATCCAGTTGAGATGTGTATACATTGTATTTCTTTTCCATTTCATGTAGAATTTAAAAAAAGCAAGTGAGATTTTAATAGGATTAATATGAAACATGATGAAAACTGGCAACATTTGGTAATTTTGTGTACCCGAAAAATAGCAATTTTAGTTTGTGATGCTAACATTTTTTGGGGTGATTTCTTGTGTGCTAAGTTTTACATTATTAGCTCACCTGCCCCAAGGGCAAGTGAGATTATGTCATGGTGCGTCGATTGTCGTTCGTCAGTTGTCCGTCCGTCAACTTTTCCTTTAAACAACTTCTTTTGAAGAATGAACAGGCCTAGAGCCATGATATTTGACAGAAAGCTTCGTTGGTAGGAGCCCTACATAGTCTAAGAACGAAAATGACCTTGACTTACTTTCAAGGTCACATGGGTCATATATGTCAAAAACATCAAACGACTTCTTCTGAATAATCAAAAGGCATAAAATTATAATATTTGGCTGGTGGCTGGGAAAGAGCTCACCAAAGTTTACAAATGAAAAGGAGCTCAACCTACTTTAACGGTCACAGAGGTCAACAACATTTCAAAGGATTTGTTCTGAAGAACCAAAAGGAATGGATTCATAAGATTTGGCTGGTAGCTTCTTGGGATAGAGCTAACAAAGTTTGAGAAGGAAAAGGGCATTGACCTACTTACAAGCTAGGTCACAGGGAAAAATATGTCAAACAACTTCTGAAGAAGAACCAAAAAGCATAGAATCTTATAATTATAATAATATTTGACTGGTAGTTTCAACAGATGGATCCGACAAAGTTCGCGAGTGACAAATTTGTAGTGCAATATGATATTTAATAAGAATATTTTGCTTTGACTGCTTACATATTCAGGTGTGCGATAAAGGCCCTCTGGGCCTCTTGTATTTGAATTAATTAATTATTGAATGAAGTAATAACATGATTCTTTTTGTTTCCAGGTGGTTTTAGACAACACAGCATTACATAGGATAGCGGCTGACAGACTGCACATAGACACGCCATCCTTTGCCCAAATTAACCAGCTGGTATGACCTCACACATCATTTATTTCAGACATTAAAAGTACACACACATTATATACATATCAAATTATAGTTGTAGAATAACAATTCCATAGATCCTAGAATCTATTTACCTTGTTCTGCAATATTGATATATATATATACAAATTTAAGAGAGAAAATAGAAAAGTTTGTGCCATAGCATTTAGCTAAGCATCTTCTTGTTCCTTGTTGTGAAAACTTACCTGGAGCTGAGTTTGTATAACACTGGTCTAATATGGCTGTATCCTGAAGACAAGGGGATCTCTGTTACTAGAACATAAATATTCCATGAAATATTTTGAAATCATTGTAAAATCGATGTAAAGACTCTTGTTAATCTTGGTCTTGGTAGGTAAAACGCTTACATACTTGTTATCATAACCAATGGATAAAAAGTATTTCTTATTAAACTTGAAATTTCAGATTAATGATTTTGTATGTGATTCCATTAAATAGGTGTCTACGGTAATGTCCACCAGTACGACAACACTCCGTTACCCAGGTTACATGAACAATGATCTGATTGGCCTGATAGCCTCCCTCATACCCACCCCACGTCTTCACTACTTGATGACGGGATATACACCCCTCACAACAAACTCTCAGGTAAGTAAACTCATTCATATCACATATCCACTTCCTGATGATAGGTTACACACCCTAATGATTTGATCGGCCTAATAGCTTACCTCATACCCACACTAGGACAACTCTACCTGATGGTGGGTTACACCCTCACCACAAACTTTGCCACTCAACAATCCCAAACTCCTTATCATATATAGAAGATGATTAATGGTTATGCGTCACAATACCCCCCTCGCAACGAAGTTAGGGGGAGTATACTGGAATCAGCATGTCTGTCTATCTGTCCGTCCATCTGTCTTCACTGAAATTAAGAAGAATGTTTAAGCTCAGTTTCCAAGTTTTTAATTATCCAACATCAATTAAACTTGCATGGCTTATGTATCTAAGGATGCTAATCACATGCGATGCTTCAGATGCTGGTTCTTACCCACATTTTTCGCTTCATTGACCAGGGTAAGAGGTTTAGTTAAGGTCAGTTACTAAGTTACTCCTTGTACATCAACTAAACTTGCATTGCTTATGTATCTAAGGATGCTTATATCACATGCAATGTTTCGGATGCTGCTTCTGACCTAAATTTTCTGCTTGACTAACCAGGTTAAGAAGATTCGTTGAGGTCAGGCCCCCATCTGCACTATGGTTAAGAAGATTGGTTTAGGTTGTTTACCAAGTAACTATTTGTCCGACATCAACTAAACTAGGTTCTTACCTACATTTTTTGCTTCATTGACCAGGTTAAGAGGTTAAGTTAAGGTCAGTTACTAAGTAACTACTTGTACATCAACTAAACTTGCATTGCTTATGTATCTAAGGATGCTTATATCACATGCAATGCTTCGGATGCTGCTTCTGACCTAAATTTTCCGCTTGACTGACCAGGTTAAAATGATTTGTTGAGGTCAGGCCCCATCGTGCATGCACTATTGTTAAGAAGATTGGTTTATTTCAGTTACCAAGTAAAGACTTGTCCTACATCATATAAATTTGCATTGCTTATGTTTATTAAAGGATGCTTATCACATGTGATGCCTTACATGGAAATGTATTGTAGCAATCCGGCCATATCGCCATTGGCGTTTTCTTGTTTACAAAGATATGACCCTTTGTTGAAAAATCCTTGTCCGGAAAACTTTTCCAAAACTACATTGCCAATTTCGATGAAAGTTTTCAGATATGATACTTACCACTTGATATTGTGCATCCAGGTATTATTTTTTCATTCTCACCTTTTTTTATGGAGTTATTGCCCTTTGTTAAAAAACGCTTGCCTGGACAACTTCTCAAAACCTACTGAACCAATTTCAATGAAGGTTTTCAAATATGATAGCTACCACCTGATGTTGTGCATTTAGGTATTATTTGCAGGGTTGCCAACCTCTCAGGAGTCCAGTGTGAGAGATTTCCCTCCACTGGGTTTTCTTAAGTGTGAGACTTTTGACGGTGTCGAGGCATACCATCGTTTTGGGTGTTAAGATAACATTAACAAATGTATCAAACAAATCCTGGATTTCTCTGACTACTATAACATCTGCATTGTTGACCTTTTTACTTCAGGATCTTTGTAGGAAATAAAACAAAACAAAAAAATTTCAGATATATATCAGATTTTTATTTATCACACATAAAAACTGACATCAGAAATGCAACACATTATATAATCAAAGGCCTTTCTTGTAACGATTTCATTCTTGGCTAGAACAGGTATCAGTCTTTTTTTTCTGTATTGCCGTTATGCTTTGGCATGGGATGTTGTCCATGACCTGCAAAAATAACAGTTCATATTAAAAGTAAAAAAAATACCATTGTAGTAACATGAAAAGTTCATTAATATGAAAGATAAAAAAAATATGATAATTTGACAGTGGAAAAATATTTTCCAGTTACTTCTGGCTACTATATATATATATCCTAAGCAACAAATAGACCCTGATCATTTGTACCATGTTTGCAATCCGATTCAATTGATTTGTTGCACGATTATGTATACCTACGCAATGATGGAATAGTCAATAAATTCTAACAGTGTTTGTTTTGATTGCAGGTTGCAAGCGTGAGGAAGACGACGGTATTAGATGTAATGAGACGATTGTTACAGCCCAAAAACATGATGGTATCAACGCATGCCAACCGTCAGGCAAACCATTGTTATATCTCTATCCTCAACATCATACAGGGCGAGGTGGACCCCACACAGGTACAGTGCAACCTCTGCAGATGTATAACTGAAATAATGTAAAAGGAAAATTTATACCCAGTAGCATATGGTGTATGTTTTTGTCCATTTTCAAAAGAGGAAGTTTCCAGGCTAGTTGACACCCCTTTGAAAATATGATACTGGATGAGGTGAACCTCACACAGTTATTAAAAATGCTGACATCTGACTGACTGTAAAATTAAAAATGCTGACATCTGACTGACTGTAAAAAAGCTGCTAATCACAAAGAAAGAAATGAGGTTCTAGTGTAAGGGTTGTGAAAGAAAACTTAGAAAAAATCCTTGATGTAAAATGATGTGCCAAAAGGAAGCTTGAAATGGCCTTTGTAAAAAAATATTTGTGATCATGATCTTCTTAAAAGATAAGTTGTTTATGCAGGTGCACAAGAGTTTACAGCGGATCAGAGAGAGGAAACTTGCTCAGTTCATCCCCTGGGGACCGGCCAGCATCCAGGTGGCACTCTCACGTAAATCTCCCTACACACAGACAGCTCACAGAGTCAGTGGACTTATGCTGGCAAATCACACTAGTATTTCTTCCGTAAGTTTTAGAAACATTGTTCATTACAATTATAGTCCTTAACTTACTTTTGGTACAGGAAATACATGCATCACATTCTGATAACTGATGCGTAATGTGAAGTATGATTTTTTGCTTCAATCCCTGTGTTTCCTTGTACAATATTGTATGAAATATTCTTTGATTGTTATGTAAAATTTGTTTGAATTTTCAAACATAATTTATATAGATAACGATAAAATATGTGATTCAGGAACACTTTGATGGTGCAAGAAATTATTTTCACAGTTCTTTTTATTTTGTATTATATTTCGTTTTCAATAAGTGGAAATACAATCATAACTTCATCCAAACACATACATTATTCTGAAAGCAAAGATATAGAGAGTTAGTTTTTGAGAATACATATTAAAGAGATATTCTGTATTGGGAAATTGAAGATTTTGCAGTTAATGATATATAACTGTATTCTTTAATTTTGTTTGCACAAATCAAAGGATTGAAAATTTTCGCTGATTTTAGTTATTTGAGAGAACCCTTCGACAATATGACAAACTGAAGAAACGTGAAGCTTTCATGGACCAGTTTAAGAAGGAATCAATTTTCAAAGACAACTTAGACGAGTTTGATAATTCAAGGGAGGTAATTCAACAACTTGTGGATGAATATCAGGCTGCCACGAAACCTGACTATCTGTCATGGGGTACACAACAGGTAGGTACCCTGTTTATTTAAGCTTGTTACAGACAATGATGTTGTTTAATTGACTAAATTACTGTTGTAATCTTTTTAAAGACATCTAGCTACGAGGGAAATTATAGAATAGACTGGTTATATAATCCTTTGAGGAAATTGCTATACTATCATTTTCCTTTTTTAGCTCACCTGGTCCGAAGGACCATGGTGAGCTTATGCCATACCGTCATCGTCTGTCCGTCAACTTTCCTTTTTAAACGCTACTTGTCCTGAATGGCTCAATAGATTTTGACTAGAGTTGGTCTGGAGCATCCTTAGGCCAAGAGGACTCAGTTTTGTATAAATGGTGGGTGTGGCCCCCATTGGGGCAAAGGGGAGGGGCCCTATGGGGGAAATAGAGGTTAACTTAAAAATCCTTCTTCTAACATAGGGATTAAGGGATTTCATCACTATTTGGTCTGGAGCATCCTTGGGCAAAAGGGACTCAATTTTATATAAACAGTGAGTGTGACCCCCCTGGGGGCAGAGCCCAATAGGAAAAACAGAGCAAATTCTTCAAAATCCTTCTTCTTCCGTAGGAATACAAGAATTTGGTCCAAATTTGGTATGAAGCACCCTCGTGTTAAGGGGAACCAATTTTGTATAAACAGTGGGTCTGACCCCTCTGGGAGCAGAGAGGTGAGGCCCAATAAGGGTGATGGAGGAATAGCTTTGATATCCTTTAACTTCCGTTTGGATGAAGGTATTTTGACCAAATTTGAACAGTAGCATCCTATGGAGGAGGGAAATCAATTTTGTATAAATGATGAGTTTGAACTCCCTGTGGGCAGATCTAGAGGGCAGGACCAAAAGGGAAAATAGAAAAATAGTTTTAAAATTCTTCTTCTTCTGTAGGAATGACAGGATTTTGTCAATATTTGATCTAAAGCATTCTTTGGTGAAGGGGGCTTAATTTGTATAAACAGTGGTCTGACCCCCTGGGGGTGGGGCCCAATAGGGGAAATATAGCAAATTCTTCAAAATCCTAACTTTCCTGAAGGAATGACAGGATTTTGTCCAATTGCATTTACATATAACCCCGGATTAACTATGTAATACATGTACACTACCAGTAACATCTGGCTATTTAACTTCAATTTTGCTAACATTTCCAGATGAGCGATACAGGCCCTCTGGGCCTCTTGTTTTGTTAGGTTCTGTTACTGTTCTTTTCCTTCTCAATGAAGAAAAACATGTAACAGACAAATTTAAGCATTAAGTTATTTAGAATTTCCTTCCTGTAAATACCCTGCATCCTATAGAAAGTGTCATTCTCAATAATATTGCAAGGTCCCTTAAAAAAGCCTGGAAGTAAACTGTATTCTTTTAAAACATATCCATATAAGAAGCCATTCAAATATTTTTCCGGCCAGGAAATCACTTTAGTAAAATTTCTTTTATAAAGCTATTAATGTCATAATTTGCCATTAGATTCAAGAAATTAAAATGAATTCTTTTTAGTTTGATTGCTTTGCTTATCTTCAGTAATTGCCAGTACACATGGGGTATTTAGCATTCAACAGAGTATGTATGATGGTTATCCTGTGTCGATATTAACATTGATGTTCTCCCACTTCTCCAACTGACCAGTCCAAGGATTCTCCCCTCATCCCATCAGCAACTAATACTCACTTGTCTGAAGTTCAGTATAATAAACGATTATGGCACAGTTTCATTTGAAATTAATATTACCCATTGTGAGCATTTACATGGAGTGTTTTGAGATTTACTGAATATTTTACTGCAATCAATTTTTATGGGAAATACAATACTTACTTAAAATGTTTTACCTTTAAACATCTGTTATGTAGTTTCCATGAAAGTTAAAGTTAAAGTTTTGTTTGTAATGCAAATTAACTGGCAAGTACTTGTAACCTGTAAAATATAGTTTTATGATTAAAAATAATATTATATGACTGGAACGGTTTGGGAACTAAGCTGAGGTTTGTCAGATTGTTATGATTTTTTTAAAAACAAAGGATTTATAACCTGATTTTTTTGCAGCCATTTTACCCGTCGCCTATGACTGACTGTATATATACAAGATTTGCCTTGAGTTTTTGTTGTTTAATTCTATTTTTTCTGTAGGCTCCAGCAGCTGAAAGAATATGAGAATGAGAGAAAAGGTTCCGATCAAAGTGTCAGCTTGCATTGATATCTGTCATTATGAAGTGGAAAACACTATGGTTAACCATATGGAAGAGAACATGATCAAGTTTACAGAATCTCCATTTGTTTCCCTCCATGTGCATACAGATTGATCCTATACTCGAGGACGAAGACAGTTTCATTGACTAATGACTGTTAGTCTCTGTATGAATATTAATGGTGCCTTATTATTGTTCAACTGTCCATACTCTATGTAAATTATACAAGATGTTTCTACAAAGTTACTGTTATGTAACAACACTGTGGAAATGTTGGTGTTGTGGAAATGCTCAATTTTTCACATGGAGTAAATAAACGGGAAATTATCCATATGGTGAAATATCATTTCATAATATATAGACTTCAGATTTATTGCCAAATTAGAATGTGAAAGTCTCCACACCAGGGTCAGTTTCAAGAGTGAAAACATTTCTGTACAGGAGATTTTCCACTTTTACAGTGTATTACATGAAAAATGGTTGAAAACTACGTCACATTACTTTGTAATTTTATGCTTCAAATGAAGTTGATGTTTTGACTCATGGAAATTTCTTCTTGGTCAAAAATAATTGAGAATCATTTATAGAATACTGTATAGTTTAAGCGTTCGACGGGCTAACATTTTGTTGTTGGTCCCAATCAGAGTAGATTTAAATTTGTATTGGAGCGATGGAATTTATTTTGCAAACGTTTTATCAGAATATTGTAAAATATGACATTTTTTGGTGTTTTATCGTCTGTATCTGCTTGAAAAAAAAGGCTAAACATGTCTTTATTTATCTCTATATATATTCATGATAGCGCTATTTGTTGCGTATCAAAACTTGCGCTATCTTAGTTGACTGCGAATATATTTAAATCAAATCCTCCACAAAAATTGCCAATTATAAGTATTGCTTTCCTGATGTATCATGACTGTTCTGGGGGAAATACAAATCTGTAAGATGATTGCCCACAAGCACTTGTTTAGAGACTGTCAGTGACTTGGAAACACTTCAGTGTACAGTTCAATGAACTAAAGATTATTTGATTTACCTTTTGTATGACATGAACATTTGTTGTGTATTTGATGTATAGATATTACAATGTTTGACATGAAAGCATTTCTTTGTACTTGACATTTGTACAAAACCTTCAATTTTTGTTTGTATTTGGTTACGATATATGAAATAAACAATGTATGTGATATACACTATTAGCTTAAATTGAACACTTACACCCATCTTGAAGAGGATTCCTGCTGTGTAGGCACACATTAACTCATTCACCCCTGGAATTTTATAATGAACTATTCCTACCTTTGAATTGAAAGGGTTCACATGTGTCTTCAGGGGTGAATGAGTTAAATACCTATATTGAAGTGACTTGTTACATTAATTGTGTGCTGTTGTCACAGTTGTATGATCGTCTATTTACAAGGGCTGTTCCAGAATTAACCGTAGGGAGGGGTCGGAGGCACTTCTTCAGAGACCCTACCACCACCCATCAGATATTTTCAGGTAATATAATATCAGGAATGATTTGCAGATCTGGTTTAAACACACCACCCATAATAATTAAGGTGCCTCCCATCTCCTTCATAGGCATAGGATTTATTACGAAATGGCCATACCAAACATTTAAATGTTGTAATACTATTAATCCAAAGCAAGGCCCTGTTTTACAACTACATGTGTGTACATGTAGATGGTCAAAATACTTCTGGATTACAACCCACTGCTGAAATTCAGTTCTATACAACCATTGGTGAGGATTTCATTATACAAAAAAAAAATCAAAACCTACTTGATTGTCCACTGTTGAAATGTTGAGGAATATTTTGTGAAGAAGAGAACATGAAAATCAGATGACATAAAATCATAATAAGATAATGTACAGATGTAAATATTTATTTGCATTCGATTGATTAAAAGTTTTCTGTGACTATTGTAACGCACATATATAGAATATCGTATTACAAGGTAGTATTTCAATGATGTACAAAGTTAATTTTAACAAATCTTTGAAAACACCTTTAAGGGGTAAGTAAATGTCATGCTAAATTTTGGGGTAATGCATAATAGATAGACATTGACAATGACAGTAATGAAGAAAATGCTTATTTGATAATAATACTTGAGCATACATGCATCAGCAGAGGTCAAATTTCTGAGCGTGTTCGGTTTTGGGGCTCATGTTGTTTGCATACTCATTACTGCAAGTTTGTTTGCATCATCAGTTTGTTGAAGTGGATGTGTAAGTAGCACTGGCTGCATTTCAATCTACTATTTAAGTAAATGCAATACAAATAACTAAGTTCTCACTGTTTTACCTTCATACCTGTAGAAAATAATTAATAATAAACAACATATTGGTTTACAATGGGAGGCACATTGCCATATTCTGTTTTTTTTGCATTTTCCGATTTAGGCTCAAAAACTTGTCATCTGACACATGTGTGTTTAATTCATAGTAAAGAACTGACTCAATGCTAGGACACATAGCGACAGTCTTCCCGTTTGAGATATTTGCACATTCCAAATCCTGTAGCAGAAGATCTTATGAATATATATTCAGACTTTTTAAATAACCCTTTATATATTTCTAAATTGCAGGATAGTGCTAAGTGAAATATATCTTGGTTTAATGTGTAGGTAGTAGCTATCCTTGATACATCTCAAGTGATAAAAGATCTGAAGCTACATGTGTGTTGATAACATTACTTGTCAATACTTAGATATTAGTGTTTTCCATGCTATTACAGTAGCGCTAAGCTATGATAAACACAAAATATATGATCTTCATAATCATGCTTGTTAAGAATGATTTTAAAGCTAAACTAGGATACATGTATTTTAAAAATGTTCACACATGAGCGGGAAGATCACAGTATGCATTTTATAGTGTGTTAAAAAGATTTCTAACTTCAGAAGTTTCACAGTACATTGATGACTATCTCGATGTATGTCTATGGATATATTATCCTTAATTAGATTTGAAAACCACATACATGCTAACAGTGTTATTTTCATCAATGATTGTCAGTGATGAACACTATTTCACAGATAAACAGCTCTCAAACATGGTTTGATATAATCAGCTTTGGAGTTTGTTCATTGCATGTATCAGTTCTAGTATATTAAAACTGGAAAAAAGGAATAAAATGAAATTTAGAAAACTGCAAATATGCCTGATTCTGTTATATATTGTACAAATACGATACTCAAAAAGGTAATGAGCATTTGATACCTTCGTTTGGAAGCATTCTTCTGGCTTGTGATAAAATAAAAATAATAATATACAGCATTTGATATAGCGCCCTATCTAGATAACATAAGCCACTCTAAAGCTCTTGACAGTACATAGATCTACAATATACATAATGTATACATCATTTGATATAGCGCCCTATCTAGCTAACATAAGCCACTCTAAAGCGCTTGACAGTTCATAGATATATACACATTGAATACTATGATCATTTACATAATCAATACAGATTTTGAGGTATGGTAAGGATACCTTGCACTGATAGTGAAGAGTAAAGGGGAAATATCTAACGTACAAGTACATGTATCTCCAATTACACCTTAACCCGGTTTGAAAATAAATGTTTCATTCTTGATAATGTTATCCTTTTTAATCAAATAAGGGGTGGTCAGAAACTTTGTGTCAACGAAAGGATGAAATTAATAGACAAAAGGAAACCCAACTAAAAAGAACAATGAACCTCCACAAAAATAAATCTTGCGATAAGGATTTTGTGAAAACAATGTCTTCTGCCATTTCCAGGAAAGTAAATTCGTCACTATGATCAATAATCACTATCAATACGAAGTAAAAAACAAATATCTGAACAAAGTAAATATTACCGACACCGTATGGCCATGTAGTTCATTAAATACTCAACAGCGATACTAGACGTTTGAAAATAACTTTTAACTTCACATCTGAAGTGTCCGGGAACATATGTTAATATCTGAAACGATGCTTTCTTAAATCAAGGTTAGATACATTGTGTCTTAAATCAAGGTTAGATACATTGTGTCTTAAATCAAGGTTAGATACATTGTGTCTTAAATCAAGGTTAGATACATTGTGTCTTAAATCAAGGTTAACGTTAGACACATTGTGCTATGTTGTACGTCGGTTGATGACCAAACTTTTCAGACACAGGACTGCAGCCTTCATCTTTTCTCAGTTCCCGACACTGGGTAGTGTGCTCTAGAGCTATAGGAAACAATTCCACTCTAAGCAACAACGCGGCCAATGTAAAACCTTTGTTGATAGGTCCCTGTCTATCCCAGTTTGGTCGCTGTTGTCTTGTCTCCCCTCATCACAGCCCAGTACTCGTCCTCCTCTACTCCTTCCCAGTTCTCATTCTTCAGTGGTCTCATGTATCTGTTTGAAGTTTACACAACACATTATAATTAATATACGAACAAATAAACACGATTACCGTCAGATATAGATGCGTTAGGCATCTTGGATCTTCACTTTTTTCCTTATAATAATAATATTTATTCCGGTAAAATACGCATGTTATTACAAGATAATACAATTTAGAATAGAACCTACAATTAAGATCACCAAGAATATTTTGTATTAAGACTGAGAATAAGCATAGATCTATCAGAATAAAAGGTTTCTTAATTCAATCCTTGACATATATCACATAGTATACAAATCTAAAAAAAGTCTAATAGATTAAAAAATAGGGAAATATTACTATTAAATGAGACAGACTATTTTTTAGTACATGAAGGTAGATATAAATAAGTCGCATAATAGTTGTGGTGTGTGCCATTTACCTAGGAATACCCATACAAGCCACAAAGTGGCTTATTTCCAATGGGGTCCTTCAGAAATGGAAGAAAATAAAAGCAAAAATAAGAAATACAATCCGGTAACGGTTCAGATAGCACAGAACAGGATATGTGTGTATCATATTAGATAATTGATCGGTAGAATTGCATTTCCATTTATATAGAAAACGATACAACATACATAATAATTATTATTTATAGTGGCAGACAGCTTCTTATAGTAGCAAACTATACAATATTGTTACATACATGTAGTTATTTTCAAAGATATCAAAATACTAAAACAAACTAAATATACCGACAGATCTTTTCATTTCTGTTTATAGAAAGGCATGAAAACAAATGAAATTTGAAATGTTTATGCAATGCCGCAAGTCAAGCTTTCCAAGGGTTGGGGGTCCCCCTACCAGCGAGGTATGATCGACCTGTGCACAGGTCTAAATATATATTTTGTGACAGAGAATGAAGAGGTAATACATGTGTGCTCAATAGTAGACAAAGAGATCATCAAATTCATTTTTTCCTTGAAGCACAAAGTGTTTTTTAGCATTGGTTTTGAATTTATGTTTTTTTTTTTTATATGATCCGGTAAAGAGTTTCAATCTTTAGCAGCCGAAAACAAGTAGATGAGTGAAATTTGAATTTCCGGTCTAGTACCGTATGGGTTATTGTTTTTGGTGAAAAAATCATGAATATACTGAGGACATTTCTCATTAAAGATGTTAAATGCATGATTTAAACGAAGTTGTCGAAATCTTCCCTCTACATTGAGCATACTATTTTTTTTGTAGTTCACTAAAGGTAATTATTGTCCTGTTATTTAAGTTAAGAATAAAACGGACCTTTTTATTTTGGGTAATTTGAAACTTTTTTTATGTAATTTAGAAAGACCCGCATACCAAGAGGAACTGGCATAATCGAAATGACATTGTATGAGAGCTGAACATAGAGTTTTTCGTTATTTTTGGGATAGACAGTTACTATTTCTGTAAAGGAATTTTAGTCTTTGATTGTTATTTTGTATGACACTGGAGATAATTTCTTCTCCAGATAAAAATCTGTCAATCATCAATCCAAGGTATTTTACAGCTGAATGAGAATAAATAGTTTGACCTTTTGCAAGAAACCTGAAATTTATCCTTGGGCGGTTTAATTAATTTTCTTTTTGGACCAAAAAGGATACTATCTGTTTTCCCCAGATGTAATGATAATTTATTATCAACAAGCCAATCATGACAGGATTCCAAAACCAAGGAAAGTTTAGATGAAATCAGGGCATTTATGTGAGAATATGATAGCACTGTCATCCGCATAGAGAAATAATTTACATGAATTTTCAATACTTATTTACATGTCATTGATATAAACCAAAAATAAAAGTGGTCCCAATAAACTTCCTTGGGGAACCCCGCAGTTGACATTACCAACTGACGAGTGTACCCCATTTACACTGACGAGTGTACCCCATTAACACTGACGAGTGTACCCCATTAACACTGACTAGTTGGGACCTATTTTCTAAATACGATTTGAACCAGTTGCAGGACTCGACACCAATAAACCTTAATTTGTTACACAATATAGAATGATTTACTGTATCGAAAGCTTTTTGTAGGTCTAACAAGACCATACCAGTGAATAAACCTTTCGACGTTTGAGATTTTATATAGTCCATGAGATAGATCAAACAGGAGTCAGTAGAGTATGATTTCCTGAAGCCGGATTGAAATTCATACAATAGGTTAATTTTAACAAGAACATTTTCTAATTGGTTATAGACTACTAATCCTAAAAATGTTGACACAATATTGAGGATGCTCACAGGTCTATGGTTTTCTGCCTGAAGTCTTTCCTTCTTTTGAATAAAGGGATAGCTTTTGCAGTTTTAAGATCGTCAGGTACTATACCCTCAGATATGGATAAATTTATTAGAAAGGTGATAGGAGTTTTGATTATTGGTGCCGCATACCGCAATAATCTGGCAGGAAATTAATCTAAACCTGGTCTTTTACATATATGTAGCAAGATATATAGCAATGACTATGTTAAAAATCATATTGATTTGGAATACTTTTTTTTATTTCACCGACAACATTATTAACAGGCTCTACCAATTAATTCGGGTAAAAATCTTATTCCGAGAGTTGTTTCCTGAAAAATAGTTCTCAAGATAGAAATAATTGATCGGTAGTATATACTATTACGCCATTATATGGGAATGCAATAACTAACCGCACCAGCCTTACCTTTTCATAATTTCCTCTTTAGTTTTACGCTCCGTATCTGTCAATGGCATGAATATAGCATCTAGATTTTTCTTTGCGTTTATTAAACTGTAATAAAAAATAGTCCAAAAATAAAACATGTAAAGTCGACACATTCGGTTAATTTAGACAGTACTGAACAATACTTTTATATTGCAATGCAGAAACAAACATTGTTTGGTTTCTTTATTTCATTCTTGTTTTGTTTTTATAGAACAGCAATATAAATTATACACTAAGTTTTGTATATAAGTTTACCTTGCTGAGCTGAACAACGTCGTAGGCAGCGGCAGGTCGAGTGAATAAGAAAGTGCCACTCTCGACAAATCCGTTCCCATTTGCTATAAAATATTTTTCATTTCTTTTTAAGTAGGAAATTTAAAGCAATAAAAGGTTTAGAATTATTTTTGACACAAAATTAAAGAATAAGTTCTAACTGCGTGTCGGGTTTTGTTGGACCCATTTCATATTCAATTAATTTTGTTTAGGCAATTAGGATATCCATCATTTTGACCCCTAGCATTAACATGGGGTTTTAGAAGGAAGAAACCGCTGTTCGATGCAGTGTAACTCAATTTTAGCATACAGTGTCTATTACCTATTTGTATAGGTGCAGTCACATGCTAGTTTGTTACGTTAAATTTATTTCAACTAATGCCGTTGTTTTGAAAAACTGCTAACTTCTTTTTTTCTTGAACAAGTTAACTATATTGCGACAGATGATAGTTATTGGTCGTTAGTAAGGTTACAGCTCGACATTATTTAGGCAACATGAGGAAGTAGTAGCACAATTTGAGCACTTACTCTGCAGTAGACAGCAGCTTCAGCACAACTACGTTTGACATCATCGGAGGCAGGATGCCAGTCTGGCGCACCCCTTTCAGTGAGTAGGCCCATACTTACCGGGGAGGCATTTATCACACCAGTACCGTTCTTCTGTAACAGGCAAACAGAACCAAATATTTTTACTCTTAAATCTGAGGAACGTTGTAATAACGACTGGTTGTCAAATACAAATATCAACCCCGTTGTCCATTAGTTTAACAATGCCCATAAGGTATCATTATTATAGCGTTTTTTAGTCCCTTCCATATTATTCTTTTAAAATAACCATTGTTTACACAATTGTTGATTGCTTAACATTTTCTTATTTCACCTGACTACATTCTAATGATAGTTCAATGAATCTGGATTTTTTTCGTACAAAATGCACAACTACAGGTATATACGTGTTGGATTTATTGGCATCATGTTGTTTTCTAATCATCTCTAAAAGGATTTTGTTAAAGCAAACTACAGTTCACCTATCCAAATAATTTGTATTCGATAAGGTTATGCAATGTTTATTTCATACGAACATTAACGGAAAAATCCGTTCACCTGGAAAAAGGGGAGAAAATCTAATAATGAGTTGTCATGCATACACGCTCTGCAGTATGATAACACTGTATCCACCTGTATCGAACTTCTTTCCAGCACCTCCCTGTAAATTATTCAAACATATTGTTATACTAATATAAACGTAATAAGAGTGACAGTTTTTTTTCTATTGACACTCTCTTATGTATTTAATATACATATTATTTTTGTAAACCAACAGTTTAAAAAAGAAACTTGTATTACTAACATAAATTCAGTATCAAAACGCATTGCCTTGAGTATATATTCATTTTGTTTGTTTGTAAATCGTTACACATTCATTATTCTCTACTGTTGCTAGGACGTTCTGAAGGAATTTCTGTAACTGCGCGCTCTTATAAATCCGATGATATAATTATTTCTCTAGAACGGTTTACATAACTATGTCAATGCTATATACATAAATAAAATAAAGAAATGTTTATACTACATACTAATAAATGGTACAATAAGGTAAATCCGCCTACTTGAGTATGTTGAGTGGGTATCCTGTGATTCCTATGTACCTAGCCTTCCCGCTATCCTTAACTTTCTGTAGCGCTGGTAAGGTCTCGTTGATGATAATGTCTATATTATCAGCAAATTCTATATCGTGTACCTACAAAAAGAAGTTTGTACACATGTTCACGATTTAATATATTTTAAATGCACATGCCATTTTTTCTTCATCTAAGTTAACCTTTATTTGCTAATTAATTTACTATTGTTTAGCGTTACTTATCAGAGGCAGACGTCGATTAAAGTTGGAATACCGACACAATGACACCAAAGACGACTTAATTTTACCTGCTATGTTGTCATCATCTTCACAATAATTCATAGAACTCGGTCAGAGTAATATCATTCACAAACTTTATACAATTTGATAAAACACGAAAGCTTGCAACCATTTGACAAAATTATAACGTTTGGAAAATGTTCAGATTGTATGTAATTACAATACACAATTTAATCGAGTAAGGTGTATGTAAATACAATACACAATTTACCTGAATAAGGTGTATGTACTTACAATACACAACTTACCTGAACAAGGTCGACTTTTTCCAATCCAAGTCTTGCTAAGCTTTCATCCACACTTCTAATAGTGCGCTCTGCCCCGAAGTCAAACATTTTATCTATTTCAGGCAGGTATCGGCCAACTTTTGTAGAAATGAAATAGGATGATCTTGGTATGGTTTGAAGTGCCTTGAATAAGCAATGATGACAGGTATTCTTTCTGTAAACTTGTGTATATTAATGTTTGCATGGCATATTGATTCAATAACGCTATAACGAGTCAAATGTCAGGAGACATCGTCATCTCCACGGCGATACGGATAATGTGAATAAGCACGCTTATTCTCAGGGAATGCTTTCATAACACGTCATGTTATGATCCTAATATTCAAAAGGGAAAATGCATTGAAATACTAGTAGCTGATACATCTGTAAACTATATCTGTCATCTGCTATAGCCAGACTATATTTTATAGTAGTAACGTTATCAATGATTGGCACCCTTTCATTTTATTTCCACATTAATGTATATTCGTTTATTTTACTTGATTACCACTGACGAATAAAAAAAACAACCGGGAAAATGAGTGGGTCCCTATATGAAGCACTCTAATATTTCCTTTTTCGATTTCATCAAGTAAAGTAATTTTAAATGCATACTTCCTTACTTTCCATTTCAAATATAATATTTCTGCCGCAATAACACCGTAATGGTTTTTGCTATTGAGTAAAATTATTACAATACTTAGATGATATTATACATCTAATACATGTAAATATTAAAACTAGAGATGTAATTATGAAGACGTTTCATTTTTATCTTCAGAGAACCCATTGAAATCTTGGGTGAATAAATAAGACATTAAAAACACGTACCTTTTAGTATGGGTTTCCTATCAGAAAGGATCTATGAAAGCTTATAACGATAAAAAGTTTACAATTTAGGATTTTATTAGATAGCGATATCCTAAATATACCAACCCGACCCAGGACTTGTTCAGCTTTGCCATGTCCATACCAAGGTGCAACATCAATATAGTTTACACCGTTTTTGATGACATATTCCACAACCTTCAAGCCCTCTGTGTCATCGGTATTTCTAAAAACACTCCCAAGTGCAGATGCGCCTGCGTGTGAAAAAAACAAATAATCAGACATGTAAGTAATACATCTTTATCCTCATATCATTATTTTATTGTTTCCCATTTTGAACCATCAAATGTGTCATGTCTTGATTTTATCAAAATCATAGTCAGATAATAACTGGAATGTGACGACTCCTGTCACTTATTTTATAGCCAGACAATTATCAGGTTACAATAATCACCAGCAAACTATTTAAATACTCCTATGTACAGTTGCTCACCAGAAAATATGTATCACAAACAAGAGGAAAAATCTTAGTTAAGGCAATCTCCTTAACTTCAGCAAAGGATTCGAATGAAACAAAGGAAATATGGAATTTTATTAGGTTAAAGCACCGTCATGAAACTGGGTCCTGGCTCCTATCCGATTTTTGCTGCAGTTCATGTTGTCTATCCTGCTGTTTTGTTGTCGTCTTAGTAATGCAATTTTCGATTCTATGTGTTATACATTATGGTGTTTTTGTTTCTAATATTAAAACCAAGGAAGTGAAACTTGTTTGAAGTTTAACAATACACCCGCCATTGAAGTTACCACGGGTAATGATTTATGAACCGCTTTGAGACAACCTACGAACTAGGTTGTGATAAAGCGGTATATAAGAACCTCGAAGTATTATTATTATTAACAGTTAATTCTATGATAAGTATATATATATATGTATATAACAAGACAATACCACGTCATCTGTTATCATAACCACCTTTGAACTTGGAACAATCTATACATTAAGATATTAAAACCAGTCGTACATTTTCATAAGTTTATGTGTTTCAAAAAGAACAAAGCACCTTTCAGTAACAAGAAGAGGAGTCTTAGATCTATATTTGATACTGTTAACAGACAATTGAACACATCCAAAGTGAACTTTGTATTACATGTATACACACCGTAACTATGTATTACATGTATACACTCCATAATTATGTAGTACATGTATACACACCGTAACTATGTATTACATGTATACACGCCATAATTATGTAGTACATGTATACACACCGTAACTATGTATTACATGTATACACTCCATAATTATGTAGTACATGTATACACACCGTAACTATGTATTACATGTATACACATCGTAACTATGTATTATATGTATACACACCGTAATTATGTATTTCATGTATACACACCATAACTATGTATTTCATGTATACACACCGTTATTATGTATTACATGTATACACACCGTAACTATGTATTACATGTATACACTCCATAATTATGTAGTACATGTATACACACCGTAACTATGTATTACATGTATACACGCCATAATTATGTAGTACATGTATACACACCGTAACTATGTATTACATGTATACACACCGTAGTTATGTATTTCATGTATACACACCGTAATTATGTATTTCATGTATACACCCCGTAACTATGTATTTCATGTATACACCCCGTAACTATGTATTACATGTATACACACCGTAACTATGTGCTCCCATGTATACACACCGTAACTATGTATTACATGCATAGACACCGTAACTATGTATTTCATGTATACACACCATAACTATGTATTACATGTATACACACCGTAACTATATATTACATGTATACACGCCATAATTATGTAGTACATGTATACACACCGTAACTATGTATTACATGTATACACGCCATAATTATGTAGTACATGTATACACACCGTAACTATGTATTACATGTATACACATCGTAACTATGTATTATATGTATACACACCGTAATTATGTATTTCATGTATGCACACCGTAACTATGTATTACATGCATACACACCGTAACTATTTATTTCATGTATACACACCGTAACTATGTATTTTATGTATACACCCCGTAACTATGTATTTCATGTATACACACCGTAACTATGTATTACATGTATACACACCGTAACTATGTATTTTATGTATACACACCGTAACTATGTATTTCATGTATACACACCGTAACTATGTATTACATGCATACACACCGTAACTATGTATTTCATGTATACACACCGTAACTATGTATTACATGCATACACACCGTAACTATGTATTTCATGTATACACACCGTAACTATGTATTACATGTATACACACCGTAACTATGTATTTCATGTATACACACCGTAACTATGTATTACCATGTATACACACCATAACTATGTATTTCATGTATACACACCGTAACTATGTATTTCATGTATACACACCGTAACTATGTATTACATGTATACACACCGTAACTATGTATTACATGTATACACACCGTAACTATGTATTTCATGTATACACACCGTAACTATGTATTACATGTATACACACCGTAACTAAGTGCAGACACCACCATATCAGTTCTGCCTAATCGGTTATATGTCATTTGGCGGACGGATTCCTCATTATGAAAATCCTTCAGGAAGGTAGCTGGAAGACTAAATCAGAAAATAAAATAAAACACAAAACAACCTGAAGAATAAATTCATTTATAAAACAAAATTGGAGACCGTTTTCCTTAATTAATCATTCGATATGAAACTAGCCTAGTGATAACTCATTCGTCTGCTGACACTGATACCCAGCTAGGTCATATATTATGCCTTAGTATTATTAACAGCTCTGCGGTACGTGGTGCGTGGTTTCAATGGATGAACGTACTTCAATGCGTTTTGGGGAGTTTCATCTATTAATGTTAGATTTGTATAATGTGATTCATATTCAGCAAGCATCGCTATGTCTTGTCATCTTACATAGCTATACGCGCGTATTCAACGAACATCTCTTTGTGGACCTAGTGCACATATTCGACCATATATAGTATCGTTATTATGTATATTTACATCCTAACAATGTTATATCCATACAACTATGTACTTATACACTCAGGCAGAAATGTCACCAGAACTGACCGTTTGTTACAATTTAATGATCATTAACCATAAACATAATCTGCTACCATCATATCTGCTTCATCTCTGATTAAGGTTCAACAAGCCCACTAAAAGATGTAATATTCACCCTAAATTTCAACCCCCTGGCAAGTCATATTCAAATACCTTTATCAAAAATCGGAATATATACATGTAGTTTAGATACATTGAACTTGTACATGAGCTATTAAAAAGGTACATAATTTTAACCAGGTTAACGAAGTCAAAATACGGCATTAAGGTTGATGTAATGATATACATGTAAGTTGCTCATCAGTTTTATAACATGTCAATCTCTTCAGCGACCCAACTGAATGTTACGAAATGACATGTTATTTGAAGATCAGTTTTATACCTAGGTCATGCGGGGCTTTATTTAACTTTAACTATGTGTGGAGAGGTATACCGGCCTCACAAGAAGATGATTGTTGCTATTGGAAAGTACAAAAACGTCCGCGTAACATATTTTACCGGTATATATGTGTAAAACCATAGACCTTTGACCATAAACACGATTTTCTTAAAATTCAATGTTTTTATCAAAGAGCTAGACTAGTTATTAACATTATTGTACTTTTCAGCTTCAATGTTTATCACATGTCTAGCGCATTCATATTATCACAGAATGTTATCAAATGGCACATCATCTAAAGTTGATTTATCGATCAAGGTTACTTTGTCTTTGTTTTCTCATTTATTATTAATTGCTAAAATGTATTACCATGTTTTACTATGGTTTCTATTTTATTTGAGGTCGGAATTCTTCTCAGAAGAGAAATAAAGTTCTACATGACCTATGTATATAAATAAACTTTAAATTATTGGTCATTTCTCAGCACTCAGTTGGATCTCAAAAAATATTGACATGCTATAAGTCTAGTGAGCTATTTTTATGAAGACATCAGCCTTAATGCCTACGTTTTTGACTACGTTAACCTGGCTATGTATTTTTTGTATAGCCAATGTACAAGTTCAATACAAACAAATAACATATATAAGTTTTTAATTGAGGCCTTTGAACATGACTTATCAGGGGGTTGAAATTTTAGGTGACTACAGCATCTTTTAGAGGACTGGTTGAACCTTAAAGAAAATATTTTTAATGTTAATGCTTATAGATATAAAAACGGCTATGCATATTCTGAATAAATATAATAAATACATAATTTTGTCATCGCCATTAATACATGCATACATAAAATGTTGCTAGGGTCAATTAGTGGTCGTACATATTGGTCAGATTCCGAAACATTAAACAGAATCAAAACGGGTCCACAGAGGTGGATTTTGTGTTATGTCAGGACGATGAATACGTTGTATGCTCTTCATATTGATATGTCAAAGTTAACGTGTTTTTTTTTATTAAGATCTAGTTGATATTCAAATAAGAGGTTGCCGTCCTAGCAAAGAAAAGTTATTCGTTATTTGGAACAACTGAATAACTTTATAACCTTTTTTTACCAGGGGTCGGGGTTCGGGGTGGGAGATTAGCGTTATAAAACTATTCGTTATTCAAAATTAAACAGGAAAATTATTTAAAATGCATGCCGGTGTCCATATTGAAAGGTTGCACGTACAGCGGGCGCAACCGAGATAATTTACGCCAGGTTTAATTTAGATTGAAATAGGCATTCACCCTGAGCCAGGACCATGGACATAGAATATAAACGAAATCTCATTTTCGACAATTATTGAAGAACCAAACAGTTAATTAGAGATGACAAGGCAAAGCTCAAAAATTGGATTTGAGCATAAATATTTGCAAAAATAATTGCCGAGTCTTCCATCTCGTTAAACCCAAGTTATGATAACTATATTGTAAGCTACACAAAGACCTTCCCTACTCATTCGTTGCTTAACTAAGTGCTGTCATGTGCTTGAAGTGTTTAAAATAAGATCACTCGGTGAATGACCAACATCCTAACGCTATCAGGCGAACGCTACATAATGTATTCACCGTTTGTATGGTATCCTACAAACTTACCCTTTGTCGTGTGCTATGTCAGACATGATGCTTTACAGAATATATCCGTGGGATTGTAACGTTACCAGAAAGGTGTGATAGGCAATCGACGGTAGTACAATCATGTTCTACCGATCAAGGTGTTTACATATAAATGTCGGTCATTTGTAGATGTGTGATAACACTCACACGCCAACTGAACTGTGTACAGGTCAATTTGCTCAACATACTTGGATAGTTTTACTTAAAACCAAGTAGTATATAGAACTGAAAATGAAGACATGTTACATTTATCTTTAAATATGAATACACTATAAAATATCATTAATTCTTTAGAAACATTTTCAGGAACATCGTTTCGGGATATACTAACATTGTACTCGATACAGAGGAAAATGCTATGCTAGGATATCAAGGAAATAAATGATTTTCAACATTGATAAATAAAGTCATCAGTATTATGGAATGGATAATATAGAAGAGAAAGAATGATACATGTATAAAACATATAATAACAAACAACCAAACGATCGAAGAACGAACAAAATCACAAATTATAAGTCAACTAAAAAAGATATCTGGTTATATGGTAAATCGAAACAAAAGGAAAACAATTACAGTAAACTGTATCACACACGTATAAAAAATATAAGAGTATTGGTAAACATTGATCAGTAATGAACATAAGTACATTAAGTTAAGAGCCTTATTGTGATGACTTGAACATAGAATGTTTGCTTAGGTTTGGAGCCTGGCAAATCATGTCGATATCTGGGTTGATGTGATACGTGTTGATATGGCCAGCACAGAGATTGCGCTATCGGAAAGATTGATCCGGACAACGGGAAAGAACCCAATTTTTTAACACGTTTCTTGTAGTATCTACGTTAGCCCAATTGAGATGTGATGTATATTTTTGTTTATATTGTATATAAGATAACCATATTTGGCTACAGATAATGACAAACCACAGTATACATATTCTACAGATGTTAATAATTGTATTTATATATACATACATTTATGAAACAGACTGTTATCAGTGAATAATGACCAATACAGTTATATATAAAGCGAGGTCAAACTAAGTAAATCCGATAATATTTAGAGTGAGAGAAAAGATATAAAGTTTCAAGAATATTATGATGATCTTATTTTTCACTGAAAAAAAGCTGAACCATTGCCAGAAAAGGCGATGAATTCCATAAATCTGTCCGTTATCCAGCGCACAGCATATAACAACATATTCTAGGTACAGCAGCAGTAAAACACTGTGTGTGGTTGTTTCAGCATCTTTTTGTTCTATGAAACTATCACGAATCCTATGAAATAGTTTGTCTATGAATAAAAATAAATCTTCTTTCTTTTGCTCATTTTCATTCGGTTTCGTTTCCTGTTCTACTATTTCCGGTACTTGTGGTAATCCTTCCTTTGGTAGGATGCTGAGAGAAGACTTTCGCCTCCCCTTAGTTTTAAGATCATCCAATGAAATAATGGCCATCGGAATTTCATTGTCAAAGCTGTTATGTCTTAAGGAATTCAGGTCAAAGTCCATTTTGATCTGTGGAGATAATCTTACATTTCAGTGAAATAGAACAGCATATATCGAAATGTTGAACCACAAGGAAAAAAACTGAACTCGATACGAAAGGACAACGATTGAGGAGAAATTGACGTGAGAGGATTGTCAGCAGGACCGCCGACAAAACACAGAAGTGACACAAGGTAATACGGAAGGAGAAGTGTCATCCGTCAGGTGGTCTCTCGTCCAATATCAGAGATGTAAATAATGCATCAATGGTCTAAGACAAAGCGTCTCGGTAATATAAAAGTTACTCATATTTCTTAAACATACCACTGGGAAGCAATATTAAACTATGCAAATTATATACATAGGTATGATAAACTAGAGAAAGTAGGGCATAATTATGGAATATAGAATATTAGAAAGAAAAGCAAGCCATCACGCCCGCATGGGTAAAAACCTAGTATTAAAATATATGAAGGTTGGTGAGCAATACGGGTTATTAATGAATACATGTGCGAGGTGATTGAATAACAAGTAAATGTGTTTACAACTCGTATGGCAAAACTCGATAAACTCTGCTAATGAAAGAAGATTTTGATATTTGTACTTTTGTTTGCTGCTTTTCCTGTATACAACAATCAAATATTTTGGTTTTTTATTCTCTTTTTATCATTTATAACCATTTTAAAACTTAAATGAAACAATACCTTTCATACAAAACAAATTTTGATTGCAGTCTTTCAGCTGCAGTTTTCAACATTAATTATTTCTGAGTTTTAATCCTTGTTTTGCGTATTACCAAACGTACATCGCTCACTGTATCGTCAGCATTAAAACAATTAAATGGCGTCATAATGACGTTCCGCAAATGATAATGGACATACAATCAGCAATAGGACGTTGAAGCCTTTTTTTCCGATGGTGAACGATCGTAAAAGGAAATATAAAAAAAATCTCGCTAATATTCGCATATATTGTTGGTAATGTTATATATCGTAAATTCCTTTCTTTTACAGGTGATGTCGGTAAGTGTACCTATTTCCCCACTAATGTATACTCTTTTCTCATAATATTCTCGATTGATCCATAATATGTAATCTCAAGTAGGAGGCTGTGTATATTGTATTACTCTAGTTTAAATGGACAGTTTATCTGAAGTTAGTGGTGTGTAGTTCAGGCAGAAACAGTGGTTATCATTTGTTGCATAGCAACATGTACATGCAGGTTAATATTATTTTTGTACAATATTGTTTGACTTAAGTAGTTCAAACATTTTATCATTATATGCTTCCTTTATATGATAAGATAACATTAGACTTGATAACGATATCAATTGAATTAAATAGAAAGAAGACATTAGCTTACTATTGCATACATGAGCTATACAATTTATTACAAAGAAATAATTACTACATTAATGATCTCTATCGTTCTGCTCTATTGTTATAGTTTCATTTATCTGGACACTCTTTGTTATACGTTTGACGTATACTATACTTACCTTGTTACAGTTACAATCAATGTAACTGCTGCTCGGTATGAAAACCAACTGAAAGAAGAAACTGTACTATTCCGTCTTTGCGTATTGCAGAGTCATCTTCTCTTGGGAGCAGGTATTGATTGTTACATGCTCCCAAGAGAAGATAACTCTGCAATACGCAAAGACGGAATAGACATCCAACAAGTAGACAATGTCTAAGTTGTAATTCTCTAAGGGCGTATGACCTGGCGCGACAAACTGATTTTGTGTTACTGTTGTGATTGTGAAATAGAGGAGAGAGGACGAACAGTACAAACAGTACGTATTTGTTTATGTAGTCGACACAGGGTTAGGTGTATTCAAACAATCTTTTAAACATACATCTTATGCATCATTAGCAGAAAAAAAATGTTTAGGGAACAAATGTATCTAGTTTGATTTTTTTTAATATTTAGAAATTGATTACAAACAACTAGTTTTATAAACGTGCAGCCCCATGTTGTACTCCTGTGGTTCATAAATAAAAACACTCAATACAGTTTCGTCAATCATATGGCCGTTTATCGTCAATGGACATTTTGTTAGTACCGGGTCAGGTCAGTAGGATGTTTTTCCCTGTGGCCATCTGAAGATCGAATATTAAATAATACCGTTCTCTACCTAATGCATTAACTGTAGTCCACAGAAGCTTAACAATTGTCATCGGATGAAATGTTTGGTCTGCATTCCTAATATTAGATCAAACTAATTAAAATGATATCTTCGCGACATATCAGTAAACGGGAGCAATGTGAAGATATAATTTAATTAGATTGAATATAAGATATGTACATGTATATATTAGTTATATTTAAACAATGTATAACTGTTTATAGGAAACGATGCTTTTTATTGTTAGAAATAACTGATGTAATTCAGACTTGAAGTGCATTTTTGGTTACAGGGAAAGGTACGTGTTAATGTTTTGCTTTGAAGTGAAACCGATGGCTGTGACAAGCCAACTAAACATATATCATATCAACTTAAACTTTAAGGTATATCATATATAAAGAAAATATCCATTAAAAATATAAACTATCTGATATAAACAGTATACTGATATAATTTTATAAAAAAATGCAAAATTGACATATAAGTCCTGCAGAAATGTAAACTTAGTTGCTTTGCCCTAAATGATGAATCAATTACGATGATACATGTTTAAAGAACATAATAAATGATGGGCTGGTAAATACTACTTAACTACTGCCTCGTTAAGTTTATAACGGTTTTAATATTTCACATTATAAATATTTGGTTGTATATATGTTTGATTTTCCATTACGATAACAATGTATTTTTTTACCTTCAACGTGAACAATTCATGAAAGTTTTAAACACCTGTACTCAGATATATAGAATCTACGGTGGATCTGACGAAAACGTAGAAGGCATGTTTGTCAGAGCTTACACAGGTTAATCGTTAATGAACTACTCTGAAAGAATAGGTGTTTTCCTTAACTTGTGTCTACTTGTGTAAGAAGTTTTTTTTGGGAAAAGCATTAATGATGATAAAGTGTTCATTGCCATATTTGTGCATTATTGGAATGCGTCGACACTCTAATTAGGACATCTAATTATTTAGGGCTGGTCCTGCATGTCATTTTAATGAAAGACAATGGTTGTTTTTATGCTCTGAGCTCATTTGTTATTTACCAACTCCATTTCCTTATGATTTCAAATTGTGGCTTACCAAAATGGGTTATTTTGTCTTTTTGGCTGATGGAAGCACGCCCACGAAATATATTAATATTGATACCTATATTGACAGATGTTTCTGTGCACGACAAATATCTCTTAGCTGTATTACCAACAGGATGCGGAAAACAATTATTTGATGGGAGGAAACGTTTTAGTTTTTCGGCAAGTCTCGAGAGCGCAGTCTGGTGAAAGGAGACTATATGCATGCCTTTGTTGTTCCATGGTGTATATATTCAAGTCGTCTTAGAAATATAAAACTTAATATTTAGCCATCTATTTGTTTCCTATATAACGAATAAAATGCATTGTCAGACGGAGAAAATCGCTAAAAAGGCATGCAGTGAGTATACCATTACGTCTCTGATGTCAATGCCAACAGAAAAAACGTGATATGCTATCTCTTACATAAGAAGTTAGGTAATGACCACAAAACCTGATGGGAACATGTCTAACAATACATCATATCCTCGCGGGACGATGTACTGGATTAGGTTCAATTTGAGAAGCTACTTGAAATATTAAACGAGAGATGGTTTTGTTTGGTTTTATTTTGATTAACGTTACTTAGGTAATTTAAGGACGTGCCTCCGTGTATTGTGTGGATGCGTGCAGGTGTGTATGAGTGCTGGAGACAGGGTATGTTGGTGAACTTGCCTCCCTGTGATAGCGCGGATCTGATGCAGACTTTTTAGTGCTATCTCACTGAAATACTTTGCCGAAGGCACCCAACACAGCATTCCACCCTCGCATTATACTGACAGGGGTGAACTAGTTGTTGCCATTACCCTAACACATTCGTGATAATTACTTTCGAGTCCCGGATATGAAAACTCTCTTCAGTTCCGTGGACTCGAAGGCATTGTTAAACTGTTTGAAAGACATCGGTCTTTTCTATAGACTCTGATGCCTTTAAACCAACCTTACCCCCTTTGATGTTATATATATATCACATAGTCCATATCATCTATTCGTTATCTCTTTTTAACACCTTTTTTATTCTAATTATTTACACATACAATGCGAATGCTTTTAAAATATTCATTTTTATCTGATTTTATCTTCACTACTCACATGTTTGTTCAGAAAACCCCCCACCAAATAAACATATCACCATGGCCCTAAATGACCACAGTTGTCGATGAGCCGTTAAACGGGGCTCGTTCACCCACTTGTATACCTTGGTCAGCGGTAGATAACCCCTGTCATGACACCTTGGTGAGCTATCAACACGCTTTGTTTTCCAATATGGCCATTCCTGCGAACCTTAGCTAACAAACAGGTTACATGTGAATGATGGTTTGGAGCGACTTTTGTTGAAATACTTTCAGAACCATTAGCGATCATATGTGTCCTCTGCTCAGTGTGAAATCGATATTTTAAACAAACTGTCTTATCGGAACATTAATATATATTGTAGACTTTCGTCTTTTCCTATTTCTTCTCCCTGATATCTCCTTTCAGCAGTGTAGGTTCTAAGAATAATGTGATCGGTTGGATTGTCATCTTACTGTGAACAAGTTATTAATCTCATATTATCTCAAGTTCATATTATTCAATATAATGCATTGGCCTTATCTGAAAAATAAATCCGAAATAAAAAAAAACATTTAAACGTTACACTGTCAGAAGAATTGATATAATGTTTTAATTGTGAAATAAGGACAAGAAAGTGCAAATTCGACAATGCTTACTAAAAATACTTATACAGGATATCATACCTTGGGGTTGTTATTCGTACACCTGTACCTGTGGGAAGATGTAACCGCACTCAACGCAATGCTATATTTATCATAAATGACAGCTTAACGTTTTTGTTTATAAATTTTCATTTCAAAATTGATGTATTAATTAAATCAAATAAAAATAACAGAATCCGTTAATTTACGGCTATTGGCTTTGGCTGATATTCCATCCAATTGACTTGTATCAACTTTGTCAATAAAATTTGTTGAAATGAATGACAGCTTCTTCATGTTTTCAAGGTTGTATACAAGACTAATATATGTCCTAAAATTTGCTCATAAATGTATAAGATGCACAATCCATTTAATTACAAAACAACAAAAACAACAACAAAACAACCAACCAAATAACATGTAGTAACAAAGCCCTGTAAAACCTCCAATACAATTAATAGCGTTTTGTATTTCCAATTAACGTACCCAGGTGATTGCGCTACCTAAATCAAGACGAGGAAGTCGTTTGATAAAATGTAAGCGTTTTGGCTAGGTCACCTGGGACCGTATTCATAAAACCGTATTCATGCTGGAGCATGGATTTTGTGCTCAAGTCGAATTTCTTGTTCCCATTATAAATTAATAAAAAATATCTGATTTTGTTAATGGTTTGGAAAATAATTGCACAGACCTTAAGCCGAAAACTAATTTCGATGTTTAACTTTGACAATTTGATCGTTTGATTTTAGCGAGTAACAAGAATTTTGGATAGAAAAAAATCCGTGCTTGAAATTGAGAACGGTTTTATGAAAACGGGCCCTGATATTTGAAAATGCCGTTTCATTTTTTGTATGCTCATTATTTACTAAGGTGTCACAAAAAGAGCTATTGCTGTCGTAACATCAGCAAAATTCGAATAAATTATGTATTATTTTCCGATAAAGCGAAATAAATGATAAATATAATAATGTGATTGGTTAGAACAATGATCACTGTAGTGAGTTCTTTATAAAGGTTTCAATCTCTAGAAGTATAACTATGTGATAATACGACAATACGTAAGTAGATACGAAAAACACTGTATTCATCTAAGACAACACCTAACGCATAGAAAAAAAAACCGTTGAACTGGAGAAGTATTACCATACATACAAAACTGTCCTCGGCTCTACATACGTTATGTTTGTACATGTACGATACTTATTTGTTAGATTTTGTTCATGTTTACGTTTAACGGGGTATTTTTTCATATATTTAGTTGACGCATATCTTGCAATTTAAATTAATCCAATTAGTAAGGTGTTGTCAGCTGTAGAGACTGTATAGTAAATATCTGTTATAGCCTTATTATATTTATTCAAAAGTATTTTTTGTCTGTAATTTTGACTTCGCGATTTCCATTTATGCAAATCGCACACGTGCTTCATTTATAAGCCAGACAGATTCTCCAGGATTTCACTTTGGTGGAGAAGTGGTGTTGGTGAAGTGATGCTAATTGCCGATACTATAAGACAAACGATGTTGGGCACCTTGATCATGATTTCGTTGGTCGAAAGAGCAAAACAACACTATATCTGTAAATTAACTATGCGTATCTTTCAACGAAATATCCAATTACAGAAAACAAAAACAAAAGAGTGTGAATGGATCACATTGTTCTTGCAGTGCATCAATCACATCCGTTTTCAACAGGACAGGAACATACGTGATACTCCTCAGGAAAGTAGTAACCCTGAAATACATAAACGTAAATTGCGATATATTGAAAAAACATCTGCAATATCTAATACGGCCTGTGAAAAACACGACAGGACAAACAACTAGATTAGTATTTAGTTCCAAACACCATAGAATTACGTAAATTGCATGGGAATATATAGTATCGTATGGTGTCATATAATAACAAATACAAACAAAATGATAGATAGGATAGAATAAAACAGTGAAGATATACTTTATTGACTTATATCACGAGGCTTTATATCACTAGACTTTATATCAATAGACTTTATATCACTAGATTGTATATCACTAGACTTTATATCACTAGAATTTATGTCACTAGAATTTATGTCACTAGACTTTATATCACTAGAATTTATATCACTAGATTGTATATCACTAGACTTTATATCACTAGAATTTATATCACTAGATTGTATATCACTAGACTTTATATCACTAGAATTTATATCACTAGACTTTATATCACTAGATTTTATATCACTAGACTTTCTATTACTAGAATTTATATCACAATTATACTATGTAGATTACAACTTTATGACCTAGCATCTTTCAGAAAAAAAAAATGAAAGTATGTCACATACCAGCAACACAAGCGGTAAGGTAACTAGCTATTGTTCCAGCTATGAGTGCTCGTATTGCCATTCTCGGTAGTTCGCCAAGTCGGCTAGGAGCCAGGGCCACAAATGACCCAATTGAAATCCAGACAGAGGGAATACTGGCGAACCCACACATGGCGTATGTGGCGATCATCTCAGAGCGGTCCTGAAATCAGTTAATCGATCAAATATTACAGATAACGGTAGGACGTTGTATCAGATGTACAGTTCCATAAGTTCGATAATCAAAGTATTTCTTAGATATATATAAATATTCGTGAATATTATAGCCTACATGTACCATGCCGACCAAAATTGGTTCATTTAATGCAAATATGAACGCTGTTCTTTGATTATACGAAAAGGTTAGGCTTTAACATAGAATATGAATGTGAAGCTAAAATATTTCAGGAATAGCAATTCTCTATTTACGTTAATTTGACCCCAAACTTCAAAATGTGACGCCATAATAAGGAAAATACTTAAGGATACGCAATTAAGTAGAATTCAAGTCGCATTATGATGGGAAAAAAGTAGCTACGTTATTTTGATTGATTTCGGTAACAACATATTCTAATAATATAAACTCATATTGTCGATTACTATTTCTAGGTTCGAAAAAACTCACAAAAATGTCATTTTGCTCGTTAGAAATATTACCGTTAGAATTCCGTTTTCCAGTGTGGTATTCCAGTTCGGCAGGAATATGTCATCGCTTGCTGTCAGCACTGTGTTGTTGTATATTGCGGTGTATTCGTTGTATTTCTCCTTGTTAGACAAATATTTTCCCATCCGTATGTAGCTAAGAATGAGAGTTGCAAACATGCGGACACCTAACATTTCAGCAACTTTCAGACAATCTATAGCATCGATTCCCATGACGAAGGCGAGTGGCCAAAGGCAATAGGAAAATATTTTCTGAAATACAAACAAAAGATATAAAAAATAGATATATACTGCTTGATGTTTGATACAAGTCAACAATGAAATGAAAACAAAACGATCAATTATAAAACAGTGTCAACAAATATAGAAAAAAGAGAGCTGAAAGCCATCCAATCAAACAACCCTTTAAAAACCAAGCAGACTCAACATGCTATGAATGCATTACATGTGACATCAGTATCAGATCTCATCAGGGAAAATGGCACATTCTCCCCATCGACAGGATCACCCAATTTCTAAGACATAATTATAAATAATGACAAAGGTTCATCGAGCACGTGTCTATCATACTTAGCCTCTATAGCACATTCAAGCAGAAAGGTACCATTGTTGATACACCAAGGCAGCGAACAAAACGAAGAAAAGGCTTAATTGAAAGAGAAAAAAAATATCATGCAGTATCTTAAAAAACCTCATCACCTTCGACATCCTACATATTTCATCCTTAAAATGAATGAATGATAACGAAAAAATACCTAAGTGCCTACAAAGAGCTGTACAAAATCGATAAAATTAGGACAAAAACTTAGTATGAACAAAGGAAAAATTTACACTGAAGAATAATTCCCATGTGAATATATAGTACTATCATTGATTGGGAGTTTAAAATACAGTTTTAGGGACTCTTCGTTATCCAGTCGAAGGTATTTCTAATTTGCAGGAAAACCTTTGAAAAGGGTACAATATAATAGAATGGTTCTTGATGAGATCACGATGGCGATGTTAAAACTTGCCAGCATGTCTTCTTCAACCTTCTTCTCTCTAAATCTTGCGTTGTAAATTTGTCCGTTAGCAGTCCAAAGTTGTAACGGAAATCATGACATTCTTATTATTTCAGGAGATACAGTCTGTCAAAACTTAAACGTATTCCTGCCAGAATCTTACACTGATCCGCTCACCCCGATTGTGAGCTCCTTTACTCCTGCTCTCTCCCCGAACCACGTGATTGTTGCATTGGCGAATGCGAGGAGGGATATATAAGTCAAGATGTTGATGAGAACGCCCTTTACGAGTTGTAGGCCTTGCAGTCCGCCCTTTGCCATAGCTTCCACGACACTCTTTCGATCACTGCAAAGGTTAAAGTATGAAGCAGTTGACAGGGAAATGATTTCGTTTTTGTTAAGGGGCCTTGGTCAGTAATGTAAATCAGTGGCTACACATAACGAACAGTGTAGTATGTTATTTGTTGTCTTATGATACAATTTCATATATATATATATATATATATTAATAATGAAGAAAGGAACTATACACAATACAATAAACGAAAGGAATACAATCATATAACTATATTCAACAATACGACTATTTAAGATTTGGCACCGAGAAGTAAATATGCTGTATCGATAATCATCAGGACAGCTTTACACAAAATCAAACAATCTAAATAAATCAATGAGAAAACTTGTTTTTTTCATTACTCTACTCATCAGTAATAAAGGCAACCATGAAAAGAACACCTTAACATAAGCATCCCGACAAACCTTTTAGTGGCAATAAAGTATTTTTTATCATCGTCTTTGCAGAGTTTAAGTGTTTCAGATGGGTACACTATTTTCGATGCCACCAGAGCGGCAGGAGCAGACATTATTGAGGCCGTCAGGAGGTACTCGACAGGTATCTTTAAAATGAAGCAAGAAAATGCTGATTTGATATGGACAAAACGGTCTAGTTTAAAACATCAAGCATTTCGAAATAGTGATACATTGAATGTATTTCATTTTATTGGCTTTTCTCACTTCTTTGTAAGTTAAAAATTACAGTAGGTAGTATTATCGATGATAATTGATTACACTAGAACATACATTGAGTTTGGTGTTTCTTGTGTTTTGTAAAACATGACAATGATACAAAATATTAAGAATGAAGTTTAATTCTTAATAATGATATTATAATTCCATTATCACTTAGAAATTTGAATGGTTTCCAATTATTGTTTAACCACTCAAACAGTTGCAGAATAACTGATGTACTGCTTAACTTAAACAGGGTGCAACGTCCAATACCAAATATCGTGCAAACATACCCCGAAATTAGCAAACACGACAAAAGCGAAGCCCGCTATGGATGACAGTCCGTTTGTGTAGACACAGAAGACTTGGGATGTAGATAGTGAGTCTATGTACTCATTGATGACTACTAGGGATTCAATCTAAAATAGAAAATATTACCAGTTAAGAAACGTATTCTGATGTAATCAATTATATATATTTAGTCGATGATATACAATAAAATTTCTGGAGTATGAAGACAAAAATATGATTGGATGACGTCAAGTCATTCGTATATCAGCAAAGAGTCATAGTTCAAACTAGTACATGCCTATTTTATATTGGGTTCCATTTGTTTCTTTCTTGCTTGAATAATTTGTGAAGTTACATAACATTGTTATGGAAATATTTGGAAAGGATTTCTTATTTCAGTCGTCAGCTGTTCGACAGACGGTACGCAATGAACAATGAAGGTTTATTAGAAACTCTTTTGTCTGCTAGCAAATTTTCGAATGCAGACACAATTACATGCGACAAGGAAACCTGTCCCGCGGCTGGCCTGGTTAAATTTGCTGGAGAAATTATTTGAAGAGCGTTTGTTTATTGGAAAATAATTCTTGCACACGATGGTCTATCATCCGGTAGAACATGGTAATTAACCAATGACAATTGTTGTTAAATAGAAGATGTGTTAGAATTATACATACCCCACTCATGAATATATTCGTAACAGCGTTGATTGATTCCAAGGGATGGGTCTGAAGGCAGTAACCAAGAACACAACCCAGGTTTGAGAAGATAAAAGCCAAAACACCAAGGTAGGACAAAACAGCAACAAAGGCACAAAAAACGATGACAGAGGGAACAACCTTCAAAAGAACAAAACATCACGTATAAATAACGTGTACATGTTTCTTTTTTACAGTAGATATCTAACATAGACAATTTGCATGCTATACAAAACATATTTAACAAGTTGGTGAGCTGAGTTTTTGCCGCAGGTTAACACAGTTAATTATGCCAAAAATCGTTGAACTGTTATGCCCAATTTCGAACGCCATTTCATACTTGAAATCAACGGACGAATTATTTGTTGCCATAAACCAATAATAGGATGTTGTGGCTCTCGAATTACGTAGAGGTTGGTAACATTCATGACTGAAGTACATCAGATATATTTACTGCACGTTGCAAAGTCACGAAGATAAATGGCAGAGACAAGATGCTGCAATCAAATACCACCCTAAGCTATCCTAAAGTCGTGTTTTGTCACAAAATTAACTATTACTTTCAACTTACCTTGAAAATCACTTTAAACTCCTTGTATTTTTCACTGAAAATGAAAGCTGAACCATTGTCGGCGAATACGATGAATTCCAAAAACCTGTCCGTTATCCAGCGCACAGCATTAATACCCCATTCTGTCCGGAGGACAATCAAAGCAAAACCAAACTGGAGTGACAGTCCCCAAAACACCGTGTGCCAATTTATCTGTACATGGAACGATATGAAATAGTGCAAAGTTTACATAACTTACTAAGCGCCGCTTAATGGAATGTATGAATTAAGATAGATTAAGGAACGAACGCCTCATTGAATAAGTTACAAGAAATTGTGCATTTATTACTTTTCTTAGGATATTGTTAATGATTGTTACGGACTACACAAAACATCCGTGATTTAACTTTGATATACAGAGTGTATATTTGTTTTATATGAAGTAGAACAATACATTAAAATGTGATACATGTAAATATATAACGGAAGGAAACACCAACACAAAAAGAGTCCGTTACTAATGTCGGTATATCTGGAGACTCAAAGGACCTTATTTACATGTATGTCATTTCATACCTAGGATGTAAGGATAAACATGTGCATTGGAGACACCGGTCTCACATATAGAGCCAGGGCCAGAAAACATAAATAGCAAATCAATGTACTGGATTACAGAAACATGTTACTGAGTGATCATTTATACACTTGTGGAGAAAAGAAATGTACCATCTTCTCATTTTATAAAATATTTTCGGGAAAAACTATTGAAAAAAGGAAAAATAAGAGCAATTCATTAAGATATTAAAAATCGCAATCAAATTTATCTATTTCAATTTTAATTTTAATTCTCTTTTTGACGTCACAAAAAACATTATTCCTTTTATTAATCACGGCATAAACGCTATGCGATTAGGGGCTGAACATTAATAATAAAATATCTAATGCTTTACACATCTATGTGTTTCTGATTTTTTTTTAAGTTCTCATAATATATCTGTTCCTTTACGGCAACTTACAATGTATCATGAAGATTCATATGTAATTTTTTTCTGTGAATTAGGACTTACATTTGCCTTGTTATTTGACATGAGGAACAGGATGAAGATGAAGACGAATATCCCGCCGAGTGAGACGAGGTTTCTAGGTCTAGTTTGTATAACTGTCAATCCTATGTAGACTGCGATAAGCGTCAGCACCACAAAGTACAACGTCCTAAAATAATTCAAAGTATTTCTGTGTGACAAATTAGTATGATCCGATAGGGATAACATTGATAAGGATGAAATAAAGTTACATTCTCAAAATGACATACGTAAGGCAAAGTCATTTACGAATTTTGAGTTTCCTGGCGTTTCGGAGTTGTGACTTTTATCATAAATATTGATCACGCAAACATCGTATATCAAATAGAATTACAAAGCTATGCATGTTATGACTTCCCATGAATATATGACAGAGGATGATCTGTGTGTGGTCATCCGCGGGTCAGTGAAAAATAGTATAAACCAGATATGATAACCGGAAAAAATCAACCAACTTAAAACTTCAATTTAAATGTAGAAAAGTTAATTAGCATGTAGTATCAAAACTGCGCACAAACGTGACCGCAACACTCACCCCGCCATTTGTGAACAATAATGTCCCTTCTACCACAATATAGGTCGAAATAACAAACATAACAGTCTACTTTCATTTTAAAATGTGGCCAACAACACGGTTCGAACATGGACTTGGACGACTATGACTGACCTGAAGCTCATGGAAAACCATAACCTGGTCGCTTGAATGTCCGGAAGTCGGCTAAAGTTGGGAGTCACATCACTTAGACCTGGGGTTCAACTTAATGTCTTACCCTGGGCCATATGGAGTTGATGAATACAGTCCAGCTAACCCTAGGTTCTGGAGTTGGATTGACCGATTTGGGGTGTATAGCAGCAAACTGGCACCAATAATAAGCCATGTTACATGTTATTACATGATAACAGTTTACAGCCATAGGCCCAAATAGGGAAGAGTGAAGCTGTTTCAATTGACCGAGGGTCAACCAAGGGAGGAATGATACAGTGACAGGCAACCAATAAACATAATAAAGGTGGTGGTGGGGGTGGAGGATGGTATGACTGTATAGTCTGACCATCAGAAAACAACTGGACAGTTCGCTAGAACTGTTAGAACAAAGAGCACTTGTCATGTGACCACGCTAGGTCCTAGGATTGGATCTCATACTATTTCCCTTATCAGTAAGGAACCAATACTCAATACAGCACATGTAAATTGGACAAAGAGGGGATACCCTCTGTTTACTGTGTTGCTGTCAGGACAGTGGGGTTATGGAAGGTCAGAATGCCCAGCTGGCTGAGCTTGAGATAAGAATAAATTAGGTAGGGAGAGGAGACCCTTTGTTTACTGTGTTGCTGTCAGGACAGTGGGGTTATGGGAGGTCAGAATGCCCAGCTGGCTAAGCTTGAATAGTCTTGACCTTGGTTTAGATATCATGTCTTATCTAGTGCAAGTTAGTTTCAGTGTTTTGTTATAAAAGCTAGAATATTTGTTTTAAAATAAGTAAATAGATTTTAATAAAGAAGACGTCCATGCAGCACGCTGCAAGTTAGTCAATCACATGGCCAGTGTATAACCCTGTCCAACATGGATATATAGTGAATATATTGTAGCAATAAATGCTAGATAATAGCTTATACTCACCATCTTAATATTTTCTTCATTTTAACTATATTTTCAGGATTCTTCGATCCAAAAGTCTTTTCAAATAGCTGGTACAAAGATAACTTTTTAATAATTCCTCGTCCTGAGTACATTAATAACAAAATGGTACAAATCAGTAATCTCCAGGATCCTTCGTCTCCAAATCGGAAACTGAGAGAGTAAACAACATATGCTAGGTACAACAGCAGTAAAATACTGTACGTTATTTGTTTCAATATCCTTTTATGTTCTAAAATTGTGTCTTGGATTCCATCAAATATTTTGTCGATAAAGAATTTTTTCTCCATTCCCGTTCGGTCATCTTCTGTGATGACGGTTTCCAGCTCTACTATACTCGATATTGATTGTATTCCTATATTTGGCCTGTTAGTGACAGAAGTCTCTTTACACTCCTTAGATTCAGTGTCATTCGATGAAATGATGTCCATCTGAATTTCATTTTCAAAACTGTTTTGTTTTGATTTATTCAGATCAGTGTCCATTTTGTTCTGCAAACATAAACTTATATATGAGTAATATAAAACTACCACAGCACCAACATACAATGACAGATTATAACACACATTGGTTAGATATGTTATTATGCGACGCACATGGGTTAACTATGTTATATTGACAACCACAGGGGTTAAATATGTCACAACGACAACACGCAGGGGTTAAATTTGTCACTACGAAATTCGCACCAGGGTTAGTTATGTCACAAAGACAACACACACGGGTTAAATACGTCACAGCGACATAACATAAAGGGTTAGATTTGTAATAACGACAACATTCAGGGGTTAAATATGTCACAATGACAACAAAAAGGGTTAAATATGTCGTAGACAAAACACACCAGGACAAAATATAAATACAATCCAGCATCAACATCCATGACAACATACAAAGGAACATTACTACAGCGTCAACACGCACGGACAAATATACCGCTCTCAGTACACAAAGACAGAAAATACCAGATAGTAAACCCACACACATTAAACAAAGATATGTCAAACGGAGTCAAAACCTTATGACAAAATATACCACAGGTTCAACACATGTTGACAAATTTTACCGCAGTGTCAACAAACAAGGACAAAGCATACCACAGTGTCAATAAACAAGTACAAAACATACCGCAGTGTCAACAAACAAGTACAAAGCATACCACAACATCAAAAAACAAGTACAAAACATACAACAGCGTCAGCAAACAAGGACAAAACATACCACAGTGTCAACAAACAAGTACAAAACATACCGCAGTGTCAATAAACAAGGACAAAACATACCGCAGTGTCAACAAACAAGTACAAAACATACCACAGTGTCAACAAACAAGTACAAAACATACCGCAGTGTCAATAAACAAGGACAAAACATACCGCAGTGTCAACAAACAAGGACAAAATATTCCACAACGTCAACAAACAAGTACAAAACATATCGCAGTGTCAACAAACAAGTACAAAACATACCGCAGTGTCAACAAACAAGGACAAAATATACCACAACGTCAACAAACAAGTACAAAACATACCACAGTGTCAACAAACAAGGACAATACATACCACAGCGTCAACAAACAAGGACAAAACATACCACAGCGTCAACAAACAAGGACAAAACATACCACAGTGTCATCAAACAAGGACAAAACATACAACAGCGTCAACAAACAAGGACAAAACATACAACAGCGTCAACAAACAAGGACAAAGCATACCACAACGCCAACAAACAAGGACAAAACATAACACAGCGTCAACAAACAAGGACAAAGCATACCACAACGCCAACAAACAAGGACAAAACATATCACAGTGTCACATACAGCAGTTCTGTATAGTTATGTCACAGCCACATCACTAAATGAAAACAACTTAACTCAAACTTGATACGAAAAGACAGAAATTAACAAAATATCAAAGTTAAAAGAAAGTCACCAAGAACGCCCACGTAGAATCGAAAAATAAAACTTAAAATTAGGTGCGGCATTCGAAATAAAGTTTATCCATTGGAATCAATGGAATATGTAGTTCATCGACTGCTAAAGATACAGCCTTTAATCAGAGTAGACACTGAAACTGAATTCAGCGTATGCATATACCTTACTGATGTAGGTTGTATAAGACTGCGGGTGAGTTCTACGATTTCCTTAATGATCTCGTTTGTCATTTCTCTGTATACAATTTGAGCAAAACAAGTGAAATAGAAAACGAGTGATTCTCAGAAGTCGCCAACGTTCCACTTTTGCTATGAAAATCTAGATCAAGTCCAGGTAATGTCGCGTCGTCTAAGCGCGAGCGCGAACAGGACACACTAATAAGCATAACAAAACTTACACTTTCATTGTTCAAAGAAATGACATACGATATCATGAAATAAATCGTAGAATTTGGCCGCAGTCGTCTACAACCTGCATCATTGGAAACTCTGTGTGAGGAGTTTCTCTGTCAGCAGTCAACATATATCATTCACAAGGATAACGATATTCGGAGTAAGCTTCTTAATGCAAAACAAGTACGACAGGGTTGTCGACGCACTTATGTTACTCTCAAGGATGGGAAAGTTAAACATAGAAAATATTGAAATTGTAACGTTTATCAAACACTTTAGAAGCAAGTCATCCCTGCTGATCATGTTGTAATTAAATCTAAATTCAAAAATTAAACTGTAAAGGTCAATTTTTGGATGTTCCACTGTCACTCACAAACCACAATAAATATAAAAACAACATAAGACAACTAATTGGACTGTCTACCGTCACTGTTGGGTCATGTCTATAGAATGATTTGCTTTTCCATATGGCAATAGCAAAATCTTAATTTAGCTTCATGTACAAAAGAGTTTTACTCAAGTTAAGCCAGACATTATCATATTAGTTTCTAGTGAAGTTCGTCACCTCAAGTTATCCTATGACCACTTCGGTCAGAGAGTAAAACAGTTGATTGCGCGCCGTAACTGATGGTGCATACGTTTCTTAAAAGGTGCAGTCAATTCTGTGGAAAATCCTACCAAATTATACCAGAAAAATCAGCACACTCTTGATTTTCAAGAAAGTTGCACCGATTCAAGTTACAAGTGATCGTTCGAAACCGGCGATGAAGCTTGCAGATACTAGTCCTTATGTGTACATTAACGACATAATGCTTTTTCTAGTAGTAGTATTATTTGTGTGTATGGCACGGTGGCTGAATGCGTACATTTACATATATTTGTAATTTATAAGACAATTTCCTAATGTACCGTAAAAACGCCTTAGAAAAATACCTGATTTGGTATAGGGGCTGTGAATGTTGTATACCGATGTCCTTATTGTAAATGGCTTCAAATAGTGAAACCTTTAGTGCATGTCATATTTCATATGCGTTGATGCAAGCAATATATATATATCTTCAAAGAAATAGTTATTAATACTACACATGTATATAAAGATATTTCTACGTAAAGCAGTGCATATATGTCTATACAAGGAAAGATCCATTTTACTGATATACACGTATAAAAAAGTAAACAATACTTAGATGCGTATACATGTACATATACGAACAGAAACAGGGAAAGGTGGATCCGACATTTAAGCGCCAGTTTTGTAATGAAAGCAATCCACAGATATGTGCTAATATGATGTGTCAGATTACCCTCAAATAAATGAAATATATGTGTACCCGTACTTCACTCGTGCAATCTGAGACGTGAGGTTGACACATATGTTGGTATATCTATTGCCTATATATTGCACGGACACATGAGTATTCGTTAGTGCGATATTTTTTCTATCCCTTCGAATTCGTACCTTTCTACTATGTTGACTAAATGCATGATTGATCACGCAGGTCGAAACATGCGTTAACGGATGTAAAGATGTATCCTATGCTATCAGTTTTCGTGCAAATAACAGCATCGATTAATTCGTTGAAATAATGCAGTATAAAATTGTTGCGCTTTTTGGCATTTTTTTAAAAAATATTGTTTAAGTATAGAAGTCCCCCTCCCTCTTCCGTACAAAGTTGGAAAGGTACACTTATGAAAGATTGTAGAGGGTTGATGACCGTAAAGATCGTGTACTGCATTGTTTATTCACGTTCACGCCGAGCCTAGGGTATGAATACGCTTATTTTTATCAATATGTATTGGAGCGTTAAATATGTCAGTGTATAGGAGAGTACATTAAGTTTACTGCGCTGTAGTGTTGTGTCAGCTTGTCGACGCTCGCTTAATTTACGTACTTAAAATTTACAGACTGATGTTATGACGTTGGAAATACTATCTAAATAACTACATATCAATAACAACAATTATTTTTAGCATGGTATTACCTGTTCCTTTTTCTAGCCGATCTGTGTGTAACTCCCCCGCTCAGTCAGCTGCAGAAGGGACACATACTTCCCGGTAAGCAATATATAAACCAAGTTATCCCCCTTATATTTTAGGTAACATACAACTATTTGTATCTTTATATATTTTTAGAAATAACAGTCTTTTTATGTAAAAAGATTGATTGATTGACAATCAAAACGTAAGAATTCAGTATTTCAGTAACTTAACAACACCCTTTTTTTAACAAACAACACATAAAAGCCGGACACTCAATTAATTAATGATATTAGCATATGATTATAATATTGTTAAAACATGACTATTGTTCTACTGATTTGATGTTTTGAGCCAAACTGAAAAAGTCGTAAACCGTTTATGTAATACATTAACTTTAAAGAATGATATACTGTTAATTAGATATACTGAAATGTTTACATTTCTTTATAACATCCATGAAAGCTACCAATAAAAAGCGTTGTTTAATCCAGTTATCACAAAAATAATTACATGTGAATGTTATTAATCGGAATTAAAACTGTTTGAGTAATCAGATACAAATCATGACGTGACGTCAAATTCAAATTTTAACGGAAATTCCCAATCATTTTGATTGACGTTCATCGCCTGACAGACATGGCAGCCATTGAAAGCAAATGTCTTGTTTACATACAGATGTAATGCAATTCGATGACACATTTTCAGTGAACTGATTGACATAAAATTACATGACCAGTTTTGGTTCATACCCGATCTCAAAGTAATGTTGTATGGCTGGTCATGTAATATTACAGAATTGACTTTTTTAGATTACCAATGCGTTTTCTACACACAACACTCTGAAAGACGACGTGGTATAGCTAACGTACTAAAAAAAGATGACGCGGTATGGCTTACGTACTATGTAAAGACGACGTGGCATGGCTAACGTACTATAAAAAGATGACGTGGTATGACTAACGTACTATATAAAGACGCCGTGGCATGGCTAACGTACTATATAAAGACGACGTGGTATGACTAACGTACTATATAAAGACGACGTGGCATGGCTTACGTACTATATAAAGATCGGCGTGGTATGACTAACGTACTATATAAAGATCGGCGTGGCATGGCTAACGTACTATATAAAGACGACGTGACATGGCTAATGTACTATATAAAGACGACGTGACATGGCTAACGTACTATATAAAGACGACATGGCATGGCTAACGTACTATATATAGACGACGTGGCATGGCTAACGTACTGTATAAAGACGACGTGACATGACTTATGTACTATATAAAGACGACGTGGTATGACTTATGTACTATATAAAGACGACGAGGCATGGCTAATGTACTATATAAAGACGACGTGGCATGGTTAACGTACTGTATAAAGACGACGTGGCATGGCTTATGTACTATATAAAGATCGGCGTGGTGTGGCTTATGTACTATATAAAGACGACGAGGCATGGCTTACGTACTATATAAAGACGACGTGGCATGGCTAACGTACTATATAAAGATCGGCGTGGTATGGCTTATGTACTATATAAAGACGACGAGTCATGGCTTACGTACTATATAAAGACGACATGGCATGGCTAACGTACTGTATAAAGACGACGTGGCATGGCTTATGTACTATATAAAGACGACGAGGCGTGGCTTACGTACTATATAAAGATCGGCTTGGTATGACTAACGTACTATATAAAGACGACATAGCATGGCATGACTAACGTACTATATAAAGACGACATGGCATGGCTAACGTACTATATAAAGACGACGAGGCATGGCTAACTTACTGTATAAAGACGACGTGGCATGGCTTTTGTACTATATAAAGACGACGAGGCGTGGCTTACGTACTATATAAAGATCGGCTTGGGATGACTAACGTACTATATAAAGACGACATGGCATGGCCAACGTACTATATAAAGACGACGAGGCATGCCTAACGTACTATATAAAGACGACATGGCATGGTTAACGTACTATATAAAGACGACGAGGCATTGCTAACGTACTGTATAAAGACGACGTGGCATGGCTTATGTACTATATAAAGACGACGAGTCATGGCTTACGTACTATATAAAGACGACATGGCATGGCATGACTAACGTACTATATAAAGACGACGTGGCATGGCTAACGTACTATATAAAGACGACGAGGCATGACTAACGTACTATATAAAGACGACGGGGCATGGCTAACGTACTATATAAAGACGACGAGGCATGGCTAACGTACTGTATAAAGACGACGTGGCATGGCTTACGTACTATATAAAGACGACGAAGCATGGCTAACGTACTGTAGAAAGACGACGAGGCATGGCTAACGTACTATATAAAGACGACGTGGCATGGCTATCGTACTTTATAAAGACGACGAGGCATGGCTTACGTACTATATAAAGACGACGTGGCATGGCTAACGTACTATATAAAGATCGGCGTGTAACACGCGATTTGTCGTTTAATGAGTATGTTGACGGTTAACAAGTCTGTATAGATCATTCATTATATATGCATCTATTCTTATATCATGACCTTGCAATACAATTTGATACACTTATATAACGTTCAATAGATTCAGTTTATTCACTTCTGTTGGCAGCGCAATCGTTTCTGAAACTTTTGCTTTTTATTTAAACGGGCGTTTTATTCTATAAAACGAGCAGCACTCTTTACGGTATTCACAGATCTTGTGGACATCTACTCTTACCCGATTACAGATGAGTATGTGGAATAAATAAAATGTAAGTTTTTCCTTATAAACAATATAGTATTTTATTACATTAATTTACATGTGATATCAAAATATACAATATTGTAAAAAGAAACATCAAACATATTATATTCATATCTACACACAATTTGAACCAGATGCAATGAAACACTGATATAGCCAGCAAATATTTCAAAACGTATACGTGTATGTCTTTTATATAAGACCTGGTGATATAAATGGTCAATCAATTCGCATGGTCATGCTGCTTATATCACAATGTTAGTGTTGAGGTCGTATGCTGATGGATAAATTTAAAATACACGTTTCTGAATTTGATGAGGTGATGCTACTCTGATTTGATCTGGATTTACATAGCGGTTATCGTCGATTAACCAGAGCTGTTGAGCAGAGGGGCCGCAGTGGTTAAGGCATCCGACATTATGCTACCACTAACCCTCCACCACTGGGCCACGGGCTCGAGGCATGCGTTGGGCAGTCGCTAGATACTGACCGTAGTTCATTTGGATTTATCCGGCAACTCCGGTTTTTCACCATCAGCAAACTCTTGCACGTCCTTAAACGACCATAGCTGTTAAAAGGACGTAACACACAAACAAAACCAACTAGTACCGCCTACTGTCCGGACACTGCTGGTCATATCCTCATTTAACTCTATCCTTGATCTCCCTGTTGATGTTTCATTTATCAATATTTTGCCCAGTTTTCGTCAATTGTTTTATATCTAATTGCGCTTCTGTTTCGTTAAATCGGTAATCTCTGTCTCCTTTGAAAAATAGAACACCAATTCTTCGTTTTCATTTAAGCATGAGTGTTCCATCTGATGAATATCAAAAAATATGTTTTTGTTAAATAATGTTTTTAGCATTATGCAAACAGTGTACATTTTGATGTAATTGAAACAGTATAAATTTTGTTTACCAATACATTTAACAGTACGGGTTTGCCATAAAATTAAGGTATTATTATTAGCAGTGAAGCGTATACAACAGTTTTACCAAGACAGGAACAAATGTTGTACTCGTCAGGCGAACAGTAATCCTGAAAACAAAGAAACAAACACAAATGTTTAACAGATTCCAAATACGTAAATATGTATACAGTTCGTGGAAAAGTTTGGTTTATAATTGTTTCCAGATCAGTGTTACTTGTTATTACGTTTTTAGATGAAGTATATACGTTGCAATATATTATATTGAAGCTTATCATATTTCGACGTTAGACGAGACTAATGTTTATCTTTTAATACTATCATGTCATTGGCCATGATAGAATACACACTCCTGTGAATATCGTTAATAGCACCAAGTGTGGACGAATGTGAGTTTGGTTTATGGTTAACTGTCCCATTAACAGCTAAGGTAATTAAAGGACGTGTCTTAATGTAGGTACACATTAGCGTTAATCTATCTCGTTATCATACACCCCGGATAACATTGTAAGGGAAGTACACCGAATCCACTTGTAGTCTGATGGCCTATAGCCACACATCCTGTGGATGATCACTTCCAATCTGCGCACTGATCCTGCACGAGGAACATCCTGCTTCCCGGACTATATATGACTTGATCATGCTGCACTTGTAATAGTATTTTGAACTTTATATCATGAAAATCGTAACTGCCCTATAACATTCGCTCTATACACCATATCCCAACATCACTGCTTACTGAAACATGCATATATTTTACTTAGTATTCTATATATCCCAATGATACTGTATGGAACTGCAGTAACACTCTTCTTGGTAGATTACGAACGTATGTCGCGGATTATATAGGAGAAATATGACTATACATACATACCAGCTACACAAGCGGTTAGATAACTGGCTATCGTTCCAGCTATAAGTCCTCTCATTGCCAACTTGGACAGTTCACCGACTCGCCCGGGGGCGAGGACCGCAAATGATCCGAGGGTTATTCCAACAGAAGGCATGCTAGCGAATCCACACATGGCATATGTGGTGATTAGCTCTGAGCGGTCCTGGTAAAAGAAAAAGGACCAAACAATCATATACTCTACATAACTCTCATTTAAAATGACTAAATGTTTAGATGAAGATGAATGGACTACAGAAAAATATGTTTGCCTCATTAAAAATGTTATTTTAGAAACTACGTTAAAAAATACACTATCACATAACGGCGGGAAAGTTACAATAAAAATGGAAGCTACATAGATATTTATTATGCATAATAGCGTTTAGGGAATTCAGTTACAGTACACCTCAATATCTATATTGAATAAATAAGACAAAAAAAAAACACCCAAGCTTCTGCTTCATAATTTTTTCAAAATTACCGTCAGAATTCCGTTTTCTAGCGTCAGGTTCCAGTTCGGAAGAAATATGTCGCCGCTAGAGGTCAGCACTGTGTTGTTGTATATTTCATTATATTCGTTGTATTTCTCCTTGTTTGTAAAGTACGTTCCCATTTGCAAGTAACCAAGGGCGACGGTTGCAAACATGCGCACACCCAACATTTCGGCAACTTTCAGACAATCAATAGCATCAATTCCCATGATGAACGCCAATGGCCAAAGACAATAGGAAAATATTTTCTGAAATATATTAGCACTTAATATTTCATGTATTTTGTTTTACTGCTTATATGATAAAATAATAGTGAGGAAGGTACAAACACCCCACTAAATACCTCAAATAAACGGTTAGTCCAAAATATGAACAGTGACATATAGGATACATAAGTACCAAACATGCAAAGGAGCATAGGAAAACAAATCAGACAAGCGGTCACCTGAGTAATATCATAGGTACTGGTAGCTTAATTTTATTGTTTAGATGTGATGTGGAAATCAACATGTAAACTAAGTGAAATACAATACTTGTCATGTCATCAAAGGATAAGAAGTTAAAAATAGTTGTAAATGTTCCCTTTGGGGCCCCGCTCTAACCCCTGGGGATGGGGCAGGAATTCCAAGTTTTCAATGTGATACCGTCATCCACCAAAGATGATTCTGACCAAGTAAAAATAATTTCCAACAGAAAATTGTCAAAATATACCCAAAAGTGTTGTTTCCCTATATAAACTATAGTAAACTTTATCCCCTCCCCAAGGGAGAACGGAAAGCTCGGGGGTCCTGAAATTTACAATTTAAATAAAGCCCCTGATGATCTTTCCATCCATGCAGAGAAAATGACTGTAATACATCTGAGTCTGGAGAAGAAGATTTTTGAAATATTGGCTAATTTTCCCTTTTGGGCCCCGCCCTGGCCCCTAGGGTTGGGGTAGGGATCCCGATTTTACAATTTAAAACAATCTTCCTCTTCCAAGGATAATTCTCATCAAGGAGAAATAATTTCCAACAGAAAATTGTCAAACTATACCCAAAAGTGTTGTTTCCCTATATGAACTAAAGTAAACTTTACCCCCTCCCCAAGAGAGAACGGATAGCTCGGGGGCCCTGAAATTTACAATTTAAATAAAGCCCGTGATGATCTTTCCATCCATACAGAGAAAATGACTGTAATACCTCTGAGTCTGAAGAAGAAGATTTTTGAAATATTGGTTAATTTTCCCTTTGGGGGCCCGCCCTGGCCCCAGGGGTTGGGGTAGGAATCCCAATTTCACAATTTGGTAGCCCCATCTACCAAGGATGATTCTGACCAAGTTTGAAAAAATTCCATCCACTGGTTCTTGAGAAGAAGTTGATAATGTAAAAGTTTACGCACGACGCACGACGGACGACGGACGACGACGGACGGAAAGTGGTTGGATTAGGTCACTTGAGCAAAGCTCAGGTGACCTAAAAAAGACAAACCTTACCCAACCCACGATAAAAACTATGAAGACGATCACTCGAAAAACCCCACTAAAGATCACGTAGACTCATCTAGGTGAATATGTAATAAAGACACTAGACCTACACAGACGAAACTAGGTGGATATGCCAAACTCAAAAAGAAAACAAAAACACTCGTAGAATAAACTAGCTATGCAAACAAGCTGCGTATCAAAACCCCAACATAAAACAAAATTGACGAATACCAACAAAATCTCGTCAAACACGAAGTGGGCAATTGTAGGTGTATAGCATACACCCTCCCCAAAATCAATTGCATCAATACCGAATCGAACCAATAGAAAATCACACCGTATTTAATTGAAAGGTATTGTTAAATTACATAAAAACACATCAACAGTTACACCCTTCAAAACGTTTCCTGATAATTTCCGGAAATGCCACGCCCAATTCAAATTATTTATATATGAGAGAGACTGAATGTTTGTAATATTAAGATTTAAGTACATATTGAAACATTGTCATTCGGTAAATATAAAAGTCAAATTAATTTGACTACTGTTTTTTTTCTGATTTGCTCACCTGGAGTGTGAGCTCTTCCACTCCCGCCCTGTCTCCAAACCACGTGATTGAAGCATTGACAAATGCAAAGAGGGATATATAAATGAGGAGGTTTACGAGGACGTTCACCATGAGCTGTAGGCCCTGCATTCCACCTAATGACAGGGCTTGCATCAAACTCTTGGTACCACTACAACAGAGGTTTTGACAGTGTTATCTTTTCAAAAATGATTCATTTTTAATGAAATTCAATCGAGCTGGTAAACGATATCATATTTGTGGTAAAAATTAGTAATCGTTACTCACATATAACGGCAGGATATTATGATATATAAATATAAATATATACTTTTACTGGTTTGAAACACGATTCCAGTCTAGGTTTTTTCCCTGGTCAGATAATTGAACAGCTACATGGAAAAAGTAAAGTGTATGTAACAATGATATGCAACAACAACAATAACAACAACAACAACAACAACTTATATCGTCGCCTAAACTTTATATTAGTGAAAAGAAACAGAATTTGGTGGCTTTGAACGCCGCGAATAAGCATTTTCAGGTTGACAAGGGCCAATCAGGACGGTATTGTCAAACTATCGCCCTGATTGATCGATCCATGTTGATATATTTCACTGAGTGAAAAGCTCTTATTTCATAACTGTCACCAAGTGAATGATATTACTTTTATCAGCTATATACAATTATGTGTACAACCTTAATAAACAGAGAAAAAAAAATGTATTTTATTCATTAAAAATAAAAAAAAACATTACGCACGTGTCTCGTGGTTATTAATATTTACTTGTTGTCAATCAACAGTGGCTGTACTCTAACACTCCGACATACCTCTTGGTTCCCACGACACAGATTTTAGTGTCGTCCTTGCCCGTTTCGGATGGATACACCATTTTGGACGCCACCAAAGCTGCTGGTGCAGACATGACTGATGCTGTCAAAAGATATTCGACAGGTACCTACAATGAAAAGACTATAATGTCATGTTTTCTTCTTCTTTGAGTTAGAAAGCTTAAAGGACGCTCGTGCTACCAGACATGTGAGAGGGCCTGTAGTTTGGTGATGGTTTTGGGTGGTGTTGGTGTATTCTAATGAAGATGTTATATTATCCTTGAAGCAATACAGATCGCCATCGTGAGTTGAAAATAACATTACCGTAAACAAACAGAAGCGTGCTATAGTGGCTGTCGGAAGTCTTTGATCAGCATACAACAATACGTATTGGCAGACTGTACATCGATGTAATAGGCTGTATTATAATATATGGTGTGCCGTTTTACAATTGATATTATAGATCGTAATGTAATTGTATACTATACATCTAACTGTATTATACTGTGCTATCAGTACTTATAGTGGAGGACATTTCATTAAAGTATATTGTACAACACTATTTACAATTGTACGGATACAATGTGCAGTCCTATGGTAATGTATGTATGTTTTCTCTCCGACGTGATATAAAACACAAGGAATAGAGAATCTAAATATGTGCCATTGTATGAGCAAACTGGCATTTGGGTTTTTTTTTTACAAATGAAAAAACAAAAAGCATTTCTAAAGACACACACGGTAACGTGATGGCATCTCATTTTAACTGAGTGATGTTTACCCGGTAAATGTTTTTTAAGCTGAACATTATAATGGACAGCAAAGCAAATCAATGATTGCCAGATTTGTAATATAGATGTGTGACTTTGAAACTGGCTGATTACAATTGTAACAACCACGACGGTTGATGTTTACTTCTATGATATTGTTGGGAATGCTCCCTATTGCCCCGTCGATAGCAATGTGAAATATAACAGTAGCCAAAATAATTAAGAACGATTTTCTACAAGCTTTTCTAACAAGGTTGACCTTATTCTCAAATCACAACAATTGGTAAATGTTATGGGTATGGATGTATGCAAATGGTAAAGGCTGTATTATCAAGAAAAGAATAAAAAGTGAGCAATCAATTTAGACATTTACCACACACATCCGAAATGGATAATCTTAAACAATGGTTCTCCTGTAAGCTGCTCTTTCTGTCTTTAATTTCTTTCCTTTATGGTTTGTATGGGGTTTAACATTCTCGCAACATCTACGATCATATAAAAACCGATATGCAAATAATTTTGTATCATCAGCAATAGTTCAGCATATGTACATGTTAACATACCAATGCTACTAAGTGTTATATTTTTCACACAACACTCATTTCTCTATGTTCATTTCGTTGGTTCTAAAGAACCAGGATGCTGTGAACAAAGGATCAATGTAAGTCGGAAGTATGCAGTGTCTTCATATATTTCTTACTCTTTAGAGTGTCTCAGGTTGTGTGTCGGATAAGCGTCGATATAAAACATAAGTTGAATGGTCAAGAAAGTGCTGCGATTGGTCAGTTGACCAAATAACAACTCTGACCAATCGAATAAGTAACGAACATGCAACACACCAACAACATCAATGACGTCACAAACATGTGTACTTTCAGGTAAAATATATACACGAACTCTTACGTGTAACTATATATATAGAGGGAAAAAATAAGATTAACGACCGACTAAAAAACTAGCTGCTTTCACCCTTCACATGGCTCTTCAGGTTCAATCTGAAGAGCCCTGTGAAGGGTGAAAGCAGCTAGTTTTTTAGTCGGTCGTTAATCTTATTTTTCCATATTTACTTCCTTCACATGGAAATTTAATCCCTTTTTATCATATACATATACATATAACGAACACAAAATAAACATAGGGTTACAAACATGTATATAAAGCAGGAGAAACGAACAGAAATTGTGTAGACGTACCCCGAAATTGGAGAAAAGGACGAGAGCGGAGCCGGCTATGGAAGACAATCCATTTGTGTAAATACAAAAGATGTGGGACGTAGATAGCGAGTCTATGTACTCACTGATGACCATCAATGATTCGATCTACAGCAGATGTAACGATAAATGTGAAAAAATGAAGCTGGATGTCTTAACTTCAATCAGCAGCATATTGTAATTAATTCCTTTGGTTATTTCTCTTAATATCAGCTCTATAAAATTATGTGATCTGAATGCCTTATTTAATAATTTAAAGATTAATTTCCTTCGAAATTATTGAAATTATTTGACAGATGAAGCATTTTCCGTAGAAATATATTCGCGTATACATCGCTTGCAAATATACAAAAAATTAGAACTACATGAAGTAAAAAAAGAATAATAGTATTTCCTATGCTAGCAGTAGCTGTTGAAATAATTTGATATCACTAATAATTTAATGTATTCATACATACCCCACTCATGAATATATTCGTTGCAGCGTTCATGGATTCCACCGGATTCGTTTGTAGACAGTAACCAAGAAAACCGCCAAGGTTTGAGATGATGAAGGCCAAAACGCCAAGGTAGGATAAAACAGCAATGGCAGAACAAAACACAATCACAGAGGGAACAACCTATAGCAGGATAACATATAAAATATAATACGGGGACCTTTTTTGATATGTTATATAGATGTTTCATACAAGTTGGGGTATTAGCTGATAACCCTCATGTAACTTAAGAATAGTGTAATATGGACCCAAAATGGAATATGTTTTCAAAAAATATATTGAAGGGTAAGGTATATATAAACCGTTTCATAACGTTACATATTGTCAACATGTCGGTACAACAGATAACTTTTGCCTAAACTAGTATATCATGCAAACCATACAAGAAAATTATTTCGGTTGTAAAGCTACGGCCAACCTCGGGGACTGATAGTCTACCTTGTTACGTCAAAATGATAACTGGAAATATGATAGAATGAACATTTAACCATGACCGTTTCGTCCATTTAGGGATCACCAGTATTACTTCAGGTTACTCCAATTTGTAAAATTATTCTGATAACAACTGACCTTGAATATCAAATTGAATTCCTTGTATCTTTTACTGAAAATGAAAGCTGAACCGGTGTCGGAGAAAGCAATGAATTCCAAAAATCTGTCCGTTGTCCAGTTCACAGCACCGATGCCCCATTCTGTGCGGAGAATGATCAGAGCGAAACCAAACTCGAGTGACAGTCCCCAAAACACTGTATGCCAGTTAATCTGTAACGATTTCAATAGTACAATGCTACTCTCCTGTAATAATTATTGTTGTTATTGGCAAGTATGGTGCCCCGGGTTTCAGTGTTACCTAACAGTACCTAACTGTCAAAGTTCTTTTTTGTATCCTTTTCCCAATAACAAAAATAGATAGATATCGTGAGATAAAATTGATAAACTGATGTTATTTAATAAGAAATAAATTTCGGTAAAAAATATTAAGTTAGACAGATCGACTAACAGTATAAAACACTTATTTACATGATATGTTGTTTTGTTTTGTAAAGATACAAGCTTCCGAGTGATCTAGATAATTGGTCTTTGGAAGTTTACCTTGAATTCATATTAAGTTATTTACATGCGTGAAATATAAATTAACCTACATCATATCTTAACTTACATTTGCCTTGTTATTTGACATGAGGAAAAGGATGAAGATGAAGACGAATATCCCGCCGAGTGAGACGAGGTTTCTTGGTCTAGTTTGTATAACTGCTAACCCTATGTAGACTGCAATAAGCGTCAGCACCACAAAGTACAACGTCCTAGACGGAATAAAGGTAAATAGATTTCGTATGTTATCCTCACACTTCGTACTTCATTCCTAGAAAGGTGCTTGTAAGAAGGAGCTTTGTCCCGGATTTTGAGTTTTTCACGTAGATTACAGATTTTACAGAATATCACATACTTACATTATTTACATGTTACTTATACATACATTTTTTGCCACTTGTGTATTCTTTGCATGTGTCAATTGAATATGTTAAAAAGAAATTACATGCTTATCAAATAGGAAAAAACCTAGACTTCCAATATAATATGCTCCCAAATAAACAACTAAGGAACAAGGACTTTTATGAGCTCAAACAATAGAATATAAAAAATATAAAATGAAATTGTTTTAGATATTAATAAAACCATCTCTGTTCCTCGTGTAAGTAACTTGTCTACACCAAAGCGGGCAGAGTGGGGTTATACAAAGTGCTGTATCCACGATTGTATCTGTCAGCTGACGGAAACGCATCATGTAGGACCTATTTAGTTGATAGATTGCCAAAGTATAAATATAATTTTATGTAAACTGTTCTACAATTCACGTCTGCCGCAGGCAAGGTTAATCTAGTAGTGTATGTATGTTTTATTATATACATGATTTATATCAGATATTGCTCATCTTTAACACTTATGTAATAGATGTACGCCCGGCCAATGACAGATCATGAACAATTCATACCAGCACGAGTAAATTGTATTTAATACCTAAATGTTTGATAAAAGAGAAACAGCAACATTTTGATTAATATTTACTAACGGGAGGTATATAAACATGATAATCATACAGCATATGTGTTTCTCTCAAACCATTCATGCAGAACAGGGAATTCTATCGGGTCCATGAGGTCAAACAACTCTTAATTCGACGTTATCAATATGTTTAACATTGGAAACGATTATAATGTGTAACTTAACTATGTCTTATATAACTGAATATTGATGAAGCATGTACTAGTTTTTATTATTACAAAAACAATAATACTCACCATCTTACTATTTTTTTCGCCTTGGTAATATTTTCAGGATTCTTTGATCCAAGTGATTTTTTAAATGCCCTGTACAAAGATACGTTTTTGATAATTCCCCAGCCAAGGTACATCAGTAACAATATAGTACAAACCAACAATCGCAAGGATCCCTCGTCTCCAAACCGGAAACTGAGAGAGTACGCAACATATGCTAGGAACAACAGCAGTAAAATACTGTATGTTATTGTTTTCAATATCTTTTGGTGCTTTAAAATAACAACCCGGATTCCGTAAATTATCTTGTCGATGAATAAAACTTTCTCTGCTATTACTAGACCATCTTCTGTCGGCATTTGGTCTGGATCTTCTAATTCATATGCTTGCGGTATTACAACATCTGATTGGGAGTCGACAGAAGACATTCCTCTTACGTCAGGGTCAAGTTTATTTAAAGGAATGGTGGCTATTGGGATTCCATTGTCTAAACATCTGTGTCTTGACGGATTAAGGTCGACGTTCGTGGTTTTACTGTGGTAATAAATGTGCATTTTAGTGACATAGACAACAGAAATAGCACAGCGTAAACACAACAGGTCCTAATGTGAGTGTAATATTTGTACATAAAAACACTGAACAGAGATCAAAATTATAGGAACCTCATTATGAATCCAGATGGAAATGCATTTTTGTATAACATGCACCACATCAAATCTCCGTAAAATTCATCAAAGCACATATGAGAATAGGTACTGACATTTCATGAATGGTACCGCATCATCACAAAAATATATATCATGAATGTGTTAAGGTATATAGTACGTAAATATTCAAATAAATTATTGTAACCCATAGTTACCCTTTACGTAGATGCTGTATATCCATGCTGACGGTTTGCTGCGGTGTGTCGCTTTCCCATGAACTACCACATCTGACAAACACCATATAACTAGTGGTTTTATCCTATGTTTGGTAGTTTTGATGTAAGACGTGTTTTGCCCTAAAGCAATGCATGTCACTTTAACTACAGTATGTCGTGTCATTGTTGGTTAATTCGTAAATGGAAAAACTCCTCAAATGAAAGCATCGTATTCATCATGATGTGCTGTGTTTTTGTCATAGCTATGTAAATTCTGGGATCAGTGACCTGGAACGATGATGCTATTACATCATATGTCTAAATCAGTAGCCATAAAATATATAAATAAAATGCCCCTAATATATTACTTATGATAGATATATTTACCTGTATGTTTAGGTTGCTGCTCAGCAGTTTAAAACTTTTTTTAAAACGTTTTTCTTTGGACACTTTTTTCCATATAATGTCGAATATATCCTACAGATAAGACAGGAATGTATGTGTTTTTAATGAAAAGTACAATACATGAAAGAGTATATTTTCTCTAAGTATATTATCAAAAATGAAATATGTTTTATTCAAATAAAAGTTTCACTTGAAGTTATTTTTTACCAGATTGTATTTACTAAAATCTTCATCATTTACGTGTATGCATGTTGACATTGTATTCACATATCACACTTTTTCGACACCGTATTGTTAAAATGATATTTTATGCATGCGTGTGTGCTGAAGATGTATTGTGTTCTGTTGGAAGTGGGACCTTGCTTCCAACGGTATCACTTATAGTGCCACCTCACTTGAATACTACAGCACAGATATAGCTACATCCACCATAGACAATTTTATACTATAATTGGGTTTTTGGAGTTATCTTACATAATGAGGTAATGAGTTGTTGCTCACGATGATTTGGGTCACTGTACCCTGTAGTTTTCCATTCCAATCAGCAATTAAGGAAATTGGTATTTTTAGTAAAATTCCGTCCTTTTCATGCATGTCATATCAATAAGTGAAAGTATATCAAAGCATTTTCGAATTCTAGGCTATTATTTCCTGTCGTATTCATACAAGTTCATCAAATTGAATATGCCTAGACAATAACTAGAAACTTCGGCAAGATCACTTCAGTGAGGACCGATAACAAAAACCTAGCTTACACGATCACTTCAGTCAGGACTGGTCACAAAAACCTAACTAACTCGATCACTTCAGTCAGGACTGGTCACAAAAACCTAGCTTACGCGATCACTTCAGTCAGCACTTGTCACAAAAACCCTAACTTACTCGATCACTTCAGTCAGGACTGGTCACAAACAATTGACTTACACGATCACTTCAGTCAGGACTGGTCACAAAAACCTAGTTTACTCGATTTCATTTCAAATCAATTTTATTGTATTCAAAAACACAATTGGATTAGACACAGGCATTGCCTTTAAAAGCCCTTTCCAGAGAAAATACACAATTTCATACATTCATACATTGTATATACATATATATAGAGAGAGAGAGTATTATAGAGAAGATGTAGTATATGTTCGAATTAATAGGAGAATACTAGAACCATTTAATACATGTTCACAGAAAATAATAATTAGAATATCATAGATTTTAACATTTCAATTAATATAGTCTATTCACTTCAGTTATTAATAGCCTAGTGTTTGGTTGGAGGCACTTCAAAGACACTGTCACTATACACAGTGCCATCCTTCCCAATTACACCAGAGTTATTGTTATAAAATAGTTTACTCGATCACTTCAGTAAGGACTGGTCACAAAAACCTATCTTACTCGATCACTTCAGCCAGGACTGGTCACAAAAACCTACCTTACTCGATCACTTCAGTCAGGACTGGTCACAAAAACCTACCTTACTCGATCACTTCAGTCAGGACTGGTCAAAAATACCTACCTTACTGGATCACTTCAGTCAGGATTGGTCACAAAAACCTTGCTTATGACTGGTTATAAAAACCTGATAATTATATGGTAACGTCTGGACTTTCATTTTCTGACAGTTTGCAGTCAACTTGGAATAAAGTTCTGATAAATTGTCTAATAATGTCGGATAAATTGAATTCTCGGATATTGATCACACACATAGTATATGGCATGACATGGACAAAACTGATAATATCATCACAGCTTATCAATGAAAAGCGACGCTGATAGCATTGACTCGTTCTGATACTGTGCAAACTGTATATTTGATAGCATGCGTTAAAGGTGTCTTAAGTCGGAAATATAATTTTCAATCATTAACAATCTTATATTGTCATCTCGTACCTGACGCTGTGCATAAAGACTGATTTATAAATACACAGTGTCACGATGCCCTTAAGTATGTACTTCGTAAAAACGTTACGATTTATTTATTAATTCATTATAGGTCAGGACGTGGTGGCATATACCCAGGAGAGGACTGCGGGAGTACCCACAAACAACTGGAGCTAAGTAGTCTTTAGACACCATTTTGAAAAAAACGTCATATTACATGTGTATATGTTTATTTGTAACACTATTTGAAATATAGTCTGATATAGCCAAACATTGTATCGCCATAAAGGGTTTAATAGTTAAACTTCATTTTGCATTTCTACATGTATTTCGGAATATTTTATACATGGATTGTGATACTTTCGACCCCCGGTATCACGGATGAGTCAGACATGGACGAGATTACCATATGAGGAAATACATGTTTATCTTGTTTGGCCTAGTTTCTACATCGATTTACAAATTGTATTATTTTAATGATTGCTTATTACCTTATTTCTAGTGATTATTTTGTGTCATCAGATATTTAATCTTGCTGGTTAACTTTAGCCTATGTACCAAAAATGTATTCTTCGACGGTTTGCATAAAAATTTGAAATAAACAAAAAAAAGAAAAAGAAAATAGTTAACGCTATAAACGAACATTTAGGCAAATAAGCTATAATTTTGATTAGTGACAGTATTATTTCATGTAAATATGCATTAAATTGATTTTCTAGTTACATTTACGGGGCAAAGCGTAAGGTACCAGCAAGTACGGTTCACTAGCAGTAAACAGTAACGCGAGCTTGCAAAACCTGTTGACTGGTTCTAACATTAACCCAAAACTATAAACTATTGGAGCATTGAGTATGTCCACCCATCTTTAAAATTATCAACCAAAAATGTAATGCAAGCTTCTAATGTTACTGAAATCTAAACGTTCCCTCCATATATTTACACACTTTCTAGTTACAAGACATTAAATATAGTATACAATTGTAGTCTTTTAGCGGTGTTTTCATGGCAATTCAAATTACCTGTAAGGGCAATTCCCATTCAAAATTTAGATGTTATGCATGCTTGCACAATAAATTAGCTGCATATTATGCCGCGTATTCTTGCTTAAAATGTTTAGTTGCTCTAGAAGTAAATACAAATATGCTGCGAGTTTGTGCTGTTTTACTTCTCTTCCTGGAATTTACAAGCTTGTTGCAAGACCATTTATACTCTGTATCCACCATGTCAGCAGACAGTATTAGGAAGTCGTGTTTTCATGCTCTACATTGGGTGTAAAGAATTTGTGATGTGAAGTATTTCCCCGTTTGTATCCGCCATCTGAACCGATAGTCAAACTAACATTTATTATATTATATATAATTGGTTAACTACATAACATGTTCAGTAGGTTCACGTCAGCAAAACTGGTATCTCATGTTTTGCAAATATGTTAACATAATTTGGTGCTAGTTACTCTTATAATGTTCAAAGTTATGTCTCCATTATTTCTTGCAACTTTGGACGGCAATAAAAAAATCTTGTTATGTACATGCATGTTCTTAAATAAATTGCCCCCTATAGAGACCACAAAACAATACGAAGTTCAATCCATATATTTTTAATGAGGAATGGTCAATCATTTCTAGTTCCTGTGAATGTCTTAAACACATGGACGATTACCTGTCACTGTGTTTATAACATCGGTCTTTAAAATAGAATCATAAACATCCTCATTTTTACAAACTACTCTTTAATGATCATAAAATGCATATTTAATAGTAAAATATGTGTGATAAATAGAGCTACGTGGCAAGATATAATTTTATAGATAATATTCTATATATAATATTCTATATATTTTCATTTTCCTTTTTTCTCCTCCAAAATGACCGCTCTGGAATTTTTTTCCCAAATTTAAACAAGTAAATAAAATATATTATGACATGTTTACTCAAATAAAAAGTACACCAATTTTTTAAATAAATTTGTAAATATAACTTAAATGTCACTTAAGTAATAAATAAATATGCATGTAAAAGTTGTAAAAATCGCCGTTGCTTTCGAAGAACCATTACTAAACTACGACAAAAAAGCTGTTTACCAAAGTTTGTCATACATTTCTGCCACAATCTTAATATTATATTTTCAGTTCATAATTTGAATTATACAATATTATTCCATACTGAGTCGCTAACAACAAATACAAGTATCTTTACACAGCATAAGAAAATGTAGAATCGTTCAACTTTCAAAATTTACATGGTATATAGCATATGACAAAACAAACAAAAAAAAAAAAATTCCTGACAATAATCCTTATTTAACACATTTGCAGAAAAATATACTGTACAAAATGCTTTTCTGCTTTTAAAATTTTAAAAAGAGTTTAAGAAACAAGCATTTTTTTTAATTCTGCATATTTTAAAGGAAATTGCAGTAAAAAATGAGTCTCTTTACAAAATGAAGAGACTTCACATCTATGTATGTAAAATGTGCAGAACCGTTAAAACAAATCTGAATGATGCCACAATCCAGAAGGCTCTAGTAGCAAGTATATGCCAAGTTTAAAAGAAATGTTTAATAAATATCCTGATATGTAACCAAACCACTTTATCAGGAATTTACGCAAATATTCCCGAAAAATATCTCAGTTGCTTTTATTGCAACAGAACAGTAACAGAATGTCATGTCTATTGTGTTATCACTAACTTCACAATTCCATATAGCTAAACATTAGGTACAACGTCGTTTTACGTCTCAGCAGGGTGTGTAACGTTGTGGAATTTAGGTTTACTGGAGTAATATTGACAATGTTAATTCACATATAGTGGTATGTAAATACTATAAAGGAAATCACTTAACAAACAGGTCTACAAGTACATTAAATACAACAAATTCATCTGCAAAATTCCCGATTATTGTGAATAGAGTATCTCTATAAAATACATATGTAGGGGATAGATATCAATGCAAATTAAACAATTGGCAGTGTTATTTTTAATCTTAATACAAATGCATCGTGTCATTTAGAAAATATTTTCCAATTCACAATAACACAACATCTAAAACAATCTCCAATTCTAACCCCAACAATATATCCCTATATCAAGCCCTATTCAACTGCGTTGCCCAAACTCCCGAATTCCCACACAACAAACATACTCAAACCCCTTCATAACAACACAGCCCCAACCCCTACATTTATCCTTACAAAGCAAACCCACCCACCCCTACACAACATTCCTACTTAAACCCCAACCCTATCCCTAGAGAAACGATATCCATAGATAACACACCTGATACAACGTACATTGTATTACACAGATATCCTGCATCAGATACCATACCACTTCCCTCACTATGTCCCCATTAAAAATCATATCCCCACATGGAGCTTTATCACTCATATGACATCTAATTTCAAACATACAACTGTCACATCTAACAGACTCGACTCCATCCCAATAAGCCGTCTGTTTAGACGATGAAGACATTTAAAGAATGGGGTATTTGTGAATGGATACTCAAACAACACGTTCACATCTAGTCAGTAAATTCATATGGTGCTGTGGGCTTCAGTTTGCGGGCTTTGATACAGTCGTACACGAACAATTCTCCAACAACAGGTAACTGGAAAAGTAAAAAAGGAAGATAAGTTATCAATATTAATGTATCATAAGTCATTTATATTTATTTTGCTTTTTTAACACCTCTATTAAAACAGAAAAAAAAAGTTCTACGGAGTTCTACATAAACTTATTCATAACCTTCAGGATTGTTCTTCCTTCCTCATATTGATATGTAACTTTGACAATGACTCAAAGAATGCTTCATTCCAAATTAAGTTCACATTTATTCTGCTATTGTCCAGCAGTCACGTTTTCAAAGCCTGTTCCCACAATTTACCCCCATTCTAGCTCACCGAATGGGGGCACTTGATCGTTTATACATGTTTCACAAAAAATTGGGTTAACATCCATCCAGTCTAGACTACCCAAAAGGTTATCGTAAACTGCAGAAGCAATATATGTAAATCGGTGATTTCAAGAAAAGGCTGGATCGAAACTAAAGACAACTATTGAAAATGGAGAGACTGAAAACACCCAGGAACAGACATAAACAGGTTATTCCTCACAGGCAGCACAGAGAAAATCCCTGCAACAGGACACTACCATCAATTTACAATACACGTTCGATCTCTGGAGAGAGGGGGGCAAATAAGAAACTATGATGAAACAAAACAGCAAAATGACAGCAACGGAAAGCAGAAAGAAACTTCTAACTAAAGAATTGCAGTTGGAACAAAGGGCTAAAGTAGAAATATTACAAACAGCAGAATAAAATGAGTAAGTTATACTACAACAATGTTACCTTGGTCGCATAAAATATACAAACATACTAAAATGGGAGGATTGAGAGAGCGTAGGAAAGAGACGACTTTGTCAAAGATCCCTTTACAGTTATTAAAATCGTTTCTAGTCTAAGGAAGATTAGATCAACTGGCATGGTCAAAGGAAGGATTGAAAGGTCATCTCAAAGATATTCATTTTACCAACAGGACAGCACAGCCATGAGGATTGAGAATAGTGCATCATTAAATAACATTTACCAATCTGGAATTGATCAGTATCAGTCCAAAGACCAAGTGGAAACCCATACAAGCTTTACAAGAAAGGTCTACGACTACAAAAGAGACCATGTTTTTAAGCTAATATGTACACAACAGAATAAATGCACTTCCAGTCACCAGGCTGAAAGAAAGCAGAGTGAGTCACTGCTCCATAAAGAGAAAGACTCCAAGACAATAGATCAATTTAGAACTACAGTATAGTATTGCTGAGTGTCTCCGCGATATTTGTCATGCGAATGTCAGCTTATACAGTGGTTAATACCTACGTTTACACTTCAGGTTAGACGAGAGGACCCACAGGTTTGCAGGGTGCGTAGAACAGACATGTGCCATAATCCAACTGATCTCAGAAGCCAAATAAAAAAAGGCAACATGACAGTGGTATGGCTACGTCTCCCACACGTATTGCCTGAAGTAGCCTTGGTACTCATCACAATCCTCAGCACATCTGGGAAATGTCATGAGTTAATTTTGAGGAGCACATCTACGGTTTATATAATTATGGTTTGAATGGCGAAACCAGAAAAATGAACAGTGACATGACGAACTATTTCACTAAAACGTTTCATTATGGGAGCAAATACGGCAGCAGAGAAAGCTGATGACCTATATAATGGTGTCTGACCTGACCTATAAAATGGTGTCTGAGCTCTACCAACCTATTAACAAAAGTGGGGGTGACATGGGCACAAATGCAAATTAATTCTCAATTCACGAAAACATGCTACTACTAATCTTTGGCAGCTTCATTAAGTGGCTGGTTGAATACTTCAAAGACGGACTCAGTGATAACCATAACCACAAGAACACCCAAGGTTATGTGAATCAGTGGATGAAGACAATTCATAAGTCATAACTACAGGGGTCGAACAATTTGTCTACATGGTATGCTACTAAGGATAAAATAACTGCTGCAACTGCATGAAATACTAACGTCAACACTAGCAGGCTTCAGGAAGACAGACAAATTGGTACCTGTAGAAGCTGTTAAAGGTTTCAACTAGCTTCACATTAAAAGGTCCTTTATTTTTATAAAGTTGAGTACTTTAGCCTAATCATATCATGCTTCATATCTAATTTGGTAAAAAATGTATTCTGCCATTCTGGACTAGTTGGCTTTTCAGTAAAACGTTGACAACAGATGAGACACCAAGCTTAGGGCATAAACACATGCTTTTCTGGTAGGTGAGCTAAAAAGATCTTACCCCTTTACGAACTGCCTGCTGCACTTTATTAGTTTTCGTCGTAAATTCATTTGGAGTTGCTACCAGTATACTGAAAACCTTTGGTGTGGCTGTGAAAAAGAAGATCAGTATTAAATAAATAAGATATCAGTTGAAGGTAAAATATTACTTAAATTGTTTTTAGTAATAGGTAGTTAACATGTTACAATGTTAATTACATATTGTTACAGTACAGGAACATAATAGGTCAGGGGCCGCGGTGGCCAAGTGGTTAAGCTAGGCTCCTGACATTCTTCTACCACTAACCCTCCACCACTGGGTCGCGAGTTCGAGGCCTACGTGGGGCAGTCGCCAGATACTGGCCATTGGTCGGTGTTCCTTAACCTGTCATGTCTCAAACAAATATAGGTCTACAATCAAAGTTGACCGGTAATCATTTAATTTACCTAACTATATGTTCTTATTTCAAGATAGTATTTTCGATATTTATACTGAAAAAACATGGCAACCCTCCATCAAAAGTTATGGAATCTGATTCTATTATAATTTAATATTCTTTAAGAAAAGCAATATTTTACACACAATTTCAGACTGTCTGAATTATTTCAATCTGGTTTTACATGCATTTACATGAATAATTATCCTGAGTTTTAAATAAAACCTGTCTCTTCCTTTTTTTATGATGAGATAAACAAGCGAGATCCTTTGTTGTACAGTTAACAGTATGGTTATATAGATATCCATGAGTATATCATAGCAACAACAGAAATTATCTTAAAGGTGAAATATTGTAATAAACTAAGTATGACTACCTGAATAAGCAAACCATCTGGTATATAAGATAATAACCTTACCTTTTTCTGATCCATGCATTTTTACTAGCTCCAGCATTTGGTTTTGTGGTAGTTGAAACATTCCAGAAAACATGATCTGTTCGTGTTTGAAGGTCCTGTAACATGAACATGGTTTTTGAACAATCAGTGAAAAGTGTGCAATCAAAAGCCACGGTGCCTTGTATTATATTTCCATTACCATCATAGTTTCCAAACACGCCTGTCTCCCTTCTTTGTATTTCATGTAATAATATCGCGATTTCACAATAATATAATGGTCAAATTAAAGTACATGAGTCTTATAGGCAAGAATGAATCTCCTCAATATTTTTGCAATCAGCAATTTTTATATTGCATTAAATAATTCATAAATTAATGATTATATCTCTCCATTTTTGGCTTCTGTCTCTCAGTACTAAGGGAACAACACATATTCCATCGGTGCCAAGAATGCTTTATAGCAAATTTCTTAAAATATTATCAACATTTCAAGAAGAACAGGCTCACAGTGTTGGCCAAAGAAATGCTCCAAAAGTTAAAATCTCACCCTTGGAGTAGAATTTTATATCTTTATGTTATTTCCCCTATTTGGCTGCACCCCCTTACCAAATTGAGTCCCTTTGGCCCTAGGATGATTCGAGTCATTTTAGGATAAAATTTTCATTCATTTTATTTGGCCCTGCCCCTCTGCCCTTAGGGATGCCAGACCATCAGTAAATACAATGCTGAGGCTTCATGGCCAGGGAAACTCCACACAAATTAATGCTAAAATACATCTTTTTTGTCCTATTGATTCAATTCTTTGCCCATACATATACAAAATTGAGTCCCTTTGCCTTATGCTCCATAACAAATTTAGTCTGTTGAGTACTTTTTAATTTGTCACGAAATTTTCAAACAAGATTTATATCGGATATGATTGTACTTTCTAGGGAAGACTGATCACACTGGGTAAAAAAAGGTAGAAATTGGGTACATTTGTTGTATATATGTTGTGGTTTCTCTCAGAAAACTGCATCTAAAGTATTATCATTATCTTTCTTATACAGTATGTTATCAAGAAAAAGTAAAGCACTCTCAGACACTTGATATTGTTTAAAAATACAATCCATACAATCAGTAGGTTTTCTTACAACCAGACTTTTTAAAGTTTTAAGGGAAAAGTTGATACGAGATGGACAACAAATGGACGTCATGCCAGAACTGTTTGGGCAGGTGAGCTAACATAATGTGTCAAACTTACTACACAGGCAGGCATGTGAGCTAACATAATGTGTCAAACTTACTACACATGCGGGCAGGTGAGCTAACATAATGTGTCAAACTTCCTACACAGGCGGGCAGGTGAGCTAACATAATGTGTCAATCTTACTACACAGGCAGGCAGGTGAGCTAACATAATGTGTGAAACTTACTACACAGGCAGGCAGGTGAGCTAACATAATGTGTTAAACTTACTACACAGGCAGGCAGGTGAGCTAACATAATGTTTCAAACTTACTACACAGGCGGGCAGGTGAGCTTACATAATGGGTCAAACTTACTACACAGGCGGGCAGGTGAGCTAACATAATGGGTCAAACTTACTACACAGGCGGGCAGGGGAGCTAACATAATGGGTCAAACTTACTACACAGGTGGGCAGGTGAGCTAACATAATGTGTCAAACTTACGACACAGGCGGGCAGGTGAGCTAACATAATGTGTCAACCTTACTACACAGGCGGGCAGGTGAGCTAACATAATGGGTCAAACTTACTACACAGGCGGGCAGGGGAGCTAACATAATGTGGCAAACTTACTACACAGGCGGGCAGGTGAGCTAACATAATGGGTCAAACTTACTACACAGGTGGGCAGGTGAGCTAACATAATGTGTCAAACTTACTCCACAGGCGGGCAGGTGAGCTAACATAATGTGTCAAACTTACTCCACAGGCGGGCAGGTGAGCTAACATAATGTGTCAACCTTACTACACAGGCGGGCAGGTGAGCTAACATAATGTGTCAATCTTACTACACAGGCAGGCAGGTGAGCAAACATAATGTGTCAAACTTACTACACAGGCGGGCAGGGGGGCTAACATAATGTGTCAAACTTACTACACAGGCGGACAGGTGAGCTAACATAATGTGTCAAACTTACTACACAAACTCACTTTGAAGCCTTGGAACTAGCAATAGCACCGTAACCTTCTGCTATCTTCATTGGGTCAAACATGTCAGAGGTACCGCCCTGTAATAAACAAAACAGGTTCTACACCACCAGGAAATATATCAACAGAAATTCCTCTCAGTAAACTATATAAACAGGACATGTGAAACACTGCAACGTACAATTCTTGTAAATCACCAGAGCCCACCAAACACATGTGCACCTTTAATGACTGAAACATTAGCCCTGCTATTTTCTCACTTAACATCAATAAAGCTTATGGCAAAATTTACAAATCCTGACCAGTTTCAGGACCGTTACAATTAAAATTTAATACTTACTGTTACCCCAAATTTATCAGTAGCTAAGGTTACCACAAACATAATACAGATACATGCATGATGACTATAACTAGGGTTACAACATATGAAACACTACAAAAACCTGTCCCAACATCATTTTCTCTATACTTAATTATTGTGATTTATCACAGGCTGAACCATGGAAAGAACTGTTGTTTTGTTCTATACATTGTTTTTATTCTCAAAAAGCTGTAATCACAATAATATCATTACAATCATGACAGTTGATTAAGTACCCTATCTAGCAAGAAAAACACACTCTTAGACACTTGTGTATTGATATATAATTTATACAATGAATAAGTTTCTAACTTTTCTATCAATCCTTCCAAAAGATGCCCAATATCAACTGGAATTCCTTAGACCAAAGATAACTGAAAGTTTATCGAATGGCTAGACAACAATATACTTACAGTAGGTTTGTATGTGAAATTAGTACTGGCATTTTCGTAATGTACAATGTACGATGGAAGGATGTGATTGCCGTTGAATATAACTAACTCCATTTTGTCTGGCGAAGTGTGAGAATCATGTCCCTTCTGGAGGGCGGACCCGTGGATGAGTTTGGTACACTGGAAAACCTTCCCAGGTAGGACCTGACACAGCAGTAGTTTGGTAGCCCCATGGATGTAGCTCATTGAATATGATGGAAACTCACTGAAGTATACACCTTTTCCATAATATCCTGTGTCAGTCTTGTGAGTAAAACCAGTGTCTCCTGTCAAACACATCTTATCAGTAAATCCTATATGAACATCTAGTTTTTCATCTACAACCTTTTTTTCTTTCAAATCCTTTTCTGTTAAAGTCTTTTGAGATAAATGTCACCATATTAAAAATACTCCTGAAGTTAAAAACATTGACAACTTTTCCGATTCAGTTTCCAACAAGCATTTGGTTATAATGTTTTATTTAATGTGCCTTATTAAAGTAGTTTACTAGGTTAAAAAGATGTAGTATTTTTGTTATTCTGTATTAAAATTAAAAACATTACAAAAAGTTACAGAAAGGTGCAGTACCTGGCACTTTGAATCCAGTCTCACAGATAGGTTTAATGTTTTTCATATCTGTCCCATGAAAGGCTAGGACTGGGAAGGACTTGTCTGCCCCTCGATGCTTTTTCAAATCCTCACGGGCAGATCTGAAAGTGAAGGTCAGATTAATACCAATAAGATCTAGTCAATTTCACAGATAATACAGATGATATTGAACGAGGGATGATATATTAAGATATATATCTACTTAATGTGATTTAATGTTTCAAATTAAACTGGTGCCCATAAGACTGCTCTAATATTTTGAATATTCTTCTGTTCAAATGATTTGTCAATTCCTGGCCCATATACAGTATAGTTTATGAACAACTTAGGTTGACCTTTGACCTACAGTGCTTTTTGTGGATACTTACTTGAATTTTTTCACTAAGTTGGGATTAACTGCATAATCTACCTTGCTGACACGATATCTGAAACAGAAAATAATTTATCTTTGGTGAAAAATTGTCAAAAAAAATAATTTATGATTGGACAACTGGGTCAAGTTTATAAGATAAATCTGATTTTACTGGCAACCAATACAATCCATTATGTGAAACAATGCTCTTCTATTTCACATACTGTATAACACGAAATGTTTGTAGATACTTTCCTTCGTGGTTTGAAGCCATTTAGATCATTTCGTGGTACAAACTTTCGTGGATATCCTATATTAACAAACATTTCACACATATATCATTCAAATTTGTTGTGTTCATTTTCGTGGTTCAATAGCAACCAGGAAAACCAAGAATGTTTATCAGTTTTCCTTTCGGTACGGTCGAATGTTGACATACCAATATGCAGTGATACATATCACTTTAATGAATGTTGTGTGAATAGTAATAATAAACTGTTAGCAATAAAACTCACCTCTAGTATTTAGACATTCTGCAATATACTAAGCCTATCTTTTAGTATTTAATTCAACATCATACAAAGACATATAAACGGTAATTGCCTGTTTATGTGCCTGGTGTAAGCATGCATCAGACTTACCCTACACTGGGGCCACTAAGGAGTCGGTAAAACTGAGACTCTGCAAGTCGGAAATGAGTTTGGTCAGCAGACCCTTCCTTGTAGGATCGTTCAGCCTGCAGTGTGAAGTACACAGTCTTTTTCCCTTCCAAGGCTTCCTTCTCTCCCTCCACCAGCAGCAAACCTGTACTGACCTAGGGTCAAGTTAGTATACAGACAAATATATCATTAAGATCAATACAATACATTGCATAACAAATTACTGTTAATCAAATTATATGTACTCCTACAATTATTTCCTGATTTCAAAAACAAAATTTTGAGACAAATAATCAATCCTCCTGTCCCTCCACCAATAGCAAACCTGTACTGACCAACATGTAGGGTCAAGTTTGTATACAGACAAATATATCAGTGGCTATTAAGATCAATACAGTACATTACAATGTTTCCCTGATTTTAAAATTTTGGGACATATAATCAATGATCTCTAAAACACTTGTAGCGATTAACTTTTTTCTTGTTCTTTGTGTATTGGTACATGCTTACAAATTTCATCTGAACAATGTCATCAGGTTATCAGGCAGAAAAGTATGTGATGATAGAAGGACAGCCAGAGCTATCCCAACCAGCACACTTTTTTTCAGGATTATAAAAACAGCTTATCGTATATGGTGTAATATATAACGCTCAGCAGATTATACCTGATCTTGAAGCTTCTGAAGTTTCTTGTCTTTACTTTTCATCTCATCCTGTGTTTCTTTGAGTTCTTTCTGAAGCTTCAGTTTGGCTTCAAATGCCTTCTTGATGAGCTCTTTCCTCTCTGCCTCCGACATCTTTGAGTAACTCTTCACCAGTGACATGCCCCTCTTTAAAATGTCATCTGTCTTCACCTCACCTTTCTTACCCTAGGAAAATAAGAAACAGTATAGATAATATATGTAATCTTTTTCCATGAGGATTCATGGTCAGTCTTGATTGAGGTCAAGAAAAAGTAAATAGCTGTATTCCTCTACATTTATATATTTATAATTACATACAAGAATAAAATAGGCAGGTTCAGGTATAATACTTTTTATTTTATTGCAGTATATTTACTGCATCGATAAAGATCTAAGTAAATCTGATTAAGATATAATAATTGATCCTTTTTTGAAGAATCCAACTAAGCAGTCCACACATGAGTATGTATGGCTAGATGAGGCCCTGACAGTTGTGGCAGTACTAGCGGTAATGATTCACATTATAATAATTTTTAATATTGATCACAACTGATTTAATCATACAAAATTTCCATTTGCATTGTATATCTAAATTTACCCGAACCACCAAGTGAATCAATTCACAATCAGTTTTACTTCATACATTTTGTTTACATACAGAAAAATTATCATTGAAATTGTGCCTTTCGATAAGGGTATCCAGCTTATACTGGCACTGCTGGGAGGGAAAAGGAGTTGGGGTTGGGGGCATACCCCTGTTATCCGAATCACTTAATTACCCTCCAAATGTCCAAAGCTGATCTAATGTCCTTCTGGTCGATCGGCCTCTAAACCATAATACAATGTAGAAAATATACTAAGAAATGAAAAATTTAACCGTATTATTAGTACTGTTACAGAAAAGAGAGTAGTGTGCTTCATTTGGGGATCAAACCATCCCAGTGACCTCCCAGTCCACTGCTCTACTGATAGAGCTAAAGTGGAATATTCCTTTAGTGTGGAGCTGGAAGGCGACTGTAATCCTGTGTACTATTGAAATCTACCACACTACTGCCCCCTTCTTTAAATATGTTCGTCCTCGAACGCCACAACAACCCGGTTGCTAACTCTCTGTCACCACAAGGAGGCCACAGACACCGTTTGTAACAGAGACCGAGTCTAGTGTGTGTTACTGTTTCCACTGTCAGGATCGAACCAGTGACCCCAAGCTTGCCAGTCTGCTGATCTGCTGATTTAGCTTAAGAGAAAGTTCTTGTGGCACGAACCCAAATCTAGAATGCGACCGTTTTTCTATATACAATTAAAATCTGCCAAAGTAGAACATAAATTATATATGTATATGTACTACAAAGCAGATCAAACTGGTCGATTGTTGTCGACTAGGTATCTCAATTGGTAGAGCCTCCGTCTAGGGTTTGGAGGTCCCCGATTCAAACCCTGGTCAGGCTGTTCATAATTCCATCTCCTTTTACATTTGGTGCCTGTGACCAATCCTTGTTTCAAATACTAGGTCAATGCTCCACAAGGGGATACCCTACCCTGGATTGTAATTCCATTTTAGTGATGTCTTCGGGGGTTAGGACTCCCAGGTAGGAATGTAACATAACTGGACTGTGGCGATCATTGGCATGCATTTTACCGCTCCTGTTACATACAAGTGTGTAATTGTTCACAGGATTATGACCGCCTTCTAGCTTCGAGCTAGAGGGAATTTCCCTTCAGGTCAGTGGTAGATAGAGCGTCCGACTAGGAACCTTGCTATGGGTCGCGGGTTCGATCCCTGGTGGAAGCACACTATTTTGTTGACAAGTTGATACATCACCTATAAAGCTTAATTATTTCTTATTAAACTTCTAATTATGTCCTGTGTTTCATCGATCTACTTTCACTTTAAAGCGAGGTTATGTCAAAACTTACTTTCTTTTCATCCTCCGAATCAGAAAGTTCGTCCGTATCACTGTCATCGTCGTTTTTTATCTTCGATACTACTGTTGTAGGATGAGTAAATTCTGCGAAATGTAACAGGTTTTTCCTATAACAAGATGCCCCATATTTACAGAATGGAAGGTTAGACGAGTCGATGGTAGATAACGCATCAGTTCTCGAAGCCGAAACTTTTGATCCACTGCTTCCTGCCACCTCGCCATCATCTTTGGTATCGTGCCTGAAATCTTTTAAATGCTGTGGATGTTTTCGATAGCATCTGGCACCATAAGGACAAACAGGCAAAGTAGAGGCGGTCTTCGCTTTCTTAGCAAGCGAAGCCATCGTTTAGATATGCTATTTTTGCTAAGTAGGCATCTGTGAAATGACGTAAGTCGAGTTCGAGTCACAACATGCAAGCGATGCAGCTTGATACGGTGTCGAATAAGTTAGAATGGAAACATTAAACGCACAAAATAATCCACTAAAATAAAAAAAAAACTCGAAATAAGCAGCCTATGTTATTGTGATAGTTTCGCATTTCATTATAATTAAGTTTGAGATTTACACTAAGAGAGATAACTCGTCGAGTGAGGACAAAGTTGGGAATAAACCATACAATTCAGATAGTTTAGAGTTTATTTTGGTGTCGGTCCTTTTTACTTTGGTGCTGATTACATTATTCATAAATTGGTAATTTCATTTAAATCTAAAGCAAATAGAAACGTAGGTCTCGTATATAAAACCTTCAGTTGAATAAAGAAATGTTTCTCAACCTCTACTGATAAGGTTTATTAATTATATATAAATCTATTTTGTGTCGTACTGAAATAGCCCTTCACCTCATGATGAAGTATATCCCCCTTCTCACATTTCTCTGATAAAACTGTAATATCAGTGGCCGATTTTTTGGGGGCTTATCTGCATTTACAGAGTACAATTTGTGTCATGAACATATTTAAAAGACTTTCATTTAATACCAAGGAAGCATTGAGTGACCACGTCCAAGACTTTTGTTCTGAAGCATTTAAAGCTTAAATGCTAAGCACTTTAAGCATAAGGTTGCTAGGGAAATAATGGAAAAAACTTCATTAGTTACTCATGTTTTGGAGTAATATTTGAATGTGCAGTTAATTTGGGGATATTTGCACTATTGGCGGATAAAAACTGTTAGAATATTGCCGTATGTACAAATGGAAGTTATGAAAATTATTACTAAACTGTATCTCGAAACTAGTATGGAATTGCTTTTATCTAGACGTCACAAGCATAAGTAAACCATTAAGACGCTTTCAGACTAATACTATCCGTACACTTCAGTTTTCACATGATCAAAATGAAATACCTCTTGCAAATCTAAAAGTATCGTACAATAGCCGTACACTAATATTGATATGGCTACAAGATGGACAAGACGATATAGTATCGATGGAGTGTTTCGCTGTAAATCCTTATAGGGGTGCAAATCAATGATAAATTATTCGTGGAAATGCATGTTTGACACCCACATAAACATTTACTTTTAAAGTTGCCTGAGGGACAGGATGTCTACAGCAATAGAGGTCATAAACAAAACTCGTAAAGAGAAGATTTCGAACTCAAGCGAGAAAAATATATTTTCAAATCGGGTCGAAGTTTCCCGGAACAAACTGACTGCATCAGTGATCTATGCTCCGAACAATGCATGCGTTTAAGTCTAGCCTGAATCGCTCTTGGAAAGTTCACCCAAGGAAATTCAACCCTGCATGCTATATAGAGGAAGATAATAACCAGGAGTTCGTACAAGTAGATGTGCCAATAGACGTAGTCTCTGACTAACAGTTCGACGTCGAATATGACGAGTTAACGGCGCTAACCCCTTTTTACCGTAGGAGGAAAGAGAAGTGTCTATAACTTTTACATGCTACTGTTATGTGTGTTAACAAAGGTAAGTAGGGATATTCCACTCTCAGTTCTCTTCCCAACACGACACAGCGTTAGCCTTATTAATTGTTCCTGATCCAGATTATTATTCGAAAATTAGAGCTCAAAAGTTCATGCCCGGTCCCAGTGAGGGCAGCTCGACTGTTTGATACTGTTGGATATACATGTAGACCTATACCTACAGTAGCTAGTGGGCACATGTGCTTCAACAGGGACAGAACGCAGTCTTGTAAGTTGACTTATGAATGTATAATATTTTGTATGTGTGTGTCGAATGTACACGATGTGGAGGGGCCTGTCAACAACATCACTATACGTGTCCTCGACTGTTACATGATATCCGTGTTGATTGCTGTCATTTATAGTCAGTTTCAATTAAGATACATGCATAGTCAGATTTATAGCAGTACATTGTTATTTTGAGAAACAAATTCAATTCAGTTCGCGTTGATACACGTATTTGTAAAGCAGATGTTTGAACATAGGTGTACAGGTGTACATATTACAGTACCACACGTGAGCGGTAACACATGTACACTATCATAGGTACATGTAAACATTGATCATATGATATACACTAATAAATTTAAGTGGTTATAGTAGGAGGCATATTTGGCGAAGATGAAACCCGAGCCTATTCTATTCATTACCGACCCTTTACTTCAAGTTGTTGGGAGTTTTTTCTTCTCCGTATAAAATGAATATTTCTGAATAAGTAGTGAAACTTTTCTAAATATAATTTTCTCAATCGTAACGTTCAATAATTATATTCAGGGGATTTATTGTTGTCACTGCACCTGACCGTCGTGTAGGCCACAGGGGTTCGTTACAAATGTCTGAAATACACATATTATATGGGTATTTATGATGTGACCTACGTATATCAGTATATTATATAGAATATGTGTATATTAAGACGTGTAACGAACCTCTGTGTGACGGCCATACGTATATGTGGTATTTTATTGTATACCTACATGTACATGTATTCCGTCTTTGCGTATTGCAGAGTTTTCTTCTCTTGTGAGCAGGTATTGATTGTTAGGGCATTGGTTTGTGTGAGAAAATACGTCGTTTTCTCAAAAATTGATGACGTTACTCTCACAGACAAATGACGTAACAATTAATACCTGCTCACAAGCGCAGATAACTCTGCAATACGCAAAGACGGAATAGCATATTCTTAAACCCTGAATTCGTTTTATGTGTTCTTCGTTCCTTCCGTAATCGCATTTTATATATTTAGCTATTCTGTATGTGATTATTTATGAGTTACGAACTTGCAATCGTAATTTAACATTATTTCCTCTATCAACAGGCTGTAGTTCAGTATTGACATACTTAATGTGTGTATTTGTTGCTTCATATACTAATTAACAAAAGTAAGGAAGGTGTTGTTAATTTTCTCTTACCTAACAAAATGGGTTGTTTAACTTGTGACACCAGTTATCATTATCTGAACGAGATAAAAGTATGTGAATGTTTTACATTTACAGAGACAGCAGCATGTGTTACACGTACCAGTTCTTTACGAATCTATATGGTCGTAGGTACAGCTGATCGACGTACGGATCCAACCGCTTTTCCTACCAGCTGCAACGTGTTTAGATGCAAGTCTAGGTTGGGAAGGAAAGCAAAACGAAATGATGATAATAATGTAGAATTGTAAACACAAGACATTAAGTATCACAAGGGATACCCTAAAATGACCAATTATGCGGTTGATTTGATATATCGTAATTCATAAAGAGGAACAAAGAAAAGTGGTTATCAAAAGTCGCGATTGTTACCGTGATATAGCACACAATGTGTATGTGCCGAGTGTGTCTGTGGTTTCTATGCAATGGCCGGTGTGGGTTGGAGATTAAGGGTCCAGATCTGACCCCAGACCATTCACCCGAACCTTCCGTCGTCGATCAGGCGGACATTCCTTCTGCGGATGTTCCTTCACCACCAGCCTCTCTAGATCACAAATTGGACGCTGCTGGATTTGTCTCATGACAAAGTTCTACTTTAACGTACAATCTATTATACTTATTTTAATTTTGCACGAAATTTATATTTTTGTAAATGTATATTTTGTATATATGCTGTACAATAAAAAGTTTATTATAATCCATGTCGTATTATTATTGTACATTAATTTCTGCCATTTCATCTTCAAATGTTCGTTCAAAATTCTTTTTTATAATACAATAAATTGCATCATTTATTTTTGTTTCAAAATGTCTTGAAAATACTTTAATAATAAGCATTCTGAAAAATTTAGTTTTGTTTCAAGAACAAACGAGATCATAGCTGTTCCACTAGGGTGCCACACCGGTATATGGACTAATCTTCTTCTGTTTGGATTCTGGAATAGCTATAATCAATGCTGATGCATGTTGTTGGTGTTTTAGGTCCTGCTACATTGTAATTAGTCAGAAATTGGCCGTAATCTTGAATGTATCTTCGATACTCCAGGGGTTATGTCCACTTAAGGGCCTATCACACACTACCGATGGACCTCGCCGGGACTAAACCGGAGCAAAAAATTGACAACGGCCAGAAAATCGGCAGAGCTCCGGTGAGAAAGCACTTGAAAAAAACACCAAAATTGACCGTACCAATACCGTTGAAGTACCGGCTTTCCCGTTACGATACCGTTGTTCTACCGTTGTCCTACCGATGTAAGAGCCGGTGTGCTACCGAATACCACTTTTTTGTCGTTAGTACATCGGCGGCGCATCAGTACTACTTCGGTGGTATTCGGTAGTACTAAGGTACTGTATCACATCGGTATCAGTACGGTACACACTGAGGCCACCGGAGAACCAATCATAAGAGTGGAACACGAGAAAGACCTAGGTGTCCATATAGACAACCAGCTAAAATTCTCAATCAATGCCAACTCAGCTGCATCAAAAGCAAATAGGATGCTGGGCATAGTATTCCGGACCTTTACATACATGAGCCCTGTAATGTTCCTAACTCTATACAAAACGCTGATTAGACCTCATCTGGAATACTCGACAACAGTTACATCACCATTTTTGATCCGCGACAAAATTACAATCGAGAACATCCAAAGAAGAGCGACCAAAAGGATTCCAACTCTTAAAAACGTACCATAAGAAGAACGCCTAAGACAACTCGGACTCCCAACTCTCGAATATAGGAGACATCGAGCTGATGTAATTCAAACCTACAAAATACTAAACAACATGGACATTCTTGACAAGGGCAAACTATTTACTGAAGCTGAAGACAACCGAACCAGGGTACTCCAGGAAACTATTCAAAAGACCATGCAGACTAAACAAATATGGTAATTTCTACAGCAACAGAGGGATAAATCTGTGGAACTCTCTAACAGAGGAGGTAGTAATCTCTCCAACGCTCAACACATTCAAGTCACGGCTCAACAGCCACTGGAAAAATCACCCGACAAAATTCAAGCCATCTTTTTATTAGTTACATATATATTTGCAAGTCTAACCAGTCAAAAGTGTACAATGTAACAAATTGACTTTAAAAATCACATGTTTTAACCATCATATTTTAAAAGGAGAGGAATCAACAGTGGGAGCTGAATACTCCAACCCTACCAGATAAAGAAATGAACCTGTAAC